CACACACACACACACACACACACACACACACACACACACACACACACACACACACACACAGGCGTACAGAATCGCATTTCTTTCGGTTCCCCATTCGATTGGAAGGACAAGCAAGAAGGTATCTACCTCGTGCGCTTAATCCCTCTAGTTTATCTCGCGCGTATTCCCCGTTTGCGTTTCGCAGATGGAGGCCTGGAGATTCCGAGTTTGCAAATCGCTCAGTATTGCGCGCTGCGTCGTCGCTTCGTTCGTTTGTACTCGCGTTTTCTTCCTCGATCTCGTTTTATAGTCGCGAGCGAGAAGATCCCGATAGAGAATTGCATTTCCACTTTGTATGCGTACGCGTTCAAGTAGATGCGCCTTGATTGTATCATCTCGTATTTATTTCCACGCTACGGGAAGAGTTTCCGCGATCCATAAAGGAGGCACGCGTGTGTATAAATAGACGGGGCCTTTCGTTCAATGACTTCAGTGTTAAGTTGAAGTCAAGACACCGGTCTGCAGGTATTCTCCGCCCGTAAAGCACACGTTCCCTCCTCGTGGACCGATTCTTCTTCGATCTTCTTCGCGCGCGCGTCACTTTCTTCCGCGGCCTCCTTAATGTTCCCCTTCATTTCGCCGTGAGGAGCGTGAGGAGACAGACACTTGCGCTTCTATCTGAGCCATTTGTGTAAAACGATACCCAGTCAGGAATGATCTGTCGAAACGGTGTAGTTCAGACGAATCATTTCTGATTGAAGAGAGGCGGTCAGCGAGACTGTCCGAAGTTCGTCTATTTATTCCCATGCTAAGGAAAAAATAAGAAGGCGAGCTCTATCTTCCTGTATATTAGAAACTGAAGAAGAAAGATTGTATGAGCATGCGTGTGTGTAGGCGTGTACGTGTGTAGGAGAGGAAGAGGAAGAGATGTGGAGAAAGAGAGAGACGTTGTGTTGTCGTCGTCGTCTCCGTGTGTATAAAATTTCGAGCGAATGTCTCGCACCAAATAGAGATATGCGTATTTTTTGAATGGAACGTGTTGAGAGAAGAAAGAGAGAGAGAGAGAGATAGCTTCTAGCTCGCGCGTGTAAACGGACATGGCACGTGTGTGCCACCACTCGATTCGTCGGTGATAGTCTGGCCTTTCGCCACCCAATTTAGTCGTACCAATCGCATTTATCATAGAGGGGTATGTAGTCTTCGTCGTCGTTGTTGTAAGGCAAACCCGAGACGGACTCGAGGAAGGAAGCAACCGAGCGGGAAAGAGAGAGAAAGAGGAAATGCACGGGAAATCGTGTTCGAAACGAGATTCGAGAGTCGCCGGTATAATCGCGACGTTTTGATTGTCATCGACGAGCAAGGACGTCGCGCGTTTCGTGCGCGCGTCTGGAGCGCATCGCGATTTCGCCGGTCTCGTTCTTTGATTCCGAGGATCGTGGTGAGATTTTCAAAAGCCAGCTTCTCTAGGTACTTAACAAAGGGAAGGGAGGGAGAGAGAAGGAAGGGATGGAGAGAGAAGTGAAGAAAGAGGGAGAAGAAAATGATAAGATAAACAACCTGCTTTACACTGGCCGTTAAGCGATAACTTAAGAGTTTTTGTATCATATGTTTGTTAAGACTACTGTTTTTGTCACTCAGCACCCTACCAGTATTCGGGAGAGAAAGAGAGAGAGAGAGAGAGAGAGAGAGAGAGAGAGAGAGAGAGAGAGTGCGAGTGAGGAAATGAGTGAGAGGAAACGTGCGAAAAAGGAATAAAAAAAAAGAGAAAAAACAGTGCAAGCGTCGTACATCGTACTTTAGTATCATTAAAACGAGCGACGTGTTTAGTAAGAGTGAAGAGAGCCAGAGATATAAGTGCGTGTGAGTACAGACATGCGAATGAGCAAAAGGTGAAAGGAATGTGAAGAGACGAGAAGGGAGGGAGAGATTCAGACGAGCGAACGGCCGTACATCTGCAAAACGTACATTCATTAAACTACGTATTGTCGTTTAGCACAAATCAGTTGAAGCGCGCGTAATATCTGAGCGATCAGCGACGTAATAGCGATGAGCGGAGAACGAGGACGAGATGAACAACGGCGTTATATATATATATATATATATATTATATACAGACACAAGATCCTAAAAGTAAAATCAATCGAACGTGCGGACAGAGAGAGAGAAAGAGAGACCGGTGGTGTGCATTCACCCCCGAATACGACGCCAGAAGAAACGCTCCTGTGTACATAACGAAATAATTAATGAGGGAGGAAGGGAAGAAACGACAGAACGAGTCTCGCGGAGAGAACATTTCTACTATATATAGGTATGGTACTCCGCTCTATACATATACACTGTAAGAAAAATTGTACCAAGTGTCTCTCGAGAACGTGACGCGCTGCGAACGGGTGAGCCCTTCGCGAGACCCTTCGCGATCTCGAGGCGAAACGCCTCTCCGAGTTTTCTTGAGGAACTTGAAGGTTTTTATGTGAAGGGAACCAAGCGCCAGTGTGTAGTTGTAAGTCGGTCTCGTCCGAGGAAAAATTTTGGAGATTGTCACCTTTTGCAGATGCTCGTATGGAACTGACTGCTATAAGAGTCTAGAATGTACGGAAGAAAAAAAGAATCCCAGAGAAACGTAGATACACAAAAACAGAGCCACGACTAGCCGTTCTCGTGCTTTTACATCGGTTAACTGTACATTTATAATATTGTAATTATATCACGCATACACCTACAGTTGATAATATTAATCGATAATAGAAACTATTGACTATAAATATGCCATATGATGAAACTGTTAATTAATTATTATTTATTTATACTTAATACTGTGCGAGCTATAGTAGAGAGTTTAAAGTCCATTAATTGGTTTGTTAAGACATCTAAAGAAGCAGTTAAAATAAAGTTATCAAAAAAGTTTAGCTTTCATTGCATCTACCTTCTTGCAATTCTTCTCTGTAAAAGAACAAAAAAGAAATGGAGGGTGGAAGATTAATTAGCTTCAATTTGACAGTTTTGAGAGTGGCAGAGAACAGTGTCGTGCGCGTTATACACTCCAGAGAGAAAGCTGCTTAATCGCTTTCGAAGTTACTTGTTTCTCAGATCTGGAATGGCGTCAGATCTTGGTGGCGTTTGGTACCTTCTGTATAAAAGCCGTTCAACCTGTGGTATTTGCGTGTACATTGAACGAGAAACCAATGCACAAATTGCAACCGCGACTGACGTGGAAGAGCTTTCCAGATAACGAGACAGCGACGAGGCGTGTCTGCCGTATTTTGACGACGGAAGCACTTCGCAAGAAATAGGGTTTCATTTCGCGAAGCGAATTTGCAACTTTTATCATCGTACTGTACTTATCGAGTCTTAAGAGGATGTTTTCTTTTTTTTTCTTCTTTTTTTACGTTCATTTTATCGAGTAGTCAAACTGAGTTGTTGCGTGGGCAATTTTCGGCCTTGTTCTGCAAAAACAATGTTCTGCTAAAAACGCTCAGGTCAGATTAGATATACATATAAATATGCAATATAGAATTGTAATATTTTGGAGATTTTTGTTATTATAGAACTGTAATATATATTTTGGAAATTATTTTAGAACGTGATTACGTGAAGGGACATGTGATTTACTATGTAAAGGAATACTTGTCGGTACTTAAGTTCGTTATATTTCTGTAATTTTCAATACACAATGTCAGAAAGGAATAGAGAGAATCATATCTGTAATATTTTCTTTAACTAGCCAAAGAGGAGCGTGCTTTTCTTTTTTTTTTTTGCTGATTTTATAAATTTTCGTGTTTTACTATGGTTTTATAAAGACATAACTATACGCCCTGTGGTGTAAACAATATTTATGCGTGATAATATTTAATTTACAAAAAATTTATTTTATTTATAAAATAAATTTATATTCCTTTTCAATAGATATGTATATGTACATATGCTGTATATATATATGTATGTATATATACAGGCTTTCCGAGCTTTTAGGAGGAAATTTTCGGGAAAAATTTCCTTATTTATAATTTTCCATTTTTTATCTTTAACTTTTGACTTTATTGTACATATGGAATCCGAAATGCGATGCCAGAAGCTTGCAGAATCGTTTTGCGGGAATGGGATCGGTTTTCAGGAATATATTGTGGTCCAGTCGGGAATTTTAAAATCGCACACAGCAGTAGTTGACCGATCCTATGGATTTATTTCTGTGGAAGTTGAGAAACGAGAGGATGTGAATGAAAGAGAAAGAGAGATAGAAAGAATGTTCGTATGTGTGTGTGTGTGTGTGTGTGAGAGAGAGAGAAAGAGGGGAGAAAGAGAGAGAAAAAAGAAGATGAAAATACTCTCCGTGGATATGACTGTACAGCGTATTAACTTGTCCGGAGGTACATATATCGAGGATCCTTTTTCAAAAAACTGAAGTATTAAGGATTGCATATTGTACATAAACAAGACATATTTTCTATATAAGGGACGTCGCTCGGTAAAGGTCGATGGCTCGAAAAAATATTGCAATATTATGATAATTCTTTCAAGCGGTAGGATAGCCTTTAATCGTTTTATGTAATGTAATGATAGAAAAAGGGTCTGGCAGAATAAAAGTGAAAGTTCTGTATTTAAACATTCTGTCGGTGTACGTTCATTCACACACACACACACACGCATACGTTCTATACACACACACACACACAAATACACGATACGCATCATCCATTAGCGTAAATTTTTTCGACAAATTTGCGATATTCCCGGAAGTTGCAGGTAAATTTCTTAAATTCGTCACTTTTTGCAGAGAAGAATGTCGAGTCGAAGATTCGGATGATTTGTCGCGGGCAAAAATAGCTTGAACAAGTTCGATCTCGATGCTCCTTTCATCATTCATCGGCATAATTGAGTTCGATTTGCAATGCAGGTTCTAAGGGAGAGATAAACTATAATGTGTATGGAAATTAACGAGCGGATCGTTGCAAGTAAGTGAGCGTGTATTTATTAGCTCATTCCAAACATCAATCTCTCGTGGATAATACAGTCGGATGTCGACGCGAGAATTTTCATTCCCCCTTTTGAGTTTGATCCATCGTAGACGTGTGTGAGGAAATCCCGACTGCTACTCGTATGCATGTTGAGAAGCGTTTTTCTCCGTTGCATGTGCATCAGACATTTTCCTGAGCGTCGGCATTTTCGCTCTCTGTCTCATTTCGTTGACTTTCCACTTCCTACAATTTAGGATAAACGAAACATTAATCAAGAGTTGCATTAACGAGAATCTAGGATAATGTTAAAGTAAGTCGCCAAGTGTCGCATGCATATTCCTCCGATCAACTGAGAGTATGTGAGAGAGAGAGAGAGAGAGAGAGAGAAAAAGAAGAGCGAAAGAAAGAATGACGTACCCTCTGAATGATATTCAACAATGAGACGTTCCGGTCGCCCGACCGGAAAAATTCATTGATCTCATATGGAATGCAAAAGTGCGTGGATTGCTTCGGTTGAATGCCCATCTTCTCCCCGATAAATCGAAATTCCGGCGTACCGTTCTTGTGCTCCTGTAACTCCTCGAATGTGAATAGCGTTCCCCTCGTAAACGTTTCGTCGATCGGGCCGAAGTCCACTATTTTCACGTGATCTTCCTTACGTCGAACGACGTCGAAGGAATCTGCGGGAGAAAGAGAGAGAACAACTTTATGGGCGACGAATATACGCGTATAGTGTCGCTCATGAGGCGATTACACGAATTCGGATAGCATTATCGAACCTTGGTAGAGGATGCTACTCACAGTTACGCAGCGGAAATCTGCCTTTGATGCGCCCCAAAAAGAAACTCTCGATGTCTGTCTGTATACTATATTTTTCTGACTCATAGGACTTGTGGTACTGCGATATGTCTCTTTGACTTATAGCTGCATAAGGTGTAATTTGTTATCGCGAAAGTTGACTTTGTAACAACAGGCAGAGACGTGAAAGCAGTTGATATTGAATAAAATTTAATAGTTGATGAAAGAAACTGTACGACAGCTGTGTGTGATAAATTACCAATTAGCTCATTGTCCATGACAAAGCAGCGGAATTCTGTGCACGGGTCGATGTCCTGCCACTGCTTTAACACCAAGCAGAACGACAAAGGACTCTCCTGACTCTCTCGCAGAGACCTTGCGGTGTTCAAGTCTTTAGCAATCCTATCGGAACTCTTCAGCAGCAGGTAGACTTCTTCTAATGTCTTACATTTGAGAGTTTTTGTCGGAGTAATCCATGTTGCATCCTGCAAAGTGATTGTGAGTAATTATAAATTACTCGATTAAATTTGATGCAAACAGAAACGTAAACTGTCAATCAATACAGTTCAGTGTAATAAAAAAGAAATAATTAAATCAATTGAACAACCATTTTTTATCTATAACTACATGTTACAGAGAATATGCATATTGGTATATTTTATAAAACGCCATTAGTAACTCTATATTGCATAACTATATATTTTTAGGTAGCACAATGCAACTCTGAAGATTATCCTGAATATATCTACAATATCCTGGAAATGTCTTTATCTAGAATGATTCTGAAATATCTTGTGCTATTTTGAGTTATATGTTATATACATTCTTTATTCCTTCAAAATCCTCTTTTATTGACAAAAATGCCTCTAAAAATAAGTATTTTGATTACCCTTATAGAAATATCATACTAAGAATCATTGATAATTACTTATTTTCAGTATTAAAAATACTGAATAATAAGTAATTATCAATGATTCTTAGTATGATATTTCTATAAGGGTAGCTATAAGTCATTTTTAGACACTTACTGACAAAAAGAAAACTGAGAATAAGAGCCTTTATATTTGCAAAAAAGTATATATTTTCAAATAATATTTCTTTGAAAATAACTGGGTCCATTGAAAAGTAATATAATAATGCATTATAGAAAAAAATTTACCATAGGTGAGCTCCAGTTGCTTTTGACGAATACTGCTTTGTATTCATCCAGTACATCCTGTATTTCTTGACTGAATTTAGGAAATGTCGGTTGATAGTCAGCCTCCTGCAATAATGTTTAAACAAATTCTTATAGTTTTTTCAGTGTGTTTGAGTTCATCCTGCCCGCAGGTTGTTCTTTTTTGAATGAAGAGAATTAACAAATACCTCACCCTCACTGGTTACTGGTAAACCATCGCTCCATTGCGAGCTCTTTGGCAATGACTGTATTGTCTCAAGCGGCAACACAAACTTGTCGTGTTGTAAGTATTTCAAAACGTCATTCGTAACGTAAACAATCGTGGCCTTCAAGGAATCTTCTTTGAATATCGGATACCAACAGCAGAAGGAACACGTCGATCTCAAGTCGCTTACCATTTTTCTAAAACTCTGTTTATATCCGCCTTTAATTGTAATAAAAAATATACTCAGTCTATTAGTTTTTACGCGTAGAAGAGGGTTCTGAGTGTTAATATTATCACTCGTCACTGGGAAAAGAGTTTTATGGCAGAGAGTTGTCGGAAGTTAGGTTAGATTAGCGACGTGTTGGAGGTTAGAAAACCTGTTATACCGACGATAACGTCGGTACAGCTGAGTTTAAAAAAATATTTGTACATGATATCATAACGATTTGTAACTTTCTATGTGTAAAACGAGTTTCATTTCATAGTGATTATAAAGATCAATTTTTCTCAACAGAAACTTTGTGGGAGGATTCATTGAAAAGTTTGAAAACCTAATTCCGAAGTTTTTCGCTAAAATTGTTTAATCCCTCATACAAGAAGAGAACAGTAGCTAATATTCTACAAAATTCTATATTTTAACAAACTTAACATTTACGGGAAGATAGATCGTATTTATTCTAATTCCTCGCCGCAAAACTCTCAATTGATGACATCAGAAGCGAGAAAACACACGCTCAAGATTCTTGTGAAATACGCTGATACAAAAAAATATATCCAAAGCGGCCTTTGTTTCGAAAACTTTCTTTTTCTTCTAACAAGCAATAAACAGCTGTAAAATTAATGTGACACGCAACTTCTCTTTTAAACCTGCCTTTCCTCATTTCGTCACGTTAATTTTACAGCTATTTATTGTTAGAATAAAAGTTTTCGAGATACTTTACACAAACGTGCTCAATCAATTACAAGTGTAGACTTTATAGACATAGGCCCATATTCTGAATCCTCTTTTACTTATAAAAGTGCCTCTAAAAGAGGCGTAGGAGATTGGCTAAGAAGCTACATTTAAGACACTTTTATCGATAAAAGAGGATTCAGAATATGGGCTATAACCTCTTATCTTCCGCGAGAATTTTGAATGTCCGTTTCTCTCGCTTCTGCTGTCGTTAATCAAAATGGCCGGGGCGAGGGCACGAAAACTTTAACAGTAAATAAGTGTACAAATCATACAGAATAATTTTGTATTTATTTTTGCAAATATGAAAGAAGTTATACACTAACATTGTACTTTTCTCCTGAAGGAGCAACCTTCAGTTAATCGGGCTTTTCCACCTGTCGGTGTGCAGAGAATCGTGCGGCACCCATCGCACTCCACCGGTCTCTGTGCGTGAGAAAATATTGTTTTGATTGCATAGCAACCAGGACACTTGACGTCCATGAAATAGCTATTCGGCTTTTGTACAAGCCTCTTCAACTTATGTTTCCGCTTTTCTTCGATGGGGCTTGGATGAAGGAAATCTCTAGCTAACGGCATCCTGCAAAATAATTATATATTTTTATTGTCTACACGATTAATACACTGTCTTTTTCTCACGTAGACATTGACTGCATTCAACAAAGAAAGCTGCTTTGGATGTGCTGCGTTGGATTCAGCCAAGATGAGAAACATATCAATTAGATTCACAAATTTTACAACAGTTGCAAAAAAGTTTTCTCTGTTGAACGTAATCAATATAAACTATGTAGAATATTGTAAATTATATTAAAGAAATAATTTGATATTTGAGGCTTTTGCAGTGTCTATGAATATTAAATTTGGTTTCCAGGTTTAAGCCACGTGACATAGAATCAGACAACCAAGAATTCACACGGCTCAAATCCAGAAACCAAATCTAAAAGAAATACTTGAACTATGAGAGAATCACTATATCTGTGTTTTAGGTATTAATTATAAATGCAATGTTTAAAAAAGATAAATTGCATTTTTATTTCATTACATGACATAGCAGATGTAACTTTGAAAGTAAGATTTCTATGAACTCTAACTTGTTTAGAAAATTTACCAAATTGTTTGGAAAATTTAATTTATAAATTTACCAGGATCAAGAATATCTAAAAAAATGGCAAATATTCAACTCATCTCATGAGGTTTTTATTAATGGAATATGCAATATTGTGCAATTTTATAATATATTAAAGTGCTCAAAAGAGTATGATAATATGTAAATTTTCAGTTTAGTTCAATGTTTTGACAGATATTTAGCACAAAAATTTTACCTAAGATTATTAAAGAATTTTTATTAAAGGAATACACAATATATATTTTGTGCTATTTTACAAGATATTAAAGTATTTGAGAGAGTAAGATGGTAAATAACGTAAATTTTCAATTTGTTTAACGTTTTAGCAAATATTCAGCTCAAAGATCTTACCTGAAATTTTTATTAAAAGAATGTACTCAATTACATTCGTTTCTGAGCGTAGATGATTCCAAAAATTAAAACCGTCTCGTCAGTGGAATGAATTCTGTGCAGAGAAATGGTGGCGTGTCAGAGGTTAAGAATCCCACACTAATAAGTTATAACGTAAAAAAAGGCTGTAACCAATAAATTATAACGTAAAAACGTACTCACACATGGACCCGGTATAATTCCAACACAGCTAGACAGCAACTACAGAGGCAAACTTTCCGGCCGAATTTCCGTGTCAGTGTTGCCTGGTGGTTGAAAAATTAGGTGGTAGGTGGCACACCAAAAAGCGGTAGATTTAAAATTTAAAGCGGTAAATCTTTTATTTCAGAAGTTTCGTAAAATATAAGACATAAAACTGATAGTTAATAAAAAAATATTCTAATTACAAATAATACGAATACCTAAAATAACTCAATAGCAAATAAAAGAGAAATTATACTTATAATGAAAAGTATACTCGTAGTTTTTTCTGTAATCCTTATTTATAGCGTGTTCGACTATCCCTGGGTTAATCTAGAGACCCTTGAAGAGAGACTGGACAAAACTGCCCACAAAATGGCGGCATAAATACGTGAGCTCGTAAAAAGTGAGTAGTCTGTACTTTTTCGCTGCACTGCTGCACTAGTACAATAAGTAAAGATGAGTATATTTTTTCTCACACTAACTTAGTTGGGGGGCGCTGCCATTCTGTGGACAAAAGTCACGTGCACCAATCACGCGGAACCCCGTTATGTCCAGTCTCTACCAGGGTTGGGCACGTATTATACTGAGATATTATACATTTTATTATACATTGTATTATACAGTATAATATATTTAGTTTATACATATTATACTTCCTGTGGCGCTATCTCTACATCATGTGTGTAGTTAATTTTAACTACGTTCCGGTATTCACAGCCAGTATTGAAAATCTATAGTTTATGTTACGTATACTATAGATTTTCAGTATTCGCAGTAAATATTAGAATGCAGACTTTATAGGGGATTTGCTAACTTTATTACTATTATTCTAAATTCCATATTTTGAACTCTCTTTTATCGCTAAAAGCGTTTCTAAAAGTAGCTGATAGCCAATCACAAAGCTTAAAAAGTTATTTTTAGAGGTGCTTTTACCAAGTCTGTTCTTTTTCGTTACACTGTTGCACTGGTGCAATAAGCGTTTGACAAACGGGTGGGACCCAATTGACCACGGTACGATTGGACACAGATTGTAATGATTGGTTTGACCTGGTAATTCACTAGATACTTCTTTGCATCGGTTGGTTGTGTCCAATCGTACCGTGGTCAATTGGGACGCTCCCTTGACACAAACATATATTTGTCTCATTCCAACTTATTTCAGCAGTATAGGGCTGCGTTCAGAAATCCTACTCGATTAGTAGAGGCTCTACTAGCCAATCATAAAGCTTATAAGTACTTGTTCGACCAATAAACGTAGGCTGAATAACCCAAACTGGGTTAACCCAGAGCCAGTCGAATATGCTATAAACCATTCAAATTTCAGCGTCTTGATGCTATTAGAGCAATGGCTGCGTTCAGCAGAGAAAGCTGCTTTGCAACTGTGTAAAATTCGTGAATATGATTGGTACATGCTCTTGGATTTAACCAAAATTAAGAACATACTCCAATCAGATTCACAAATTTTACAACAGTTGGAAAGCAGCTTTCTCTGCTGAACGCAGCCCATGTCTCTTTCTTTCTGCGAATATTTGTAACACGCAAAACCTTTTTTTTTGTTTTGCTCATATTTGCAATTAGTGATATTAATGCAATTAACTTCATGTTTTGTTTGTAATATTCGCTACTGATAATGCTATTGCATTTTAATAACTACAAATAATGCCAATAATTAATAGACATTTTGTAATGTCTTACAATTTTTTCTGAATTGCTGATAACTGTCTCGAAATTCAACTGACAGTTCAGTATGCAATTAAATTAATCTTGCATTTCAGCAACAACTCACTATTATGGCTCCTGCACACAGGACGCGATAATGCTTGCCACACGACGGAAGTTCGCGCGACAGACAATCAATATGCTGCTTTCCGTAATAACCTTCTAGCTCTTACGAAAAAACAACATATTGATTGGCTGTCGCGCGGACTTCCGCCGCGCAGCAAGCATTACCGCGTCCTGTCTGCAGAAGCCATTACTATATTACTACGTATGTACTCAACGCTTGACTCTCGACGCTCCTATGTAAAAGCACCTTTACGTCACTACGCGTGACGTCATCATGCGCAATGGTACACCTTTATATTTACATCATGTGTCAAACACGCATCATGTTTAATGTAATTAAAGCATCTCGCACACTCGGAAGATGTATTACTTTTCGAGCTGTAGATTCAAAAATAAAATATTTTGGAAATCAAGCTTTGTTGAAGAGATTATATTCAGGGAACAATGTAGTCAGTAATGAAAAGTCGGATTTATATCGACAATTATATGCAAAAATATTGGCATGCGGCCCCATAACACTTGCTGAATATATGAAGGAGGTCTTGATTCATCCTACTATAGGTTATTACATGACTAAAGATGTTTTTGGTCAAAAAGGAGATTTCATAACTTCTCCAGAAATCAGTCAACTTTTTGGAGAAGTATGTAACTTATTATCGGATTTATTTCATGTAAAATTATTCTTTTGAAGCATTACAAAGAAATTATCACAAAAAAGCTGACTATGTTAACTGTTATTAATAGATCATAGCAATCTGGATGATCAATGAATGGAGAAAAATTAACGATGAGCCTATTCAACTTGTGGAATTAGGTCCAGGAAGAGGCACCCTAATCAATGATATCTTACGGGTATATTTTTGTAACATTCTTATTTTCAATCAAATTAAATCGTGTGAATATAACAATTTTAAGAACTTTTGATTTCAGGTATTTAAGAAATTTAATCTTTTGGATAAAGTATCAGTTCATTTAGTAGAAATTAGCCCTGCTCTGTCCCAGCTTCAAACAGAAAGATTATGCACAGAAAGCAGAGACAATGAACCAACAGGCAATGAAGATGAAAAATCTACTATGTATTACAGAGAAGGTGTTACCAAAAATGGTGTAAAGATATATTGGTATTATTCTATCAATGATATCCCTAAGAAGTTCAGTATATTTGTTGCACATGAATTCTTTGATGCTTTGCCAATACATAAGTTTCAGGTAACAAAATAGAGCAGGATATTAATATTGACATGCAAAATGCACAAAGTTATTCTCACATGAATTGCAACACTTGCTTTCAGAAAACTGATAAAGGCTGGAGAGAGATTTTAGTGGACATAGTACAGGAAACAAGTGAAGAAAGATTTCGATATGTGCTTTCACAAATTGCAACACCTGCTTGCAAAGTGTATCTGTCTGTAAATATTCAACTTTACATTATTATGAATTTTATTTTAAATGATACAAGTGATAGATTATGTATCTGATAGAAACATTATTTTTCAGCCAAATGAGAAAAGAGATCATGTGGAAGTAAGTCCACAGAGTTTTGTTATAACAGACTACATGTCCCAATTTTTATGGGAATGTGGAGGATTTGCGCTAGTTATTGATTATGGTCACGAGAGAGAGAAAAGTGATACGTTTCGCGCGTTTCGTCAACACAAATTGCACGATCCCTTGTTGAAACCTGGAACTGCAGATCTGACTGCTGACGTTGACTTTTTATCAATAAAGGAGATTGCGCAAAAAGATGATAGATTAATCGTATTTGGTCCAGTGACACAAAAAAGATTCTTAAGGAATCTTGGCATCGATTTGCGACTAAAAATGCTTTTACAAAATGCTACCGGCACTCAAAAACAGCAAATTGAGTCAGGATATCATATGATAACCGACGAAGATAAAATGGGAAGTTGTTTCAAAGTTTTGTCTCTTTTCCCATTTATTCTAAAGGATTATTTAACAAAATGGCCAGTAGCAGGATTTGAAGACGAAGTAAAGCCAATGGATAAATCAGATCTATTGAAATAAATTAATAAAAATTAAAGTGTCGTTTTTATTTGAATATTAAAGATACATATAGAACATCTCTAGATTAGGATACAAGTTCAAACAGTATTATTAAATATCTTCTGCTTGCGAAAAATTACATGTTTTCCACGTTTTTGTGAACTCCAATACTTTTACTCTTTGCTCATCGAAGCTTTGTTTTCTTGGTTTCCGCCATAAATTGCAATCTAAATCCAACATTCCACCTATCACCTCCTACAATTGAAGAAATACGATTGCATTAACATATTGATTCATTTACGTGAAAAGCCAAAAAACATTTTCTATAGAATAGAATTCTTTTTGTCTCACCTCAGCGAAATTTTTCGGGAACATTTCCTCGTTCTCGATTACATGAGCATAACCAGGATGCGAAGCAAATTCTACCATGAAATATGACAAACCATTTGGTACGGCACGCCGTATACCTTTACTCTTTAAATCGATTACTTTCTTATTCATAGACCACTCGGTTTCACATTCCAACAATGCTTTCTGCACATAGAATGTGGAAAAATTATATCCAGACACATTATTATCCTTGCGGTAGTTGTATTAATATCATTACACATATTATTAGAATGCTTTGAAACATCAAATGGATTCCATTCTATCTCCATTATAAATAAATTATACAGAGAAATATTACGATAAGGTGACATACCTTAAAATACATTGGTGCTAATTCACCAATGTCGTTAGGTAACGGGATACATTCTAACTGCATGTGGGAAAATTTGCGTCGCTTTTTATATACTTCAAAAAATATCGGATAAAAATCTTCGTTCGTGAACATTGTCGTCAATTTTCTCTTTACTTCCTGTAAAATATAATTACAATTTCTATAATGTATAATTAAAATAGGATTGACAGTTATTCTTCTGATAAGACGAACTCTATAAATAAGAGGCAATGTTTATCTCTTTGGTTTTCATTAATAGGAGGCTCAGAATTTGTAAACATTCTAAGATCGAAGAATTCTGCAAAATCAATCGTAAATTTCATCCTCTAATCGCAAAATATGGTTTAATATAATTTAATCGATATAATTAGTATCATCTTTAAATGTTTAGAAGTTCTAAGAAATGATAATCAAATACTAAAGATATGTGTATATCAGCTTTCTTTCTTCTATAAAAATAATTCTATAAATTATTAGATTTACTAAGATTCCTTTTAATATACAATTACCTGAAGCCTTTCCCATATATCTTCGTCTAATTGTAATTGACACGCTATGTGTTGTACAGGTGTCAATATGCAATGACCAATAGTCAAGGAAGTGCAAGCGGGTAGACTTAGACAAATCATGGAATCCATTGTAACGATCATATGCTTTAACATATTCTTCGAGTCGGGGCACCACCAACAGTTATCCAGATACTTAGATAAATCCTTGTGCTCTTTGATCGCACGCATACGGTCCCGCTTATCATCCTTTGCTTCCAAATCCGTTCGTGCGATTTGTTGCTCGAACATATCGTCCATATGATCCATACCCTGCAAAAGGAGAATTCTAGAAAATCCGTTTTCACGAAAATCCGGTTACACGAAATTTAATCCATCAACTCACTTTGGAAGCAAATTTAGTAAACATAGCTTCGTCTTCGTTTGCCGATCTTCCTTTCTCTCGTTGAAACTGCGATAGATATTTGCAGTTAGTTGCTAGATATATTCAAAGATATGTCAATCTGTTCAATTACTTACCATTTCATGCAAAGAATACTTATCATCGTCCGCGAAATGACGTATTCTATCACCGGATACGTGTGTCTCCGCAATTTTCTTTTTCCTATGACTTTCCGTAGACTTTTTAGATTGACTTCTGGGCTGAACTGGCCTTGCAACACCTAACACAAAATTCCACATATTTACAACATGAAAAAATCATTTACTTTCGTATTTGGAAAGAAAGAAGCGTACCTTTTTCATCTGTTCTTGTAAGAATCACAGTCTCTTCTTGTACGACAGCTTTGTTCGCCGCAATAAACTTCCTGGCTTGCTCCAGTTGGCCCTTAAGTTGAGTCGCCAATTGCTGGAGGAATAAAATTATTCTAATAAGCGTGAAATTGAAGAATACAAGAAAAGCAGATAATAAAACAATAAAGCATACCTCATCACCCATTATTTCAGCTTTGATAATTCTTGCACCTAACTTGTTCATCTCTGCTTCTGACAAAACGCCTGTATTCTCGCTTTTAGTTATTTCATTTGCGTTACTAATTCTATCTGCAATAGTTTCCTTTAATCCAGATGGGGATGACTCAGACTCATATTTTCTATCATCATCTTTATCCTTTTTCCAATTTTTTACACGACTGCTGCTAGACATATGCGCAGTTTGCTGATAATAATCATCGTTCTCTTTGGGTCTTTGATACATTTGTTTCTGTTCTCTACTCTGTGCTGAATAGTGTGTGTTATACTTTCCAGTGCGTTCTCTACTTCTAGATCGAGATTTTGATCTTGAGCGATCCCTCTTTCTTGAATTGAAAGTTCTCCAAGAATTTCTCTCACTTTTGTCGTTACTTTTATGATGGAACTTATCCTGCTCAAAATTCGACATTCTTTCTGCTTTAGCTATCATTGATTGAATAGTTTCTAAGGACTGAAGAAACAAAATTAATTATAGGTTTTGTAATTCTATATTAATTATAATAATCACTTTAATAATTTATAGATTGACTATAACTATTCAACTGTTATAATAACAACTGTAATTATTACTATAACTTTATTATTATAACTATAATAATTTAATGATTAATTTTCTTAGTCAACTTACACCCCAGCGTTCTGCAGCTACTTCCTCTAGTCTTCTACCATCCCTAAGAGCTTGTTCCTCAGCACGACGAAGACTTTTTTTCAGCCAATTTGCATCAAGAATTGATTGATTATCAAATCTTGCTGAACTAATTTGAGGTAATCCATCACCACCATCTTTCCAATATGGATTTAATTCTCTATCACTTTGCCCTGGTTTATTCAGAAGATTCTTTATTTTTTCTTCTTCATTTGCATTAGGTTTTTGTTTTTTCATTTCAGACTTGGATGTACATGGAAGAAAATTTTCCATGTTCATCCACTCATCTCTTTTAAGTTGTTCTCCTTGTGCTTTGCTATTAATAGGATTTCCAGTAGCATATGAAGAAATTTGGTTTTCAGTAGTTTTCTCTACCCATTCCAATGTATCACTGCCAGAACTCTCCTAGAGATGTATAATTTTTATAATTATGATAAGAAACACAAAATTGCTTTGCATTATGAGTGAAATTAGAACGCATTGAATAAACTTTTACAGATTGAGAACTGCATTTTATTTTATATTACTGTTTTGAAAAATGAAACAAACAATAATGTTGTATTGACATGCAATAGTAAAGATCTAATTTAATTCTGAAACTAGTTAGAGAAAACTTAATTAGAAGTTAGGTTTCCTTTTTCTATGACAAGTCACAATTCTAAAGATTTTAATATTTACACTGCTTGAAGACGATGTAGAGTATTCCTTTTTTTTCTTGTATTTCTTCTTTTCCTTTTTACTAGCTTTCTTTTTCTTAAACTTGGACTTCTTAGATTTTTTACTTAGATGTGAAACAAAGTCATTACTATGGTTTGTCTTTACACATTCGTTATTATACATTGCAAAGTTGCAAATTAGAGTAAAAATTATATATTACAATGGTTTGATGATGCACTTTTCTTTTCAAACAACTAAATATTTATAATCCGTATTAAACTTGTCAAATATTAAAATAGGTTATGTTATGTCTGTAGAGCAGTGATGGATTTTGGCAAGATATTCGCCGTCCCAAGAAACTTCGTGCGCATGCGTAAGCTGACGTCACAACTAGAAATCAGCTGCGTTCAGAAATGTATCTAGAGTGCAGTAGTAGGTGCTATAAGGGACCCTTGTATTGTTCTCATGTGTGTTTATAAACAAGTGTCAACGTGTACTATGTGAATAGCTGAAAAAATAATAAATTTGTTAGGACAAAGAAGATGGATAATCCGCAGCAGCCTACATCAAGTGGCATCGAGAAAAAGAGTAAGAAACCAAAAAGAAGAGTATTCCAGTATTACAGTAAATAACAAATATGTCAATTTCCTTATTATTATTCATATTACTTGCACTCTATTCCTATCAAAGCAATTTTCCTTCCTCCTGCTAATTCCTTCACATTTCTTTTCTCGCAGGGCCCTAACGATACCTCAGATTCGATGAAAGTATATACGTCAGTGAGGATCCGAGCGTTTGCTCTGTACGCATGCGCGAGACATATCTTGCCAAAATCCATCACTGCTGTAGAGCTGTATATCCCCTCCCTTCCAGATAGGGGAAAATGGGGAGACTGCATTAAGTCGGTATCACACTAGTATTGGAGAATATTGTGAACCAAATTTTAGTATTCCACAAATTTCAATCTTATTCGCTTTGCCATGTGATTCGTCAAATTCTTCTCGGACAATCAAATTTTAATTCCTATCATACCACCAGATAATGTACTAAAACGCATCAATTTGTAAATAAGTACTAGGACTAGGAGGGAAGGGGTAAAATTACAAGAATTATTTTTAGAATTTTCAGAGAAGTCCCGTGAGGGGCAAATATTTATTTAGACAATTTCAGCAACTCTCGTACTTCCTTTATGATTTTTCGATAAAAAGTCTGCAAATTCCTGGTATGGCGCCTTAGCTAGAGCCTGTTCTTTCCACAAGTCTGGTGTCAGATAGGCGTAAGTCTTGGCTATCGCAGCGTAAGTCGCTTTGGCAAAATTGCCAAGGGTGCAGGTAGAACCTCGGGCGGAGGTGTAACAGTCTTCGATACCAGCCATTTGAAGTAACTTCTTGGGAACTGGCGCGGAGACAATACCGGTACCTCTAGGCGCCGGGATCAAACGTACTTGTACGGAGCCACATTTACCGGTGACTTTGCAGGGCACCGTGTGCGGCTTGCCGATCTTGTTACCCCAGTAGCCGCGTCGTACCGGCACTACCGATAGCTTGGCTAGGATGATGGCGCCGCGAATAGCAGTGGCTACTTCCTTAGAGCACTTTACTCCCAATCCAATGTGACCATTGCTGTCTCCAATAGCAACGAAAGCCTACAAAATATTTTAAGCAATTGCATAATTAAGATTAATTTATTAATATTTCATATTTTGTCTTTACATGTGAATCTCATGTTATAATGATGAGCTGAATTTTCTAATTACCTTGAAACGGGTACGTTGACCTGCCCTAGTCTGTTTTTGTACAGGCATGATCTTCAGTACTTCATCCTTGAGGTCTGCTCCCAGGAACTTGTCAATGATCTCATATTCCTTGATGGGTAAGGAGAATAGGTAGATATGTTCCAGAGACTGTATTTTGCCCTCCTTGACCAAACGGCCTAGCTTGGTGACAGGAACCCATTCCTTGCTGTCTTCCTTGCCACGACCACGGCCACGTCCTCTACCTCTACCTCCACGTCCTCTACCTCTTAATCCTCCACGACCACCTCCACGAGAGCCAAAACCCCCACGGAAACCTCCTCGAGTGGCTGGAGCAGCGTCCGCCATTCTGTAATTAAATGTACAAATACGACTACCAAAATCATTTAATATTTAAAAACTTATAGTTTATTAAAAGCATTGATTGAATATTACTGATAGTCACTATTCTTAATATAATATTACAATTACTACATTACAATTATATTAGTTACATAGGTGCTAAAATAATGTTACACAATTCAGTATAAAATATAGGATTATTGATTTCGCATAATTCATCAAGAGGAAAAGAGAGTGAAATATATTTGTTATATTGTAAGATTTGTAACATAACGATGCCAAAACATTTGAAATACTTAAATATATGACAATTTCTTAAGAAATTGCTCATGTTAAGTTACATGGCTTACATTATTATTATTGGCTTACATGTTTACAAAAGATAAAGAAATATAACACGCTATTGTAATATAAACAAGGAGAAAATGAAATATAAAATATAATAAATTGAAGTAAATATGAAATATTTTGATTATTTACGTTACTTTTCTCTTACTAGTCTCCTAGGAGCACGAAAGAAGAGAACTCCTTGTCAAGTAGAGAGAAGCCTGATGGCTCCTAACATGCTTGCCGCGCGGCGGAAGTTCGCGCGACAGCCAATCAATATGTTGCTTTTCCGTAAGAGCTAGAAGGTTATTACGGAAAGCAGCATATTGATTGGCTGTCGCACGAACTTCCGCATTACAGCGTCCTGTGTGTAGGAGCCATTACTGCTTAATGGCTTCTGCACACAGGACGCGGTAATACTTGCCACGCGGCAGAAGTCTGCGCGACAGCCAATTAATATGTTGTTTTTCCGTAAGAGCTAGAAGGTTATTACGGAAAGCAGCATATTGATTGGCTGTCGCGCGACGGAAGTTTGCACGACAGCCAATCAATATGTTGTTTTTCTGTAAAAGCTAGAAGATTATTACGGAAAGCAGCATATTGATTGTCGCGCGAACTTCCGCCGCGCGGCAAGCATTACCGCGTCCTGTGTGCAGGAACCACAAGTTTTTCTATGTACCACCAGCTTGACCCTTCAACCTTGGCTTGCTTTGTTCCAATCGGAACGCAGCCCATGATATATTCCTACATCCATGTTTAAAATTTGTAGAAGGTGGCGCCTCAGGTCTTCAGAGAATTGGTGCATTGATGCCTCTACACTTTGGTAACCTTATCCCCTATTACCCCTGCCTAAATTCGCGACAATGTTGAAACCACATTCCGATGAATAAATACTTTTTGTGTATATATATTGTTATTTAAGAGCTGATTATAGAACGTCGTGACTTCTTTCCTAGTAAGTAAAAATCGAAAACACCTGAAAAGAGCGGGCACTCTCGTTGGTTATGCTCTCAATGGATATTGTGGTGACTGTAACTTTGTTCTTTTTCGCCGGATTACAGATGAAAGAATTATAAAGAATCGCTGTTATACGAAATTGGACTTATGCCCGGAGTGCTTTATAGCCAATTACAAACGACTGACACTTGTAATGAAGCAATTAATCACTCTCTTGTATAAATGCCTAACCTAACCAGGAGGTCCAATGTATTGGTGAGCCACATAGCCAAAAATATCCTTGGAGAAGGGCATAGGGCTTGATGGAGAACTCCTCCATCAGAATTAGAAGAAAAAAAATGCATTGGTAACAATCATTGATTATTAATTTATTATAAATGCAAAAAGAATTTTTATGAGAACCAACTCATGTTTTAGTGTACTTTGTTAAATGGCAAGCAGTAGTGGCAGTATTACCAATACTAGTCCAGGATATGTCGCTGTCGAAAAATATATTAACTAGTTCAAATGTAAAGATTACAGCTGACCCATTTATTACATCTCACTCAATAATATGGGTAAATACAAGTATTATTATATAAATGGTATAATATAATATCACATGAATTTTATCTTTTTTAACATCATCTAACTTTTATCTTTATAATTGATTAAACACTGAGATTTATGATATTGAAATTGTACATTGCAATCCAGTGATGGCAGGAAACGAAAGCACGCCAGCAACCTTGGCAGATGATGCGTTATCCGCGAGACTACAGTGGTTACGTCAGCGTAGAGAAGCTCTGCAGGAGAAGCTTGCTCAAAAGAACAATGAGCTGAAGAGCTTGTGTGTAGAGGAGGCAGAGATAACAGGGATTCTGCCTCCAGAAATACCTTTGGAGCCTGGAGAAAGTCCACCAACTTTCCGTAGAAGAGCAGCCTCTGCATTTATATATCCAACAAAGCTAATCAACAAACTGAAAGCAACTGATCCTGTGAGTCCAGCATAACAAGATTGATATAACGTTTGTGTGATGTTTCAATGACTCGTCAAGGTGTATTGTATCGATCTTTATTCGTGTATACAGGAGGAATCGGAATTGGAGTTGGAACGGCAAGTACAGCTTGGCATTGTGGAGGCTGCACTGGAGGTCGTCAATGATCCTACGGAGAGTAAAGCTACACGGCGCAAGCACAGACTCGCCTATCAGCAGGGTCAGCGAAGATTACAGGAGTTGGATACCGAATTGAATTTCATACGACAGAGTCGCGGTAAAACGCATCGGCAGACAACGCAGCTGTCAGTTGGGACGCAAGGAAGTTACAACACGCATCCACATTCGCACGCCAACGTGAAGCATCGGACGAAGAAACCGCGACCACCGCTGGATAGTGCAGGTATTAATATGCAAAAAATATCATAAATTGTTGAGCAATCTTAGGGTGCAAAAGAGTTAGACGTTTATATATGATAATGATTTGTAATAGTCTGTGTCTAGATGTGGACAACGTAGACTATGCGTGAGATGTCGTTTAGATAGACAATGAGTAATCTATAGATATTGTTTAAAGAACAAAAAAATTGAGAAAAGCCTATTTTTTAATTTAATTTTTAGAATCCTGATTTAAGTTTGTGAATGTTGTTTCCTAGACAAGTTAGAGTGCAACAAGTTAGAATTTCCTAGTTGCATTCTTATCTTTAGAATTTAATCTATCAATCTATCACATAATGAAATAAAAATTCAATTTAACCTATTGTTTCTTTTAAACATTATTTTTATAATTAATACAAATATGGTAACTTTCTCACATAATTTATAATTACTTTTCTGTTTCATGTATATTTTAATATAATTTACAATATTCTATATAGTTCACATGATTTTGTCTGCATGATAAGAAATCATAGTATATATAGACAATATATAAAAAGTTCATAAATGTCTAACCCTAATAGCATAATCTTGAAATCTACAACACAATTCTGTTCTAAACATATTGGAATCACATAATTATCTGTGGTTGCATTCTCTTTCTTACCTTCAGAGTTAAATCTATCAATTTGTAAAGGTTTCCTTCAATCTTGTCTTTTTTAAACGTTACTTTTATAATTAATATCTAAAATAGGTATGATAACTTTCTCATAGTTTGATTACTCTTCTTTTGTGTATATTTAAATATATAATTTACAATATTTTACATATAATTCATGTTGTCTGCATGAAAAGAGACCGTATATTTAATCTGTCATTATATAAGTAATATGTGAAGAATTCATAGACATAATTTTAAAACCTACAGCACAATCCTGGACTCAACCTCAACATAATGCATTTATGATTATGTGCGGCAGGAAACGAGGTCAGTGCCGTGAAGTCCGCCGGAAGAGGAATACTTCACGAAACCGGTATCAGCCTCAGTCCTTTAGGCCCTGAAGATAAATGTATCACGTATTCCGGACACACGTATGAAGAGCAGCTGGTTGTGCCAACTCTGTGCAATCTCCATCATCACAGCGGCACTTATCCCGGCGTGAGTCCTATTGAGCAATCCAACATCAAGATCGTGGAGCACGATCACAACGACAATCAAAACGTCTACATCCTGCCCGACCAATACCGCGCTCGCACGTATTCTCATGGCAGTGGCGGCTCCCGTGGCCACCGGGACCATTATCAGGACACCGAGAGAACGTATCGTCCTTACGTGCCGAACACCTATACCGATGACGAGCGGCAGATGCGTTACCGGCAATTCCAGCAGCAGCAACAACAGCAATACTTTCCGAAGCAGCTTCTATACGAACACATGGCACAAAACTATAGCCCACAATATTCCTTCGTTGAGTGTAAGCACTTGGACAACGCGGATATCATCCGGAGAGCCAGCCAGGGATCCTACGAGAGGGAGTTCCGCGTCTCTCATTACGCGCCCGTTACCGACTATCAGATCTACTATAAGAATAGCGCGCAGTCTCAGACTGTGCAGAGGCGCGCCACGGATCGCGACTCGTCCAACGGCAAGAACACCCTGCGGCACACGGGCACAGGCGCGCCGATGATCGACGCACAGTTGCCGGCCGGCTATTGGATGCGTCAGGATGACGAGATCGTCTGGGTGAGCATGGACGAGCCGCCTATGACCGCCGATAGATTCGGCAGTCTGGATCGCAGAAGGCGGAACGCCCAGCACAACGGCGGTATTGGCGTAAACGCGGACGCACAATCGCGTTACCGCACTGTCGCGGTCGCCAGTACCAAGCCTTCAACGCACAGCAGCGCCTCCGTGTCGTCGTCGGCCCACCAGCACCACTCTGTTCATCTGTTGCCGCTATCTGAACAGCAGATACCGGCGAACAACAAGATGCTGCTGCGCACGCAGTCGTTAGGCAGCGTGGAGACGTGGCAGTCGAGCCACAGCCACGACTCGCACGACGGGAAGGATATCACGGCAGTGGAATACACCAACCGGAAGAGTCGCCAGAAAGAGTGGTACGAGACGTCCCTGGATTCCGGAATGAGCATCGGTCTGGATCAAAACCTTATCGCCGCGCGAAAGAGCACGCAATATCAGTCGAGTCCACCGCCAGCTCGTATCAAGGCCGCCAGCAACGAAAGTACGAAGGACGATCAGGTGATGACCGGACCGCCAGTCAGTCCGGTGAACCGTCGGAAGAGGGACAAGCTCGAGGAGCGACAACACATGATGCAGCAGCAACCTCATACGCGATACGATCAATCCGCGACGAGGCCGAAGGTACTGGAGATACCGGCCGAGTCGAAGCCGTCCCTCGACGTTTGCGACGACGCGGTGCGAGCGCCCTTGGGCTCGCCGCAGAACTGCACTGTAGTCCAGGCTGGCAAATACCAGCCGTACCGGGAAGTAACCAAGCCCTTCGAGATGTCCGACTTTTACAAGTACAGCACGAAGTTCCGCAAGAGAAACGAGGTCGCTGGCCAGCAACTCGGCAACGACTCGCCGCTCCAGGAGAACCGACCCGTCGCAGAATCCGGCGACCTATCCAAGGATTCTAGTGCCTATAATTACGGGCAAAACGGCAGCGCCAGCGTGACCGCCAGTCCCGTACAGAGAAAAATCTATCAGCCGGTGCAGCGCATGACCTGCCAACCATATCTCACGTCTTTAAGATAATTGCTGAGGATAATCGCACATATCGTAATGTTCGTTCCCGTTGTCATACGTATCATACCTGCGCGGTTGTGTAAATTCGACGCAAGTACCTAAAGAAAAATTATCATATATAATGGTATAAGAGAGAGATTATATATAAGATTATATATAAATTATATATAACACATATATATATATATATATATATATATATATATATATATATATATATATATATATATGAATTTGGTCTCTATATAGTCATATATAAAAATATACATGTCCACACACAAAAAAGTATAGTTGAACGAAAAGAAAGTTTTATTCAATCAAATATTGACATTCTAGGCTAGTCACAAATGTGAGTATCTACTTCGATTACATTTGCACAATAACATTTTTTTCTATGTGGACGTGTATAATTTATATATGATTCTAGATGGCCATGCACAGACAAAATTCATATATAAACATCTTTTCCAGGTAGGCTAATCCTATCGAAAGATGTCTTTTATTCTTTCTGATCTGACCTTTTCAGGGAAGAATTCATTGAAGTTGGGAAAAATTGATTTAATATTGAAATAATACAAAGGGTACATTTCGAAATGTACTGACAATACTGAAGATCCATAGTATAGATAACATAACATATAGTATAGATAAACTACAAATTGTTAGCATGTTCGAGAATGCAGTCAAGTATGACATCTGTCATTCATATGAAGGAGTGTCTCTTCATATAAGGAGTCTCTCTTTTTCTTGTTGTGGATTTATTCACAGTAATGTTCACACATTTGTTATTGACGATGTTTAAATTAGACAAACTGTATATATCTAAACACATACATATATATCAGTATCCCTGAAAAGGTTGATCATCATCAATATCTCGTACGGTAGACGTGTAGGTACCGTAGAGATTTTACACAGCACAATTTTGCTTCCTTTAACACACACCACCAGTATTTTCCATTGCTCCGTTTCAAGAGTCAGTCATTTGTCGATGATAGTCTTTGTTGATCATTAACGACGTCGATGCAACTATCGATTGCGATCGTAGTCGGGAGACTTGTAATTCTGACACATTTACCAAATCGTAAATTCGATATGTAGAGGTACATATTATTTTTAGAAATTTTACGATGTTTATATCGCGTATACGCGAAATAATTTTGCGTCAACAAAGAAACGAAGAAAATTCGTAAGGATTGCAAAATCCTTTAAACTCTAACGTCGATTTACAAAAAAATATTGGGACCTGAGTAGTGCCTTTTACTAATTGAAGTGTCAAGTGGATGACAGGACGCCTTTGTAAGAAATACCTAGAAATTATTGATCGTGAAATGAATTTGTTGAAAAAATCCTCCACTTGTCGACTTCTATTTTAATTGCATTCATAATTGTGTTCAGTAACGAATTACATATATTTTTCTAGAAATTATATATATATAGATATATAAAAATTATATATTATAGGCAGTGAATTTAAAAATTACTGTCGGTATAAGTTGATAATATTCTTTGTTAAACGAAACTCTTTCCACGTTCGATTATTCGATGATTAGACGAAGTGTAGAGTCTATGATTTTTGTGTGTGTACGATCAAGTGCATTGCTCTGTTTCTATAGTTCTGTAGACCTCCATATGAGAGTCAAACTACTGCACACGAAATTGTAGACGTATGCATTTTAGTCTCTTAAAAGATAATATACAGGGTGCAGCAAAAGTATCGGACCGGTAAAATATCTCGAAAAATATAAGTTTTACAGAAAATTGCTTTAGATAAAAGTTATAAGTCTTAGGAAAATCTATTTACTGATTTTAACAGTTTGACCTTGGGTGACATTTCGAGGTCAGGTCGAGGTCAACATTGCTTTTTTAAATAGAAACATATATTTTTTATTACGAAATTTTATTCTACGTGAAGAAACACATCATTTTTGTTTGAAAACATTTTTTATACGACCTCTATTTTCTAAGATATTTGCGGAAATATCTACAAAATTATTGGTTTCAATAATTTTTTATTCAAATTCTATCAACTTTACCAAAAAATAGCAAGAGATAAAAATTTTCTATTTTCATTTCATAGAGCTCCGAAAATTTTTTCAGAATTTTTTAATTAACTTTTTAGTACTGCATTTTCTTGCATTTTCTTGAAGTACTAAAAAGTTAATTAAAAAATTCTGAAAAAATTCTCAGAGCTCTATGAGAAAAAATAAATTTTTATCTTTTGCTATTTTTCGGTAAAATTGATAAAATTCGAGTAAAAAATTATTGAAACCAATAATTTTGTAGATATTTCCGTAAATATCTTAGAAAATAGAGGTCGTATAAAAAATATTTTCAAACAAAACTTGTTTGTTTCTTTACGTAGAATAAAATTCCGTAGTAAAAAGTATATGTTTCTATTTAAAAAAGCAATGTTGACCTCGACCTGACCTCGAAATGTCACCCAAGGTCAAACTGTTAAAATCAGTAAATAGATTTTCCTAAGACTTATAGCTTTTATCTAAAGCAATTTTCTGTAAAACTTATATTTTTCGAGATATTTTACCTGTCCGATACTTTTGCCGCACCCTGTATAATGTTTGTGTATATTAAAAAAACAGCGAAAGCTGGAACATGTCTAGTTCTAAGGCGGTGACAATATTGATTCCCGATGTATAAAATATTACTCCAATATCGCATAAATGATCCATATTTTATTATGTAGCTGAAAACGGCGTGTTTATATACTCGTATAATATGAAAATATAACGCTGCATATGATATGAAGGAATAGAATAAACCTCGCTACAGAGATCATATTTATTCGTGTAACGCGTTTATCAAAAAACTTAATTATTAAGTCTAAGTTTCATTTACTGCCTTTAACGCGTTATTCACTGACGCCTATTTTAATATATTACATTATTTGTATCATGAGAACGATACTCTGTTACTGTTTGTAAGCCCGTTACCCCCACGAGCAATAGATTTTTTTTACTTGATTTATTTACGGTTAGAGCTCCAGCGTCATAGAAGTAGAAAATAACGGCCTTAGTTAGCTGTGATTAACGATACATGCGTGTTCTAATTGCTTATTCTTAAGAAATTTTGTATTGCCTTACATATCAATTTTCCATATACGTCAATAAAAATGCTGTATAACAATTGCAACAGTCATGTTAATTTAATATAACGATATTGTTATACTGCAATATTAATATAGCGCATCATTATCATATTAGTTATTACATATATAGCAATATTATTAATGTAACAATATTAATTTGTAATTTTATATGACGAACAATTGAAGAAGAGTGCGAAAGAAAATCTAAAAAATGACAAGAGAGTATCGAATGGCCTTGAAAGAATATCTCAAGATATAAAATAGAACCATTTTCTCATAAATCGTAATATGTACAGTCTGTCAAAGAAGAATAAGAACGTATGCGGGTTAATTTGTAGAAAAAATTATTTAATACAATTTTCAAATATATGGATACTTTGTACTCGATCCGAACAAAGATGCAATTATATTAATAATGCGTCTAGTCACCATCGATAATTGCCTGGCATCTTCGAGGCATACTTTCGACCAAGTTTACAGTGTATTCATGCGATAAGGATCTCCAAATGTAACGAATTTCTCGAGTTAACTGCTTCAAAGTAAATACTTTTCTTCCAAGCTTTCTTCGAAGCTTGTGCTTGATGTATGCCATAGACATAGAATATCTGGACGGAACGTAAAGTATTTTTATGGGCGCGGGGTGTGAAGTCAGCGCGGTGAGGGGAAATTTTCGTCGCGGCCATCTTTGGTGATCAAAAGTGACACACATTATATATATATATATATATACCCCACTCTCCCCTACTCCTTTGTTCATTACATTCTAAAGATGACACGACTAATAAGAAAATGACAAAGAGCTCAAATAACAAAATAGCTTGTATCTTAGAAGATATTAGTCTTAGGACCCATGTTAATTAGAACTTTTCTTCTTGTTTTGATCAATACTACTTGCTATCAAAATATGTGACCCTTTTTTTTCAACACCCTGTATATGACAATGCATATCAACAACAACGCATTCTATAAGTTTTGTTGATGAATATTATACTAGCTTAATATACTGTTGTTTATATATATCGTCGATATTAAGATTATCTAATAGAAAGTTACTATTTAGTACGCGTATCAAGTGCACGATGTAAACCAAGCCTATGTATACACATGTCATATATATATATATATATATATATAAAAGAGATCGGACATCATCGCCTGTAAATACTAGATTTGCCATGTTGGGACCAAACCGGAAGTATACTTATCTCACTTTAACTTATTGCACGAGTTCAGCAGTGCAGCCAGTGCAGTCAGTGCAACTGAAAAGAACAGACTGCTGTTTATGTTGTCATTCAGCTAATGATCCTAACCGGAAGCGTATCCCAAAGATGGCGCAGCCAATCAAAACGTTGACATATGGTGTCCGATCTCTTATTATAGGATCTCTACGTGAAAATCGGTGCCGGCCAAAACGTATGGCATGGTCGTTCTCAGGTTTCTCTCTGTCGTAATATTTAAAAAAAATGGAGGAAGAGGTGAATGATAAAACTCCCGAAGAACAACTCCAGAAAACAGCCGGGAAAAAGATAACCATCGAGGTGGACGAAGACGATCCATGTCTCCGGAAATACAAACAGCAAGAGCAGGCAACATTATTGGGCAAACATCTCGGTTATGATCCAAGGTGTGCCAATGAGAAGTTCAAGGTGTATCGCACATAAATGAACTCTGTACGATTCCTCGCAGATTTCAACAGCAGAATCAGACACAGAGATGTTTCGTCATGTACACAGATTTTTATCGTTGTGAGCATATATTAGGTGAAGGTACCGGAGCGTGCGCGTGGTTCAAGGAGGTCTTTAAATCTATCTGCCCAAATGCCTGGATAGAAAATTGGGACGAACTCCGACTTTCCGGACGATTAGCCTGGCACAAATATAAGACTCAGGGTGCTTTTCCCGGCAGCAAATATGGTGAATGATGATCGCTTGGAAAATTTTGTAACATCACTGACTAAAATTCTTTAGTTTTGACTCCATAGAATAATCAGACAATTACCTTACGGTTCTATTATTTATGTACACAAGTATTATATTATCTATTATATCTTGACTTTTTCTCTCTATAAGATTTGTGATCAAGTAATAATAATGAAGTAACGATAATAGAGTATTAGTAATATATAGTCACAGAGGAAATATATGTGTATAAAAATATCACATGACCAAAGTATATCGGTATTGTTGTAAGGTGGAAGGGAAGAAGGGATTTTACAATAAAATTAACACAAACCAGTTAAGGAAAAAATATTCAATTTTATTTTACAGAAATAAGATATTTACTAGCATGAGGTAACTTAAAAACGAAGAAAGATTAACTGATGCAATTATTCATCAGCGTTGAGCTATTCACAGTTGCTGGACCATCTCTTCTTTCGAGTCTTAATTCTTCCTTGGTCTAAGTGATCAACTAACTCTTCTTCTATCTTTACAGCAACCACACTGATTGCTTGCAGTTTGTGACACTTTTTTCTCCTCTTACAATCGTAAAAATAGACACTCGTAGGTATTTGCTTTGAACTTTCGATAGAATTGCGGGTGCCCCTCTTAAGCCTCCGTATCGACACGACGTTTTATGTTTAAAAGAAAAGAAAAGGAAATCCCGTTTCACGCGCAGAACTTTACAAAACAAAACTGTGATATCGGGATTGTGCACAAAAGCACCTGCCATGGAGTAGACAACTTACCATCTTCAGGTGTTGCTTCTGTCTGCACAACACGTGATCCTGTCTGTATTGACGTATCAACTTCTACGATGACAAAGTGATGATGATCACCTGCAAGTTGAGAAACAAAGGCATTTGCTTGAAGGAGACTGTTACAGCTAATTGCTATTATGTGTGTAAATATTAACAATAATCAGAGTGGCGAAGAGATCTATGTTGAAACAAAATTTTACGTGATTACCCTCGACATTATATATATATATATATATATATATATATATATATATATATATATATATATATATGTGTGTGTGTGTGTGTGTGTGTGTGTGTATGCATACAGGATATCTGACAATTCACAAAACATCCATTATAGAACTCATCAAACTGAGAACACAAAATTCCTGTACCATTTCACAAACGACTACGTAAAATTCTGAGTTATTGATTAAAGAAGATTGATGCATGACTGTGTACAATAATGCATCAATCTTCTTCAATTAATAACCAAAAATTTATATGATCATTTGCAAAATTGCAGAGAACTTTTTTGTTCAGTTTGACTTAATATACAAGCACACGACGGCAGACACAACTTATCTATCGCGCGTGATCATTCATAGATTTTCTTTTTTAATAACAAAAAATTTTACGTAATTGCTAAGTAGTGCAGGATTTTTATGTTCAGTTTGATAAGTTCTATCCGCAATGGATCATGAACTGTCATGAATTATCAGATACCCTATAAATATACTTGGTTTCAAAATACAGTTTTGACACTTTTATTTCCTAATTTTCGCGGAAAAAAAAAACGGTTCAAGCCGTTTCGCGCAAAGTGTGTACGTGTCGTTTTGCAATTCTAATCTATATATTTTAATAAGTTTATCTTCCCGAGAAAGAGAAAGTGCGCGTGACCCATATTGACGTTGAGAAATCTGGACCACCTTACGTATATCATGTTGAATATGTTCAGTAGTAATGTGTTATTTCATGTCGAACTCGCTGACTGATGAATAAACTGACAATCTCCATCGTTGCAGATACCCATTAAATCGTAAGGGCACAGAATTCCATTAGGGTTCACGTTCCTAGTTGAAAAAGTGGGAGAAAGCACAAAAATTCTCAAAATTTTTAGCTAATCCACGGACAATGCACAATCAAGCATTGTAACTTTACTTTAGATAAAAGGCGACCCACCTTGGCGTTTTTAAATGTGTCAATATCGATACATAAGGTTTTATTGTTGTTGTCGTCGTCGTCGTCATCGTTGTTGTCATCATCGTCGTCGTCGTCGTCGTCGTCGTCGTCATTGCTGTCGTTGTTGTATTCATCATCGTCGAGGAAGTAGTTTTCGTCGGCGTCGTCATCGCCGTCTGCGTCGTCATTGTCGTTGTCGTGGTCGTTGTCATTGGCGATTGCGCTGGCGATTGCGCTGGCGACTGCACTGGCGACTGCGCTGGCGACTGCCCTGGCGATTGCGTTCTCTTTTTCTCTCGCTCATTGTCCGGACACAGCGAATAATCCACTGACGGTCCTGGCTCTAGAGATGTGGCAGACACAGGGATGTCCACCCTACGGGTTCTTTGCGTACATTCGTTATTTCGTTTTACTGATATAGGTGTACTACTTAGCTTTGGTTCGGAGAGCAATCTATCTTCAGTGGGTGACTCTTGTTCGTCGCTCTGAGACTTCGATACAATCATCGAGGTTTTCTTTTTCGTTGGCGTCACTTCGTTCGGAAGTGTTTGCGGTGTGTCTATCGTTGGCGAGCTTTCCGTGTTATTACATCGCGCCAAAAGAGAGGAAGCATCATCGTCTTGTGAGCTCATCACATCGCTGACCATGTCGATTGCCGGTAGCGTTTGTAATAACACATCTTCTATAGCTTCTAATGTGATCTTAGATGACTCTGAGAGCGACGAACTGGGAAGTATAAAGTTTTCGGAAGCATCGTTGGATAACAATTTCCTGTTGGAGAGCTGGCGAGTATGATTGGCGATTTCTTTGAGTTTCTCATTCAATAGTTGACCTCCCGCCTCTGGTAGCCTGAAAGAATAATCTATATGACCGATAAAACAACTCCGAAGACAGTATACTACAATTTCTCAATTATGCTCCTATATAAATTCTAGACAATTTCTCGATAGTTATTATTATAATTATTATTATACAGAGAAATTACATGTGGATAGGAAAAATAATGTAATGTAAATTATATAGCAGGAATAATAAAATATTAATTTGATGTTAGAATATTAATTTCTAGACAATTTTTATCTATTATTCCTGCTATATAATTTTTACATTATTTCTTTTATTTTATATTAATCTAGAATATTAATTATAATTAATCTAGAATATTAATTATAATAATTATTATTTCTAAACAATTTCTTGATCATTTTTTCTTATATAATTCCTACATTATATATTCCTCCTATTTGTATGTAATTTCTCTGCAAAAATAATCTAACATATCATGATAAAATGTATCTTGAGACCCTTGAGTATTCGCGTAGACTGTCCTCGTTTGATGACATCAGAAACGAGAAATTGCATATTCACGATTGTTGTGTTATACGTTGAAATAAAAAATATATCCATGTGACATAACAGATCAAAATTAACATAACAAAAATTATGAGAAAAGTTTGATTAAAACCAGAGTTGTATACCATACTAAGTTTGCAGCTATTTATTGATTTTAATTTAGCAAAAAGAGAGAGCTTAGAGCATTTTAAAAATTTTCTGAATCGATCACAAGTGACGTTTTATAAGTATATTTTTTTATTTCAACGCAAGAATCATGAGCAGGATTTTTCGCCTCTGACGTCAACAAATAAAGACAACCGACGTGAGTATCCCTTAAATAGATGAGATATGAATGGCCAACAAAAGCCTACTCCTGGACATTAGTATAAATGGTTTAAATCACAGAAGGATATAATGTTTGGAATGTGAATGATACATTGAAAGCTTTCACATCTGCGTACTTGTAGTTCTTTCCGAGCCGGTTGCCCAGGGCCGTGCAGATTCTTGACAACTTGAAGCACTCGCGTCGACCGGTATTAATTTTTTGGTGCGCCATCGTAATCTTCGGACCCATGTTGCTGACGCGATTACGCTGTTTCTCCAGCCTCTCCTCGGCTATTATGAGCTGTTCTTTGAGCTTCTTCACCTCGACGGCCAGGCTGTTCTGCAACTCCTTCTCCATGTCCCACTGACGGAGGTTCCCCGACATGTCTGCTAAATGATCTAGGACGGTGTAACTGAAACGCACATGCAAAATACAATTCAATATTTGAGCATAGTTTTTATGGAATCGATTTAAAGATTTTTCATCATACTGAACAAGCTGAAGAGAGATATGATCAAAGCATTTTTTCAGACTAAATATATCAACAATATTGGAAATATGTAAACATGTATTCTGTAAAAAAATTTCTAAATCAATCTCAAGGTTGGGAAAGTTACTTTCGAAAAGAAACGTGTTACTCGTCACCCATCGACAAAAGTAACTCGTTACTGTTATTGTTATACCTAACAAATAACAAATTTTTCTTTATCAAGATCTTCTTTATCAAATCTTGAAGAGCTTTTTAGCGATTCGCTACCATCTATTCCATGTACGGTAGGTTGCAAAACTATTTGCATACAATAAAATTGGAATTGGTTTGCTAAACTATAAAAATTGAGTCCGTCTCTGACAGGACTTGCCTAGCAATTACATTAATTATTATTACTTATTCTTAACGACATTGCGTAACTTTATTGTGTCTAAATCGTTTTGCAACCCACTATATATATTCTCAAATCAATATATATACACTACATGCACAAAATATCAATAAAAGTAACAATCCTACATTTGTTGCCGTTACCTAAAAAATATAATTGTGTTGTTAATAAAATTACGTTACTGATGAAAAGAATATGATCAAATGAAAAAGTCATTTCTGAAAAAAGTAACGTATTAAGGTAAAAATATCAATGCCCAGACATGTACCTAATCCTGGACATTCTTATTGTTTCGGTCTTTGAATATAAATTTAAACTTTCAATATAAAATATACAAGAGTATATTGAGTATATGTACGCATTTTCTATGTTAAAAGTTTCTACGTTAAATATTTATATTTAAAGACCGAAACAATAAAAATATCCAAGATTGGATACGTCTTCCCAAATCTGATTAAATCAACATATTACATCTTTAAAAATTCTCAATCATCATTACCGTCTCGCGACTAATTTGTTCTCGATGTCGGACAGGTGCCGCTGTTGCTCCGTTTTGGAAATACGCGCGAGAGACTCGAGTTCTATCTTCACGTCCCGTTTAAGCGTACTCCAGGCATCTTCCGTGTTAGCTGCATCGCCAGTGCTCGCACTAGACTTCGACGAAACGTCGTTTCCATCATTACAGCAGTTATCTGCCGCGAGCAACGACGACGCCGAAATATTACGATTCATTTCGCGCTCATACTGGGAACGCGATATCGTGGTTTCCATCGAGTCCATGAGTTCTTGCTCGCTCGTGTTCGAGATCAGCACGGTGGTGGCGTTGGAGAAGTTGCTGTCGTTGACTCTGTCGTCGTCGTTGCTCTTATTGGCTGTTCTCTCATCTAGGTTTTCCATCACGGCGTTACTGTTCTCAACAGGCTCGTCGCTGTGGCTGGTGTTCGTCGTGTCGTGCCATGAACTTGGCGTCTTGTCGTTTATGGTGACCACTCGCTCAGTTGTGTCCTGATTCAATTGCACCTGCACGTACTTGCGATTGATCTCGTCTCTGGACAACGTCCTCAAAGCTGGTCTGAACTGCAGCTTGTCGCTCATGGGCTGATGCTTGTTTACAAACTCGACCGAGTTCTCGAGCGTTTTAGTTTCCATTGTGACGCGAGCTGGCGCGATCTCATTGGTAATTCGGATACTGAGATTTGGTATTATTTTCTTCGTCGTTTTAGCCTGCAGCTGCATAGAATTGGTCTGTTTAGCAATATTTGAGATACCTTTGGTAACGGACGCAGGAGATGTAGTCAACGCGGTCGTGCTCTTCGCCACATCGACAATTTTCGCTTTAATCTCTGCCGCCGGTTGCTGAGAATCTTTCTCTGGTTCCTTCGACTCAGTCTGATTCTGTCTCGCGGATGCGTTTGACACGTTCTTGGTCACTTTATTACCAACGCTACTGTCGTTACTCTTGTTCACCACTTTCCTCTGCTCCTTCAACTTCTCACGTTCCAAGATTTGCTGTTTCAAACGACGATATTCTTCTTGTTTTGACGCTGAAAGATGTCTCACGGCCTGCAAAGACAAAGCGGAAGAAAAAGAGGAAAATGCGATTTCAAAAAAAAGGTGGAAAGTACAAAGATATGAAAATTATTAAAATAATTTTGATTTTTTCTTTAATTATTATTTTATTTTATTTATTTTCTTTCTTTATTTATTTTTTTTAATTATTCTTTTCAATAAATGCTTAATTTCACCAAATATTTGTTATCAATATTCCTTATAGGTTTAAAATAATCACAGATTTGAATTACGTTTATTTCTCTGAAATAATCCGTCATTATTATAATATAATTAATATAATTATTAGTCGTACAATATATAATACAAACTTGTAATCATTTTAAACCTATAGAGATAATATCGATAATAAATTATAATATTCCCTAAAATTAGGCATTTATTGAAAAGAACAATTAGAAAAAATTAATAAAGAAATGAAAAGTGTCCTCAATTTTCACACTTCTGTATGTCCTCTGATAAATAAGTGTGCGTAAATCTGACAGCAACTGTACTAATCGATTTGTAAAAGTTATATTTCTTATGAGTGGTGCATATGAAACTCAAATTCATTGCATTCATTGCGATAAAAAAAAAGGAAAAGGAAAACGTACTCAAAACAATATGTAATATAAAATGTGAAATAAAAATCTAAGTATAATTTTTAGTAAATTTGTCACATTAATATAATTAATGTGACAATTTGTCATATTAATATAATTAGAAGTTTACATTATATATGTTCAATTAATCATTAAATTTACATTATGTTACATAATTTAATTAATTCTCATAATAATAAATTTTTCATAATTTTTCTAAGTCTGTTCATTTTCCCATAAATTATCTTTTATTGATGCAAAGCGATAATAAAATCGTTGCAAATTTGATGCCTGTTATTATCCCTGGGGAGAGCCTCGAACGTCACAATGTATAGTCTTACCAACGGTGTGTGCATGTTGGACGAATCCTTCTCCGTGTCCGTCTGCGTCACTGGCGTTGGCGTGTCTCTCCTCGCCGTCTGCGGGGACAAAGCGGGCTTAGAGGAAGAGGTGGCGGTCGAGGTCTCGTGTTCTTTGCGCACGTCGCGCAGGAACTTGTGTAGGCTCTTCTCGAAGTCAGTATTAGGCTCCTGCGTGTTGACGTTGACGATCGACGTTACGACGGGCATGGGTTTGGCGTTACTGTCTTTCTCGAGCTCGGACTCGCTGTCACTGTCTGAACCCAGATTGATCACGATTCGCTGCGTCTCGCTCGCGTACGCCATCGACGACTTCTTCGTCGGCCCGTTGGGGACTGACCACACGTTATCCTGATGAGCGGTCGGCATCAGCTGCTTCACCTTACCTTTGTTGAGAACGTTCGCCTCGAGCTTCTGAGGATTCAGCTTCCGCTGCACCATCGTGTTCTGATATTTCTTCGCGTTGTTCACCACTTTCGTGCTGGCCGGCACGGGTGCTTTTCTCAGCATCTTCTTCGGAGGCCCTTTCGTGCCCGTGGCCGCGGCGTTGGGTCTCTTTTTAACGCCGCCAACAGAGAGATCACTCGCCATTCCGTTGGCCGTGATAACCGGTTCGGTGCTCGCTGATACCTTCTGTGCGGCTGCTTGATCATTCGTCGCGTTGCACTCGTTCGTAACGACCGACGTCGCTGAAGAGACGGTGCTGTTCGTGTCCGACTTGGTCATTCGCTTCGTGAGCGAGGCCAAGAGAATGGCGCGCAGTTCGTTCTCATCCTCGTCCATGCTCGCTCTCCTGTTAGCGTCCTTCGCGTCCGCCACTTTGTGCTTGGCAGTGTCGAGGTTCGCCGATGAACAATGGGACTCGGTGCTCTTCTCTTGCGGGCATTCATTGTCTGTCGACGATGTCGTGTGCTTCTTCAACTCCTCCTTGTCGTGCGAGGACGCGTGTTGGTCGTTCTTCTCGACGTTGTCCGTATTCTCTGTTCTGATGTCTTTATCATTGTCAGCCGGCAAGGTTGGACACTTGCTTTCTGCACTCTCTTCTACGCTCTTTGTGAAATTCCCTCGCGCTTTATTGGCGTCGTTGTTCTTCTTCTTAGGCTCGGACTCGGTGCTTGGTTGTCGCGGAACGGGCGGTGGAACGGTCGTGGTAATATTTACATTTTTATTTACATCGTTATTTGTACATGAACCGTTCTTCCTCTTTGCCGTTGATTCCGCGACATTGCAATTCGCGCGACTGTTCTTTTTGGCGCGTTTCCGCTTCTTGGACGTCGGAGAGCTGCCGCTCTTCGTGACCGCCATAGGCTTGGTTTGCTCGGCTGCCTTGGGACCATCGCTGCTCTTGGAGGCGTCACTCTTGGACACGTTGCTCTCTGAACTCTCGTTCATGGACTCCTTGAAGACGACGGGAGCCGTCAATACGCGGTAACGCTTCTTCGGGAATGGTACTAGTCTGATCGGCTTGAAGACGGTGCCGCTCCTCGGGCTGCTCGGGCTTGTGATGACGATCACCGGTTGCATCTCGGCGCTCTTGAAAGTCGGCTCCGTGTGCTGCTCTTGTTTCGCTGACAATGACGACGACGACGACGACGACGACGGTAACGGTTGCTGAAGCTGCTTGTTCGACTTCAAGATTGGCACAGGTACCAGCGTCTTGTTGATCAACGTGGGAATCTTATTCGCATCTTTGGTGATATCCGGCACACCCTGCATGTACGAGGGCTCCCTGCTAGTGTCGGCTTGGCAACACATCACCGCATCGTTGGCGACGTAATCGGAGTCTGACGCTAATACATCTCTGTCGACACTGGCGGCAGGGAACGCTTGCTGATTCTCCGGCTCGTGAGAATCGTGACCAGTGATTATCGAGACGCTGTCACTGTTCAGCAACGTCGGCGTTCCTAAAGTAGACATCGTTGAGACGTTGGCGACAGGATATCCCACAGCCATATCGTAAGCGTGTTCATTACCTCGCTGCTCGCCAACCGTCTGCTGTTCCGTGTACGTCGTCGTCGAGGCCAAATTCACCAGTAGATCGTCGTCGGTAGATTGCTCCACGATACTCTGCATCTGCGGACTCACGTGAAGGCGGTCTGGTAGCACGGAAGACGCCGGAAGATCGATCACTGGAAGATTTTGTGTCGCCCCGTTGGTCTCTGGATACGCTGACGCAATTGGATAACTACACTTGTTGTTGGCGTCGTCGAATGTCTGCTGGCAGCAAGTGCCGTCTATCAAGTCGCAATCGATGCAGTCGCCAGGCGGGATTCTGAGGTAGCCGGGCAGCTCCTTCTGGCCATTTGGTTCCACGTGGAAGCTCTCATCACTGTTGCTCAATAACGGCGAGGATGCAAAGCGATTCGGAGATGGAGTGTAATACGGGAGGTAGGTGTCGTCTAGCGCTGATGACGCGATCCCATCAGGGTGAGACGGTCTTCGCTCGTCGTTCGTCGCGAAGATCGGGCTGTTGTTAAGATTGATGAACGACACGTCCGACGGCTCGATGCCGAGTAGCTCCGTGTCGATCGGCATGTCCGTGGTGATCTTGTCAGTCGGCGAATACGGCAACTTCTCTTTCTCCCTCTCGACATCCGTATCCAGCTCCATATCCTCGACGTGATTGCTGTCAGCCGACGGTAGCATCGGCGGGGTGGACGGTGGCGACGCGAACTGCAGCAGTTCTTCGTTAGGCACGGGGATGTCCTCGAGAAAGCTCTGGGTGAACGGACTCTCGCTGCGATTAACCTCCGCTTTCCTCTTGTTCTTCGCTCGTACGCCACGTTGCACCCTGTTCTGATGCTTCTTCATAACCGCTGAGCGCAGCGCGATCATACGCAGCTCCAGAGCCTCCTCGTCCTGCTCGTCGTTTATCTTCGTCGTCATGGCCGCCTTCGCTTCCGTTTTCGTCGGCTGCTTCGACTTGCTGGGCTTGTTCTTCTGCTTTGTATCCAACGCTTTCTGTCGCAACAACGCCAAGTCGTCCTCCTCGTCAAGTTCGTTACCAACCATGATCGGAGTCTTCTCCGCGAAACCGTGCGCCATGTGGTCGTTGGCGATTTTCGGTATCTTCATCATGTTGCATAGCTTCTCCTTTAACGACGCCGGCTGGTGCTCCTTGTTCCGCCGGACGCTCGACTCCGGCGTCCAGCGCGCGCCCACGGAATCGAGGTGTTTCACCTTTTTCAGTAATCTAGTCACGTCGCCGTGGCGGTCACTAAAGTAGGCAGCAGACGACGACGGCGGCGGTGACGCGTTCAGCCGCATCGTCTGCTTCCTAGAAGTCACTCGCATAGGAGATACAGAGTGCAACGAACTGGATCGCTTAGGCGATCTGAGTCTCCGCGGCGACCTTCTTGGAGATCGAGAACGCTCCAGCGGAGAGCGGGACGAGCCGTGAAATGTAGGCCGCGCGCCTACGGGTGACCTGTGTTTCCGCAGCGGCGACTTCGCGATCATTCGCGTCCTGCCGCTCCTATGGACCGGACTTGGATCTCTGTAGCGCGTTCTGCTTATGGTGATTTCCTTGGACGTTTCTCTGGAGCTGCTCCTTAATGTGCTGAAGCACTCCGTTATGGGCAGATCTGCGGATGCCGGGGAAATTAAGTCATCGACGGTAAGATATTCGTATTCCTTTTTCTTCTTTTTCTTCTTCTTGATCTTGGTCTTCGAGCGCGTCATCAGCTGCTTAGACATGTCCGTGAGACCCACGATTTCCATGTCGCTGTCGCTCGAAATCGGCACCAGATCGTCGTTTTTCTCTTGCAACGTCGACAGGACGTGTTTCATTATCGTGCAACCGGCCTCGTTCACGTGATGACGATTTTCCTTGCCCTTGACTGGATCTTGCGAAAGAACATTAATTTCTACTACATTAGATTAACATATCAATATCTAAACTTAAGCACAACACTAAAATCAACAGTATGGAAAATGTACTTGAAATAAGGTCACATTATTCAGACTGAAGTTTAAATTATCAGAGATAGTATCGAGATAAATAAACACCACTTGTTAGATTGTGTTATTGATTTGCTATTGATCATAAATTGAATTTGTTATATGTAATTATCTTTTATATATAAATCAATAAAACATCAGTATTTTCATGCCAGTTATCAATGATCATCTCTATAATTAATATATTAATAGTTGTCTCTACATAGTACACAACTATTTGGAAAATATACAAATGATTCGAGTCTTTTAAATAACATTTTTCTTTATCAAGGAAAAAACAGTTTTAAATATCTAAATCCTTGAAGCACTCACAGTTTTGAGTTAGAGATAGGTACATAGTTAGTTAGAGATAGGTATAGAAGTACTACTCTTAAACCAGTGGCACATAGTTCTTGTTTTCATACTGGGTTATATTTGCTGAATGGAAATACTCTGTTTTTATTGGTGCATTACCATCCATCTTCAGAAATGTACCAATTAGAACAGAGTATTTCCACCCAGCAAGCAAACCAGCACGAAAACAAGCATTGTGTGCCGCTGGTTTTAAAGCATATGTGTTAGGACATGTTATTAGTTTGTTATTAATTGTCATAAATTGTAATTGTCAAATTAATTGTATCTTAAATATAAATCAGTGATCACTTCTATAATTAATGTATTGATAATTGTTCCTGTTTATACAGTGCACAACCACTTGAGAAGCATACAAATGATTTGAGTCTCTTAAAGAACATTTTTCTTTACCAGAGAAAGAAAGATAAGAAAAAAACAATTTTATATATATAAACCCTTGAAACAATATCCTCACAATTTGATCGGTTGAGAAAAAAATTTACTCAAATATAAGCGAAACTTCCTCGTCTTCCTTTTAAATATTATATCTTTCAGATATTTATCACAATATTTAATATCTATAAAATCAGGGAGAACAAAACTGAAAGAATTTATTTGAATTTAGTCTACGATAAATATTAATAAGTCCATTTAGTTGCCTTAGATCACTTAGAGAAGTCACAACTGAAATTAAAATTTGGTGCTTCAAAGGTCAAATATAAATACAGTGCATTTGTCTCGGATATACAAAGAACACGCAAGTCGGACTAAGCTTTTACCTCTCCTGCTCTGACTCTTCGAGTAGTGCATCTTGGAAGGGGCAGTGCACCAGGACGCGCATTCTCCCCACGTTGACTTGCACACAGGACATGAACGTCGTGTTCTGACGACGTAGCCGCAGGTCAAGTGACCTATACCGCCTTCCTCGGACGAGCTGACATCCTCCAACGAGATTTCACCTTCCTCTTTCTCGTCGAGGATATCGATGGTCTCCGTGCAACCGCTCGATAAATCACTTGCCATTGTTACAATTCGAACTTACCCGCAACGACGACGTTTGAACATTCGATAACACATGACTCAATAAACGTCACGTCGATCGATCATTGATATCGCGAGCAAGCATGACTCATTCGGAAGGAGATAGAAAGGTTAGGAACTAAAGGATCAAAGGATTACCGAGGTATTCGCCAGATTAATCGAGTCGCGGAATATCACAAAGAGAAATACCGTTACAGTACAAATATCCAATGTTTGGAGGGAACGCGTTGTTACAAAGCGCGAATATCGTCGATTAACAATGCTTAGTAATGTACTTATCAATATTTCATCGCATGGAACGACATTCGATCAAAGGTCTCTCTCAATACATCAGTTTTCCTTTTTCTTTGCTGCACTACATCGCACATTACTTTCTGTACAGTCAAGGACGAAACGGTTTGGACCACGGACGTAGGAATATCTGAACAGAGCACAAAGTACTTCTGTGAGCGCGGGACTTAAGTTTCAAAGATAAGGGGAAATATCCATCGCGACCATTTTTGGCTGTGTTCGTTTTGTTTTCGGCACTAAAAGCATTAAGCCTAAAACCCGTATCAGACTACCGACTGCATCGGCCGACCCGACTGCCGACTACGGACAGTCAATGGACTAATCGCGCTGACTCGGCGCCTCACTGTGATTGGTCCATTGAGAGTCGGCAGTCGTAGTCGGCAATCGGGTCGTCCTGTGCAATCGGTAGTCTGATATGAGCTTAATCTACAATGAGCACGTTCAGCGGAAAAAGCGCTCAGTGAGCAATCAACATAGGCTGCGTTCCGAAATTCACTGCCAGTACTGAAATTCTATAGTTCATGTCACGTATACTATAGAATTTCAGCACTGGTAGTGAATTTTGGAACGCAGCCATAGTAGCCCTATTCTGTAACTCGTTATGGAGTTAACGACAATTTTGTTATCGTTGCGCAGCTTTTGTATACCATAGAAAAGTTGCGCAACGATAACGAAACGTTAACTCCAATAACGAGTTATAGTATCCCAGCACAGGGCCTTTATTCTTGAAATAGTTGCGTATACGTATAAGTTACGTTGCGTATAAGTTTTACTACGCAGATTTAATTATACTATAAAATAGCTGCGTGGTAAAACTTACGTATACGCAAAAATTTCAAGAATAGAATTCTGATGTCTATACTGGTTGCATTAGGTTACATTTTAAAACATCTTTTTGGAGGAAAATTTTACTCTTAAATCTATAGTTCATATTACATACCATAGACTTAAGAGTAAAATTTTCCTCGGAAAGGACGTTTTGGAATGCAACCTAAACTAGATTGCTAACAAGGGCTTCGTACGTGCATCGCGTGAAGCCCGTATCAGACTACTGACTACACAGGCCGACCCGACTGCCGACTCTCAATGGACCAATCACAGTGAGTCGCCGACTCACTGTGATTGGTCCATTGAGAGTCAGCAGTCGGGTCGGCCTGTGCAGTCAGTAGCTGATACGGGCTTAAGGTTTTCGGTTGCATGCGAGAAAATGGCGGCGATCCTGATGTGTGACGTTGTGTGTACGACATGTCACTTGTGAGTACTTACAACGTACAAGTGAGTCAGCGTGGCTATTAAATTACTGTCGTAAAATCAAAAATGCCAACATTTTATTGCATCAAAAAATGTAACAAAAAAATAGATGATATTGGACGTTATTTGTTCTGCTCATTTTCAACAAAAGAATTTTATGACTAAACGTAGTGAAAATGTGGCGGTAGCGGCCATTTTCTTGCATACATCGGAAACTCTATCGGACGCATGCCGTGCTGTTTGTAGATAGCCTATTAAGGTTGTTCTATTAGTTGCAAGTCGATTGCAACTCTTGTTGCGACAGCCAATCAGAAGCGTCAATAGCACCATTGATACTTCTGATTGGCTGTCGCAATAAGAATCGCGTCTGCTTACGATCGGTTTGCAACCAATGTACGACCTTTAGCAACCTAGTTTAGTATAAATATCTGTACAATAATCATTTCTGTACACTGGTAATGTTTTAAAATATGTAACACATAAACCTTCAAGGAATTGGATGATAGAAGTTACAAGACCGATTTTTACAATTTTCAAGGAGCTCTCACGAGGGCCAAGTGTTTATTTAGACAACGTCAGCTGTTCTCGTGCCTCCCTTATGATTCTTCGACAGGAAATCTGCAAACTCTTGATATGGCGCTTTAGCCAAAGCCTGTTCTTTCCACAAGTCCGGCGTCAGGTAAGCGTACGTCTTGGCGATTGCAGCGTAAGTAGCTTTGGCGAAATTGCCGAGTGTGCAGGTAGAGCCTCGGGCAGAGGTGTAGCAGTCTTCGATACCAGCCATTTGAAGCAACTTCTTGGGAACTGGTGCGGAGACGATGCCGGTACCTCTGGGCGCCGGGATCAAACGTACTTGCACAGAGCCACATTTACCAGTGACCTTGCAGGGCACCGTATGCGGCTTACCGATCTTGTTACCCCAGTAGCCACGTCGTACTGGCACTACCGATAGCTTGGCCAGGATGATGGCGCCACGAATAGCAGTAGCTACTTCTTTGGAGCATTTTACTCCCAATCCAATATGACCATTGCTGTCTCCAATAGCAACGAAAGCCTATAAAATATTTTAAGCATTTCTGTGGCAAATTCCATAATTGAGATTAATTTATTAATATTTCATATTTTGTCTTCACATGTAAATCTCACCATATTATAATAATGAGCTGAATTTTCCAATTACCTTGAAACGAGTACGTTGACCTGCTCTAGTCTGTTTTTGTACAGGCATGATCTTCAGTACTTCATCCTTGAGATCTGCTCCCAGGAACTTGTCAATGATCTCATATTCTTTGATGGGTAAGGAGAATAGGTAGATATGTTCCAGAGACTGTATTTTGCCCTCCTTGACCAAACGGCCCAGCTTGGTGACAGGAACCCATTCCTTGCTGTCTTCCTTGCCACGACCACGGCCACGTCCTCTACCTCTACCTCCACGTCCTCTACCTCTTAATCCTCCACGATCACCTCCACGAGAGCCAAAACCTCCACGGAAGCCTCCACGAGCGGCTGGAGCAGCGTCCGCCATTCTATAATTAAAATATATTATCATCATTGACATCAAGTTTTACAAAAGATTTTATTTTATTATTTTACATATAGTTTGTTATGTTATATATGTTTATACATGTTACACATATATTTATGTCATTATATGTTTATGTAATTATATGTTTATTTATATAAATTATATATATAGTAGTGATTGAGAGTTAAACCAGCTGCACACGGTGCTTGTTTTCATGCTGGATTGTTTGCTGATTGGTGCATTTCTGAAGATGAATGAAAATACACCAATCAAAACAGGGTATTTTCAGCAATCCAGCACAAAAACAAGCACCGTGTGTCGCTGACTTAATACTGTGATAATTACTATGCATAATGAATCAATAGCAATATGCATCAGTTGGTATAGTAATTACAGTATTATTATATTATAAATACAAAATCGTTAATTATTAGAAACTAAAGATACACTAAAATTAAATAATGTACAGTAATACGATTATCGATTCTGGATAATTAACAGCACAAAGTCTGAAATATATGACACAATTCAACCTTTATAAAATCTAACCAAAGAAACGACGACACGTGGTAAAAAAATAAAATTTTTTAACTCGCGAAATTTCCTAAGAGATTACTCGTACTTAATTTGCATTGCATATTTAAACAAAAAGCATGCAGAATTATCTCAATAATTGAGTGGGAAAAATTAAAAAATTGTCGAAATTATACTCACGCTACTTCTTCCTTGCGAACACGAAAACAGAAGAAAGACTCAAGCGATCTGTTCTTTTTAGCTGCACTATTCAACTAGTATAATAAGATTGCTTTCCAACAAGTCGACACAAGTGGATGCTTTCCAGTTGCGTACACTGTGTTACACAAAACCAGTTTAATGGTTGCATATTATCTTACAAGATATTTTAGATAATATGTGACCAATAAACTGGTTTGTGTACGTGTGTGTCAAGATGTGTTAAGCAATTGGAAAGCACCCATTATCATCCTATCATTGTTATTCACTAAATGTGAAACAAAGATAGAATGATGTTTGTGTCGACTTGTGTCTCTTGTTGGAAAGCAACCTTAGTGAGTAACAAAGAGTGCTTTCCAATTGCTTAACACATGTTGACACATACGTACACAAAACCAATTTATTAGTCGCATATTATCTAAAATACCCTGTAAGATAATATACAACCAATAAACTGGTTTTGTGTAATATACAAAATGTAACTGGAAAGCACCCAAAGATAGGATAATACTTGTGTCGACTTGTGTCTCTTGTTGGAAAGCAACTTAAGTTAAGCCAACAGCACACGATGCTTATGCAGGATTCACACCGCGTCCGATATCCGACGTATGACGTACGATATCCCATAAAAGAATAGCTTTCTAATGGAGAATTGAATTTTATATTAGAAAGCTGTTTTCCTATTGGATATCGGATGTCATACGTCGGACATAGACGCGGTGTGAATCCTGCATTATTTTCGTGCTAGTTTGCTTGCTGGATGAAAATATTCTGTTCTAATTCGTGTATTTCTGAAAATAGTTGGAAATGCACTAATCAAAACAGAGTATAAAACAAAATAATAAGGGAACAGTAGACGTTTCCATAAAATTTTTTATAGTAAAATTGGATAAACTCTTAAGCCAGCGGCACACGATGCTTGTTTTCATGCTGGATTGCTTGCTGGATGGAAATATTTTGTTCTGATTGGTGCATTTCTGAAGACGGACCAATCAGAATAGAGTATTTCCATCCAGCAAGCAATCCAACACAAAAACAAGCATCGTGTGCCTCTGGCTTTATACCTAGCTAGAAATGATTCGTCAATCGATGTAGAAACGATGTCGAATCGACGTCGATTTCACGATTTCGATGTCGATTCGACATTGTTTCGACATTGATCAACGAAATATTTCTGGCTGGGTAAAACTTTTTGACTGGAGAAAGAAAAATATTCTTAATCCGCAATAAATTCTTCTCTAAACTTATCCTAGACAAAATAAATTCTTCTCTAAACTTATCCTAGACAACACATCACCAAAGGATGTTCTGGGGACTTTCTCAGGATATAGAACGTTCTCAGAACGTCTTTATGATGTCTTCTAAAGATCTGTTATTAGGGATTTTATAGTAAGATTGTATATTGTCGAGATTTTATAATATATTTTGTTACAAAAACAATGTTTTTTATCAATTCACAAGTTCACAATAGACGATTTTATATTATTTAAACTAATGGTGTCAAAATATTTATAATTCATGGTTTGTGTGTGACTAGAATCAAAAGAGTAACGAAGCTACTTATTAAACTTTTTCTTTTTCTTTAAACTTTTTCTGCTAGGATTTGCTTTTTAGAACATTAAAATTGGACGTTACATAATTATCAAGTAAGTCCTTATCGAACATGAATCGTGCCAACGCTTGATCTCCAATGCCAGAAAGCACAGATATGAATCTTCCCATTTCATTCACGCTCTTCATCTGATCCTCCATAAAGCCAGTGACGATAAAATCGCTCGCGTTTAAATCGCCGTGTTTCACTGCTATCCCATTCACTGCGGTCAACTTTTTACTAACATCTACTTCCAGTTGTAAAGCCGTCTAAAATACGCATGTAAAAGTACATTAATTAACTATACCCAATTAATTATATAAATTATTAAACTAAATTAATTATTACTGGACGTAAAATTATTAGTAAATAATAAGCTCATATTCTAAACTCTCTTTTATTATTAAAAGTACCTCTAAAGAGGCGTTTTTCGTTTCGTGACCACGATACCATTTGGTTGATTGGTTTGGTCCACTTAAAGGCCATTCTATAATAGCTGTAAGAATATGGCTGTAAGGCTGTAAAGCCCATTCTACAATTGCGTAAGCGTAGTCGTGAACGTAAGAGTCAACCAATCCGAATGTTTTATTCACTGATTGCTTTATTTTGATTGGTGTCGTAATCACATACAACCACTTACAACTACGTTCACACAATTGTAGAATGGGCTTAAGACTCGAAATGAATTATTCTCATTCGCAGACAGCTCACGTTACATCCTTACAGCCATGTTCTTACAGCTATTGTAGAATGGCCTTAACGCTCGCAACGCCTCGAGCAACAAAGGCTGCGTTCCGAAATTCACTGAAATTCTATAGTTCATGTCACGTATACTATAGAATTTCAGCATTGGCAGTGAATTTCGGAACGCAGCCTATGATAGAATGGCTGCGTTCCGTTTCACGCATTGCGCGCATTTATCTATAGTTCATGTTACATATATTATAGGCAATGCGCGCATAATGCGTGAAACGGAACGCAACCATGGGTGCCCTAATAGCACGCAATGTTCAAGGAACGTCCAATGGATATCCATAGAACATAAAATGTCCTCTGAATGTTTTCTGGATGTTCTCTGGACGTCTTTTGAACATGCGTGCTATTAGGGTGCTTTCCAGTTACGTATTCTGTGTTACACAAAATCAGTTTATTGATTGCATATTATCTTACAAGATATTTTAGATAATATGTGACCAATAAACCAGGTTAGATTAGGTTATAAAGTTGACAGGAGATAAAAGTTATTTATTTTCTTCTCATAGAGCTCTAAGAATTTTTTTAGAATTATGTATTAACTTTCTAGTACTTCAAGAAAATGCAAGAAAACGCAAGAAAATGCAGTACTAAAAAATTAATACAAAATTCTAAAAAAATTCTCCGAACTCTATGAGAAGAAAATAAACAATTTTTATCTCTTGATATTTTTCGGTTGGTAGAATTTAAGTAAAAAAATATTGAAACCAATAATTTTGTAATCCAGCAACAACTGACGCATGTTGGCACATGCGCACAGAGGATGAATAGGAATGTATACCTTTCTGTCTTGCATATATCTTAAGTCCGTATCAGACTACCGACTGCACAGGGCGACCCGACTGCCGACTACGACTATCGACTCTCAATGGACCAATCACAGTGAGGCGCCGAGTCGGCAGTCGTAGTCGGCAGTCGGGTCGGCCTGTGTAGTCGGTAGTCTGATACGGGCTTTAGACACACTTTTGGTCTACAGAAGGCATACGCAATTCCCCCTCCATATATATATACTCTACGCTCGTGATTGGTTTCGCTCTCGTTCCGCGCTCCGCTTTCCGCTGCATGGGTTTGCACCCTCAAGGCCCTTGCACAATGTCAGGCTACAGGCAATAGAAATAAGCCAATAGGAACATGGAATAAAAATAATTGGCCAATTTGAATTCCTATTCTCTGTTCCTATTGTCTGTTGCCTGGCATTCTGCAAGGGTCTTTAGTCTCGCGCACGCGCGGTCTATAAATGATTTTAGTCTTAAGCTTTAAAAATTTGACCAATTACAGTTGATTATTCTCCTTGCATTCGACTGTGATTGGTCAATTTCTTATGGTTTAGAGTTTAAATCACCTATTGCAGACCGGGATTTACACAAACGCGTTATATTTTTCTTTGTTTAAAATTCTTTAGTATTAATTCAATTTTAACTGTTTAACATCCCAGACAACATAGATGTCTAAAATGTATTTTGGAGATATATCTGAAATAAATAAGTTGTCCTTTAAACATCAACTAAAACATCTTTCGGATATTTCCCATGCAGCAAAAGTTTCAAAAAGCTTTCAGAAAAGTTTCAGAAACATTGAATCTTTCTGAGATCTTCCTAAAATCTTTCTGAAAGTTTTTTGAAACTTCTGTGCTGTGTGGATTATGTTGTCTGAAATAGATTTACTTTGAATGCATGTAATGGACATTTCCAGTCTTGATCGTCCGGCGGTGATACAGCGCAGAGATGCACCTTTCCTCCGCGCATTTTCACGTAGTTGCAAAATCTCAGGGCATGCTCGTGTTCCTCGTGATGCATCTGCATGAAGAATGACTCGCATCCCGGTAGAGCGACATCCATGCGACCGAAATATGCAGCCTAAACATGATTAAGTACAAATTAAAAGTCTGATCACGTTGTAAAGTCTCTTGAAGAAGCCTTATAATTTGTTATTATGCCCATTACTTTCATAAATCACTCAATAAGGAAAGATTGTTCCAACTTCTTGGTAAATCATTTGACAGTTAAATTATATGTCTATCTTCGTTTTTTCTTTAAATTGAACAGAGACAGACACATGATTTAATTGTTAGGGCTGCGTTCCAAAATTCTACTCGGTGGGTAGAGTAGCATTTCAGTGACCAATAAAAACAAAGATAACTAAGATTTCTTTATCATAATTGATTAATTATATGTACTCTACTCACCGAGTAGAATTTTGGAACGCAGCCTAGGTAGTTTATTAAGACCAAGTTCCACGACATTCGTTTAATTTTAACTACCGGTTAAGTCCCAATAGTGATTAGTTGATTATTATTAACTCTTCTTAATGGGTGTATATCAGTTGGACACGGGGCAATTGGACACAGTCCAATCACAAGTCGCTGTTCCAAGGGACCCTACAAATGTCTCTAATCACACGGTGCTGTGATTGGCTGTGTCCAAATGCACCGTGTCCAAGTGCACCGCTCCCCTTCTTAATGTCAAATACGATTAGTCAAATCCAATGGAATAACCAGTCAGTTAAGTTAACTAGAGGTTGTGGAACTGGACCTAATGACTCCTGCACACAGGACGTGGTAATGCTTGCCGCGCGGCGGAAGTTCGCGTGACAGCCAATCATATGCTACTTTCCATAATAACCTTATAGCTTTTACGGAAAAACAACATATTGATTGGCTGTCGCGCGGACTTCCGCCGCACAGCAAGCATTACCGCGTCCTGTGTGCAGGAGCCATAAGAAGTTGGAACAATGTGCTTTGAAAGTGATAGAACTAATCTATATATACTTTAAATCTATGATTATACATTTTTAAATAATAAAATCATTTAGATTATATTTACCATAGATAAATAATAATAAAACGCCTTCAGTTCAACATTAATCTGGTCGTTCATTGCGGCTTCAGTTTCATCGTGAAAATCAAATCCGCTTCTCTTGCCACTCGGCCATTTTATCGGTTTATCGATACAAAGTTCCATTCGACCGCATTCATTATTTTTTGATGTTTTCCACGTCGAACTAGATATTCCTCGCCAACTAATTATATTACAAGATCAATTAAAATGTATCTAATAAATAAAAAAATAAGGTATAGAAACTATGGATTTGGCAACATATACAAGTATAACTCAACATCAATTTGAGAAGATAAGAAACTTCTGAAGAATATAATCTTGTTAATATATTGAAATCAAAAGAATATAATCTCATTAATATAATGAAATCAAAAGAATATTTTTTTTAATATTAATATATTAATTTTAGAAATTTAATGATGCAATTACCTGACTTGATATAACCATCGATCTCGCAGAGAATATACATTATTGGAAGAATTAAAAAATGTACAAGATCGTTTACAGGACAGTCTTAACATTTTTCACTAAAGCAATTTATCGATTAATCTTCACTCTTTTCGTAAACAAACTGATTAATTTGTTACGTCTGCAAATAAATCGTTATTTTGTTCGCGTCATCGTCGTCGACTGATTAATAAATCACTAAACAAATTAACTTAAAAACATAAAATTTGAACTACTTGATTACAAAAAATGTCTTTACAAAGGATTTAATAAAATATATCTTTTCAATTTGACTCTTGTTTAATATTTTTAGCGTTTATTTGTTTGTTAATATACATTGGAACGAGCTAACATTAGCTTCAAGTAAATGCAAATCAATCCATATACGGTGTTCTAAAATAATTTAATGTGACAAAAGAACTGTTTTTATATATTTTTATGAAATTTATTAATTAAAAACACAATTTTTGTATTTATCTGTACTTTAAAATATAATGCACTGCTGGACAAAGTTAAATTTTCAAAAAAATTATAAAAAATTTATAATTTTTACGACAATATTTGTGAGAAATAATTATGAACTATTGCTCTGTTTATTGTCGCAATTAATATTTCCTTAAGGAAATATTAGCTATTTTTCAATATCTTTCAAATGAATTATTAACATACTTAAATATTACAGACTGTATATCTTAGCAAGAACTACAAACAATTACAACAAATCATAAATATGTCATTGATTTATTGAATTAGGTGAAGGGTCTGATAGTTGATGTGTGCTATTTGAAGGTACTGTGTTGATAGAACTAAGAGGTTCCTGTTTTATAATGGGATTAGTATTTAGATTCATATTGATCACAGCTGTGGATGTAGGATTCTGCATGTCCAACTGGCTCTGCGCTATATCCTGCAGAGCAGCTTGAATTCGCTGAAGCAATGCTTCTCCTTGTCTCACTATTTCTTCCAGTTGTTCACCAGCCTCTTGATTTTCTTGTTCAAGCCGATTGAGACTAGCTACTTGAAGTTCTTGAGATGACTCTTCACTTGGCAAACTCTCTATTAATGTATCAATATCCTTTGCACACCTTGCAATGAGAGTTGCAAATAAAGAAGCATAATCTGCAACAAATAAGTTACAAATTATAATTGTCTATTGCTTAACAATAGCATGAAAAATCTTACAACTAATATTTTATACCTTCTTGAGTTTGATGTGGCTGTGGTGTGCCAATACGATCAAAGCCAGGAAATTTACTGGGTGTAGAATACTGCTGTAGAATACCAACGCTGTTGCAAAAGTGTTCTGCTTGCTGAAAGTAGCAGCATGTGCTTGGTAAAGTCTGAGAATCAATGGACAACAGATGAAAATGAAAATTTCTATTACCTGGTTAATAGTATCTTGCAATTGTGTCAAACGATCTGCCATAATGCCAAATTACTGACTCAAAACTGATTTGTATAGCCTTTCGTAATGTTGACAGTAAATAAAATAGAACACTTGCTTTTAATACATCAAGAACTTTAGCATTTTACAGCGGAGATTCAATACAGTTTATCAGTAATTCACTTTTTTTAGTCAATAATCTTTAACTTGTCTTGTCACAAGTATATTATATAAAATTTTTATTTATGGAACGAGCAACGAAAAAATCAGCTTAAGAGAACGTCTAAGAGAGATATAACCTATAAAACCAAAAGTTGTTGCGTTCGATCCAAAAGTGACCTCAGAATAGATTTGCTCGCGTTAAGGGACGTCTACATTGGAAGTAAATAGCAAGAAGTAGGAAGTAAGAGTAAGAAATTGACCAACCACAGTCGAATGTGAGAAGAATAATTAACTATGATTGGTCAATTTCTTATTCTTACTTCCTACTTCTTACTGTTTACTTCCAATGTAGACGTCCCTTTACTTGCACTTTTGACACTTTTGCATTTAAAGGCTTTTGTACGTAAAAATTTTAATCGTAACGTAAAGCCCATTCTACAATTGCGTAAGCGTAGTCGTGAACGTAAGAGTCAACCAATCCAAATGTTTTATTCACTGATTGTTTTACTCTGATTGGTTGTCGTAATCACTTACAACCTCTTACATACGGGAGCGGTGCACTTGGACACGGTGCATTTGGACACAGCCAATCACAGCACCGTGTGATTAGAGATATTTGTAGGGTCCCTTGGAACAGCGACTTGTGATTGGACTGTGTCCAATTGCCCCGTGTCCAACTGATATACACCCGCGCTTGAGATCGATATTTCGGCCAAATATATGATTTTTTAATATTTAATTAAAATTATCTGGATGACTCACAAACCTTTTTAATGATACTTCATAACTCTTCATACAAACTCGAAATACAAACGATACCATACCGAACCTTTGTTTACTTTACCTCCGGTCATTATTTCCGGCTAAATACATGGTCCAAAAAAGAACAATTAATTACAAGTAATAGAATTACTCACAAATCTTTTCAATTGCACTTCAAAACTTTTTATACGAAATACAAACGATTTAAAAGAATAGTTTTCCAACCGGAGTTTTTTTCCGATCAAGTACATACGAATCTCTGTGATTTATTCATGACATCTTAAAACTTAAGATTATCTTAAATATAAGATTGGACTATGAATACCGGCCTTACTGTTGCCGAGATATTAGCGTGACGTTTCGACAATGTGATGAAAAATATTTACCGGGTATTACTAAGTTGATACGATTGAAAAAAAAACCAGGAATATTGAAATACTAGAGATTACCGATCGTGTCTGACGGTACTTTCACAGCAGCACTTGACATCTATATTTCGGTTAATTACACGATTTTTTAATATTTAATTAAAATTACTTGGATGGCTTACAAACATTTTAATGATACTTCATAACTCTTCATACGAAATATACAAACGATACCATACCGGAACTTTGTTTAATTTACTTTCGGCCATTATTTCGGCTAAATGCATGGTCCAAAAATGAACAATTAATTACAATTAATAGAACGATTCACAAACCTTTTCAATTGCACTTCAAAACTCTTCATACGAAATATAAACGATTTAAAAGAGTAGTTTTCAAACCGGCGATTTTTTTAGGTCAAGTACATATGAATAATGAGAGCTCTCTCTCTAAAGAAAAGCTAGTGTGCAACGGGCATTAAGTGTAATAGTGTAAAAAGTGCAAGCAACGTGAACAAACCTCAGTTCAACAATAAGGACAAATCTGAGCCCGTATTCTTGAAATTTTTGCATATATATAAGTTTCATTGCGCAGCTATTTTATGGTATAATTATACTTACGCAAAAGGACTCAATGAATACGCAAAATTGTCAAAAATATGAGTCTTGAAATATTATGTGGTTTGTTCTTTTTAGCTGCACTGCTGAAATGCCGTAAATTAAAGTGAGACAAACTGCGTTCTAATATTAACCGCCAGCAACAACAAACTGTAGTTTATATCATGTAGGCCGCGTTCCGTTTCACGTATATGCGCGCATTTATACTGTAGAGAATACGCACATAATGTGTAAAACGGAACGCAATCATTTACTATAGATTTTTAGTGCTGCCAGCGGCATTTTAAAACACGGCCAAAATATAGTTGTACTTTAGCATCACAAAAGATCGGAATTTTTGCCTAGACGAGGAACTTCTAATAGGATATGATGCAAAACAACGTATATATACGAATTATGAACGTATAAATTATAATTTTAATCCTGCTTTTCCTTTGTAAATAAGTTACTTAACATTCTATGTTTAATGGGACTGTAAACATCAAATGACAATGTAAAATGACTAATAAACGATAACAATGCTTCACACATTAATTTTCAATATCACTCTGTTCAGAATTGGGTCAAAAGAGAGAATTTCACAAATAATGTAAGAATGCATCTTAACATAATTTAGTATTTTTCCATTGCATTTTTATAAAATGTTTACATGGGGGAATATTTACAAAAATATGAGTAGGGCGCGATGAAGTATAGAAGACAGAAAAATGATGAACAATGTAGTGTCGTGAACAATTCAGTTGAGAGTACCCCGGCATTGTGGAGCTCCACAAAGGCAAGGGATCTTATCATCTTCCAATGGAAACTTGTAGTCGTAGGTAATTTCTTCGTTAACTCCTATCGGTTGTTTACTGTAGATTACAATCTTCTTTTGGCTTTCGATCGTGATTACTTTTGCGTAGCAATTTGGCTGAAAGAAACAAGAAAATTAGTAATTACAACGAAGTTGTAACATTCGATTCGCTTGTTCCACTCTAATCATTCATTAGCAGCGGACAGAATTGATTAGGTACGCTAAATCGTATCTTTAGTGTCATTAAGCTGAATCTTAACATTGATCACACATCTCCAGTTCTTCGACAGAAGTGCGTATGTTGCATTGCATTAGTGAAGTGAAAGAAAAGAAAAATGATAATTCCAAGTGACTCACATTGCAACTGTGATTTATGAACCGCGCCAAATTGCCGCACTTCGTCGCATCGATAATCGTGTCTAAATCGATACGGAAGAGGTAAGAACTACCGATCCCCGTGGCCTCGTATTGGGATTCTCGCAAGTCAGCCACAACCGGTCTAACCATCTGTCCAACATATTCTATGACCATCTCATCCGCCGCGATCGGTTCCATGGCGAACAAGCCCCAATCGTGAATGCCGGACTTGGCGAATTTCAACTGCTTCTTGCGGAACTGAAACGCAAAACGTGTGAATGTTTTAGAGCGCGCGTATATCATTAAAGAATTAATTAAAAGTAAAAAGAAGAAATGGCTCTAAGATATAAAATCAAATAAAAGTATGTAGTAGTGCTGTTTATATATTACAATAAGACAAAGGCCGGTATTCAAATCTTATATTTAAGACCGTCTTAAGTTTATCTTCAGATGACATATGAATTATTTCATTACCTACAAAGTATCTGAAGATAAACTTAAGTCTTAAATATAAAATCCGACTATGAATATCGGCCAAAGTCTAAACAAGTCTATCATTAAAGATAGGATCTGATCGGTCCGTTAGTTGACGTTTTATGGTCGTACCTTTAATTGATTAAACTTAAGGAGATCACTATCTGTATCAATTCCGAATGCCGTCAATAACCGACGCTGATTGCTTCGCGCTTCACGAGATAATGCTTGCATCTTGCCAGTTAACGCTTTAGAATTACTCTTTGGACCATTCATTACGCCGTCTCCTCCAGTGTAAGAACCTCCGCTGTCTTCCACAACATCGTTGCTGCGTTGTATACTTTGAGCATAATGGTGCTGCAAACAACAGTATCCAATTATTCGCGGAATTCTTGTATAGACCGATAACAATAGAAAAAAATATCTTAAGTTACGTCAATGTGTGTCGACAATTGAAAATGCTATTACGCCGGCACAAAAGATTCGTCATATTTGTCAAATAAGCTAAAAATGAACATATACTTAATTCAGAACATTCTTACTGTTTTACTCTTTAAATACGAATATTTAAACTTTTAACATAGAGAAAATATACATACATATATTAAAAAAAAAACATACACATAACTCTACTTTTTTATTGAAAATATTGGAAGGAGCACTGCCGTAGTGGGGAACCGTTCTATAAGACAAAGGCCACATCCAAGTTGTATCTCCTTCTCTGTCTAATATTCTACTTTTTTTGCTACTAACTTAACCTAGCTCAGGTAATACGTGCAGACAGAGATTCCATTTGGATACTATCTCTCGCTCATCTCAGTTCACACTCATCGAGGCAAAGGCAGTGCTCTTTCCAGTACGTTACTGAGTTTAATGGTTGAAAGTTTAAATATTCATATTTAAAGACCAAAACAGTATAAATGTCTAAGATGAGATATATGTACGGGCATTATTCTTAAAATAGGAAACGAAATTATCCAATCTCGAAGGATTAATCATTTTTACGAACGAGATCAACAACATCGATTTGATGTTTTTTTTTAATATATAACAAGAACTTAATATTTTTCTTTGAATACTTCTACGAAAAATTTTCTACGAAATTGAATAAAAAAATGCCAAGTCTTTTGCAAAAATGACCTAATGCAAATGTCTTTATTTACTTTGTGTTTCGCCTTTTCTCTGACGTCGACCTTGTAATATCCCTCAGTTCTAGCGCTTCCGCTCGCGTGCAACCGCAGCTCGTCTCGTTTCCTCCTCTTCGCAGGGCTTGGTACGTCAGTTGGTGGATGATCGACCCAGTGCGTGTCGTTCAGCCAGTAACCTTGGCTGTCATCCGCCAACAGGGCTTCGTAACTCCTTCTCAAGTACTCCACATCCTCTATGTCAATTCCTCTGGTCAAGAACTCGTACAAAACCGCCATTTCCGACATGAGATCTCGTTCCTTGTAAGTGACCAATGATTGCGAGACCTGCTTAGGCAACTTTTCATACACATAGTCATTTTGAATATTTTCTTTCTCGCCCTCGCGATTCTGATGACTGTTGCTGTGTATTTTCGTATATTTGTTGGATTTCCGTTTCTCCACTTTATGTACTTTTTCCTTGTCCTTTTCTTTGTCCTTTTCCTTGGCTTTCGTTAATTTCACGATCTTCGTGTGTTTCACCTTCACCGAAGCCGCCGGTAAGCCGCATACTGGTTCCGCGCGTTCCGGAAGTACGGGCGGCAACGAATATGAATGTTCCAGGTATACGTGCGACGCCTGGGATCCGGGAGAACTAGGTGTTCGCTGTCCGTTTAATCGGAGATCCGCTTCCGCTTGGTATCTGTAGAGAACAGAGATGTAAAATTACTATCAGATTTAAAGTGATTACGGTAAAATTATGATAAGAGTAATTTATTGGTAATTTTGATAAAATTCGTTATTTTTTATAATTTCACACAAATATCATGTTTCCCGCATAAGATACAACAATATTCTTCTTGTATTCTCATCACATGTATATCTGATAATCTCTAAAATGTCTCAGATGAAAGAAAGGAAATTATTTACAATTTTTCGAGAGTGTGAAAGTTTTCATTTCTTAAAATAATACTAAATTATATATTATAGTCTAGTCGTTGAAACGACAACATAATGAATGAAAATGTTGTAAGCCTGTAAGATAATATGAAAAATATAGATTGAGACTTTAAAACTTTTTTTAAGTTTCTCTAATAACTATGTACCTAGTTTCCTAATTATTATATGCTATATATAGTATATCAATATACAATATCAAAAAGTATTTTATGAAAAAATTGAAATTTGAATTAAATAAAGTGTCTTACTTATCTTAAAGACTATATTATAAATGCTCCTTTTGAGCTTTATATTAAAATTTTATTTTTGTAATTTTTTTCCTAAATTACCATTTTACCAGCTTCCCGAAATTAATGAGTTACCGTTACACAAAAGAGAGAGATCACAGATCATTTTAATCTTTAGTAGAAAATTATATCGCAGATTTTTTTTATATTTATTTAATATCAGCAGTTATTAAATATAAATGCATTCAGAGAAGTCATTCAGGTTCACAGTAAATAGTCAACTTAACCTAATTAATTAATAATACTAGTTAATAATTAATTATCAATAATTACTTATTAATAATTAATTATTGAACATATACATAGTTAATAATTAACACGCATTTAACGAATATACAAAATTATTTTTCTCGAAAACGAAACTTCATATAAAGAAATTTTATTTTAGATTCTCAACTTATTTTTTCATATAATTATATCATTAATTACGGGACACTCTATGCAGGATAAAGCAATAACTATTAAAATATATTTAGAGAAAGGTATTGCTGCCATAAGATGTTTTTTTTAAGTGGAATAACTTCGAAGATATTCCAGGTGGTAATAGTGGTTATTGCTTCACCTTGTATAGAACAGATTTCTGTCATTACTGACCTTAATCTTCTAATTTCTAAGCTTTCCTCCTCTGAATCCGTCGTAGGAATTTCACTGAACATCTCGATCTTCTCGGATTCCTTCAAAATTGGCTCGTCATCGATATACTTCAACGACATCGTCTGCAGCGCTCTGATGATATTGGGCTGTATAGGTCCCGGGCTTTCGTGGCGTATGATATTGTCCCGTCCGGCCAAAGTCATCAAGGCCTCCGCGGCAAAGTTCTCCATCTTCTGCATATCCGCTTGAGCCTCATCCTTGACCGGACTTATCGTAGGCGCGGGTTTCACCTCTCTCTGCGGCTCACTCTCCTTCACGAGTCTTGTTACGTCCTTTATTTCCTTGTCCAGATTCCTACACACTTCGAAGGGCTTCTCTTCCGCGGCGGGCACCTTCTCAGAAGGTGCCTCCTCTTCCTTGACTTCATATCTCGCGGGAGAAGGTAACGGACTGCTGTCGTCGTTCTCGATCTGAGGGAACTCGTCCGAATATTGATCTTTGATTTTGACATCCGGCACCGGTGTCTCCCTGCCGGTCGGCGTAGGACAGTTCAACGACCTTTGAATCGCCAATTCCGTCAATATATCAGGATCCTTGCTATTGCAAGCCAAAGGCCTGTTGTCGGACATGCGACTATCTGTGTCTTGCTGAAAACAAATCGTGCTTCATTGTACCGACTATCGCCCTTCTGAAACTTTCCGCTTTGAGCTTGCAATCTCAATACGAACCTCGTCTTCGAAGTTTCCAGACGCTTCTTCTTCATCGGAACTCTCGCTCGAGCTACTGGAAGATTCGCTGAAGCTAATTTCATCGCTACTGCTCTCCACGGAAGACGACGATGAGGATGAAGAAGAGACGCTCGCGGCCATCGTTCTCTTTGCTTTTTGTGTTGACGGTGCGTCCAAGTCGCTTTCACTCTCGATCGTCTCCATGTCACCGTGAACAGACTGCCGACTGTCCTCATCCTCTTGCGGCAATGGGCTTGGAGCTTTGATCTTGCGCTGAATTCACAGAAAATTACAACGGTAATCACGTGTAAACTATCGAAGCCCAAACGGTCAGTTCAGTTTCTGAGTCAAATTTGATTTTTTTGTAATTACGATCAATCGAATAATCGTCATGAAAGCGACACTTTTACATGATAATAGAACGTTTATAGTGTCAATTATAATAATACTCTAAGTCTGTGTCGGCAACGTATACATGAAATAGCATCTATGTAGACAAGATTCTATGAATATTGACAAAACTTTAAGAGTAACTACGAATAACATAAAAATCAAAATAGTATCCAAGGTCTTACCCTGAATGAAGGCATCTTTGGCATACTAGCTCTAATACCCAAGCCAAATCCGTCATAGTTGAGTCCCAGTGGAGTCGCTTGTTCCAACAAAGATGACAATCCTTGTGGTTTCGTAACGTCTTCTTTAGTCGTATTATTGACAACAACATTGTCGCCACTACCCTGAACTTGACTTTTCTCCGACTTCTTCTCATCCCACCAAACCTCGAACAATTTGAACGCGGTGTTCTCGATCATTTTCTTATTAAAGTCTTTTTTTAAGATCTGCTTGAGTTCGTTTACAACTGTGCTCAAAACTCCATTGATGGTGGGACCCTGCGAATAAAAATATCATAAATATACAATGATCACGATAACGCGAGGTTGCATAGCGCAAAATATACAAATATATCTAACAGAGATGTTTAAAAAGAATATTTATATATGTTGTTTACATTAGCACGTAGAAAAGTATCTGGATAATTTTACCTGGGGGTCCTTCGTGAAATTATAATTCGCCATGGCATGTAGTCGCGACTGAAAAGAAGAATAATAGTTCGCTCCCTGAGGATTTCCTACTGTCGTCGAGAAAGACGCTGTAGTGGGCTGATAATGACTTTGCAAGTAAGTCGCACCGTATGGATAAGGGTATTGCGTTGGTCGTGGCCAATTATAAACATCATTCGAAGGATATTGCGTTAATTGTCCTGAGTAAGCTGCCGGGTACAGTTGACCCGTAGTTTCGGTTTGTGCTATCACCTGTTGAAGAGAATATTTATATGAGTGAAATGGAGCCGCATAGCGCAGAACATAGTGATATAATTTTTTACACATTTAATAATTACTTCTAACTTTAATAAATAATTAATAAATTTAAATAATAATTTTTATAGACAATGTTGAAGAGGCAGGGGGTTTTGTAAGTCATATTTTTTCAGTGGCATATCAAGAGGACCACTCATAAACTTATTATTTATCAAATAAAATTACAGTTCTACACATTCGTTTTATTCTAAGCAACAAATTATTAATTTGAGACAAAATTGATATTGATAAATATTGATAAACAATATTATAAATACAAAACATATTAATTTTTTTTCATTAATATTTCATTCGTGCATCAGTTGATCCAACACAGATGCACAGTTGATAGAGAGCGAGTATTGCCATGAGCAATAGATGAGTTAGATAGTATTTCAATTTAAGGTAAAAGTAATGCCTGGACATTGATAATGCTGGTACCTAACTCTGGACATTCTTACTGTTTCGATAAATACGAATGTTTGAACTTTTGATGTAGAATACATGTGTATATTCAACATTACCAGACATTACTTTTACTTTATACGTAATGTAAGTTTCATTGAATTCTTAACTAACTCATTTTGCCCCACGATTTCCTTAAACAATCAAAAGTAATTTTTGTTTTATATGTCGTCTACGAACTCACTTCTTCGATCTTCTCGTCACCTGAACTCAGAGGACTCAGTGACATCCTGTCGTCGTCAGGCGGTGGAGGTGGAGGCGGTTCCTTAGGTGGCTCCGGCTCATTGTCGTCGATTGCCGGACTGTAACTGCCCAACAAGGCCTCGTCTTCACTAGAACTGATAACACTACCCAGGTCTTCATCTACGGAAAATTGACTAATGCTATTCTCATGGGCTTTCCTGCGTTCCTTGTTTCTCTCTACCATCTTGTCGAAGTACGATTTGTAGATCTCGCGCGACAAGAAGGGACTCGGGGTGTCCGAGAGCATCTCACTGTCACCGTATTGGGACTTCTTATCATCCTCAGAGTCGCTGCCGAATTGTAAAAAAGGCGGCGCCATCCCGCCGGCCTTGTCCTTCAGCAACATGGCAATTCTCGTATCTAAGTCCAAGGTCTTGCGGGTCTCGTCAGGAGAGTCGCGCGGCGTGCTCTTCGGCGCAACTTGATTCTCCTTCTCCTTCTTGGGAGTGTGATGAGTGACTTTGACACTAGAAGTCTTAAGGTAAATGTTTCAGTGATTGAACTAGAAAGTACGAACAGTTTTATATTTTTACTAGTAAATAATTTAATGACATTACTAACAAAACTAACGTTTATGTAAAACTCTAGTTTGTCAGTGACAAAAAATATGACAGAAAATCAATATCAATTATAATTTTAATAAAATATTAGATAATATTAGTAATTGATCTGAAAAATGAATTATGCTCTGATTATCGGATAATACAGACTCAATGATTGAATGCTTATAAAGTGATAATGAAAATTGACCCAAAGAAATAACTTTTAACAAAATTTTAATAGGTTTCTTACAAATACTGAATACGAATATATTATTGATATTTCAATTATTGAAACAATGGTTACATTCAGCGGAAAAAGCAGCTCAGAAGTATTTACCGATCGGTAAATACTCCTAGAACTATGAAGAATCTACAATCTAAAAGAACTAAAAGAATGCTACAATCACATACAGACAATGATCACTAAGCGCTCACTGTTTTTTTCTACAGGATGCAGCCGATATGCCGAGACATTTACCTTATTACTAATCGATGTGGCGTTAGAATTAACGTCATCCAGATTCGTCGCGTGCGTCTGCACAGACCAGACGGAAGCTGATGACGGATACCCCGTGGAGCCGGAATTATTGGCCCACCATACGTTCGAGTTCTGCTGCATCGGCAAATTCTGCGACACGTTCTGCGACATGCTGGCCAGGTAGCTGTTCGGCGGCTGATGATGATAACTGCTATAGTAAAAGTCATAGTTCGTAGCCGGAGTAGAGTTCTGAGAATAATTATTCGAGTAGTTTAGTTCACTGGGCGCCGTGCCGTAGCCCAAGTCACTGCCCGTGCTGCCGCCCGGCGTCGGGTAGTCCCGGTACTTGCTGTACCTGGAATTTTCCACGTACGGCTCTCTATTCTTCTCTAAACTTAGAATAGGCTTTTTACTGCTCCTAAAGTCGTCCCGCTCCTCGGGCAGAGCCTTCTCCACGGGAGTCTGGTGCTTCTCCGGCTCGGACTCGGGCTTTACCGGCGCCGCGACCACCTCCTTCTCCGCCTTCTTTTCCGGCTTCTTCTCCACAGTCAGCTCGTCGAACATCTTCTTGCACTCCTCCCCAAACGGGTCCAGAAAGACCCTCAGCACTTTCCCCATCACAGATGTGTTATTCAGTTTCTCCACACACGCTTTCGACGCTTTGGTCGACTCGAACACGACCCTCGCGATGCCCAGATGTTTGTTGGTCATTGGGTGATAATATATAGTGAGCTCCTCCACGATGCCGAACTTCTGAACCATGTTTGTCAAGAATATCTTGTCGATATTGTCGTTCAAGTGGCAAAACGTCACTTCCAGTGGTGGTGGCTCTCCGCAGTAGTTGGAGTCGATCTTGAATCTAGGCACAGGCAGGTCCAGCTGTTCCAATCGGGTCCAGATCCTTGTCAATTGCGACCTGGGATCTCGTGGCTGCACCTGTGGATACGTGGGATCTCCAGGCACTGTGCCATCGTATCTGCACAGCTTAGCAGCTCCCTTGACTAAGAACGGATCAACCAGCAACTTGTAATTCCTCTGCTTCTGGCTTACTGCTGGCACAGCTACGTCCTTCTGCGAGTGGGTCACGTGACTGTGGCCATGCTTGGAGGAGGCTTGGCTTGAGTTCTGTGCCGAGCTCTGGGAGTTGCCATGAGAGTTGCCATGAGAGTGGCGGTGGCGGTGTGAGTGCGAATGCCCATGCCCATGACCATGACCATGCTTCTCCATGCCGTTCATTGCCTCCAAGCATCATCCATTCGTGTGGGTCTCTGTTATAAACATTGAACAGACAACTTTAGCTTGGACAATCTGGCTTTGCTACAGCAGGTGGAAAAAGTATATTTTTCTTTGCAGTCGTGTGTTGCGTAAGATTGCCTAAGATTTATTCACGTCCTCCCTCCGGGGGAGGGTAGGAACGATTAAGATGTTTGTCAACACAAGTACCGCGATCACACTGTCAGAACCTGCTAATCAACACGACATGATTGCATTGCACATCACTTCGGTTCCTCGCTAGAAGACAATTGACTTTATCGTTAGAAAAAATAAATAGTGGGACTCGTTGTGAATTTAATCGGCGCTCGGCAACGGTTCGTCGTGCGCGGCTCACACGAGCGCAATGTGGGGCGCAATGTTTCGGCGAAAGCACAAAAATCCAGCCGCTACTACGCGCGTGTCGACGAGTCCGCGGGGTTCTCTCGACGAGGACGCCTGGTTCTCACTGCACGCGCACCGAAGACAACGGGACAACAACCGCGGACGAGCCCGAGCCGTCTTCGCGAGAACGCATCCTCGACGGCCGAGAGAGAACGCGATGCACACAGTCCTCGCGTGCTAACGGATCGATACGATCGCCACACGACACAGCTTTATCGACACAGCATCCTCAATCGCGGGTATTCGAGAGACACGACTCGCTTGCCCGACTTACGATCCTATTCTCTTCCCTCCGAGACTTCGCTCGAACTACGTATCGCCCAATCGCGAGAATGTCGTCCTCCCTCAACAACACATAACCTCAAAAGCACTTTGCGACTTCTTCCAGGTTGGACTGTCCCCGCAGGAATGATTCGTGAAAAACATCCCCCGCTGTCGGCTCCTCCATCCGTCCGTCGGCCCGTCAATGTTTCCTCGATCGCGAGCTCTGTCGAACTCGCGAGTCTTGGTCTCTCGCTCTCCTTATTTCTTTCTTCCTTCGTCAGCCTCCGTCTCTCTCTCTCGGTCTTCGCTCGCTTTCTTTCTCCCTCTCTCATGCGAGCACTCTCTGTCTCTATTCCCTCTCTCTCTCTTTCTCCCTCTCTCGCGAACCTTTAGACCCTTATTCAGTTACGCTGCGGTTTTTTTTCTCCCAACCCGAGTAACTTTTGCAACGTCCAGAGCGATAGTGCGCACACCGCGGCGGCGAGCCGCACGAGTCGAGCGTCTGCGAGCGATTGCGAGCTATCGAACCAATCGTTCTTCCCTCCCTCTTTCTCTACCGAGCGTCCCGTCCCCGTGACGTTCAGCGCTCTCTCTCTCTCTCTCTCTCTCTCTGTCGATGGCACGCGCACCTCTGAGAAAGCCAAGAGGATGAGTCCCTTTTTCGCCGTGGCGTCGCGTACATACGACATGCGAGGTGCTCTTTCTCTCTTTCTCCCTCTCCCTCTTTCTCGCGGTGTCACCTCCGAGCGTGGTCGAGCTAGTGTTCCTTCACGCGCACGCGAGACGCACTTCGCGCAGCCCCCTTTTCATGCGTGCCGTGAACCCGCGGCCTTCCTCTCCCGCCTACTTTCCACGGCTATCTCTCCTTCAAGTCACGGGAGAGACGAGTATCCCGATCTCTCTCTCTTGGCGTCTCCATCCGCGCGTCGGCCTCACCAAGTGAGCGTGAACCTTTTTTACTCTTTTTTTCGTCTCTAGTACGAATGTTCACCAATATTCACGTTGCTTCGCACAGCACGTCTCCTACGTGCGTCTCGTGTCTTTCTGCCTGTCTCTATCGCGTCGGGCTTTACACTTTACAGATGACGATGTCGATACCGATCGACGGTCGATCGCGGTGGAAGCCCGTGAATTTCCCCGCCGAATTTGCGAACTCATCATATTTCCGATGGCTACTGGTTATCGAGTCGTCTTCCCTTTTCTCTCTCTCTTACTCTCATCGTGCATTCTCGTGAATCGATCATCGCCGACCTGGCCGTCTGGATTCCGCGGTCGACTGCTCCGTGGAACAATCGGGGACGAGGCGCTCCTCTCGATCTCGCATCGTCAGGAAACGAGCGACGAGCGGCCTTATCCTCGCGCGCCTTGCTCCCAGCGACGACGACGACGAGCGCGCGTATAGAAAATACCTGACAGGATGCCGTGGTGATGGACCGCTGGCATTGTGGCTGCGGCACATTACGCCGATGCGTATGACCTGTATGAGACAATTAAAATCGGACAGTGTGCGTAATTGCTGAAATATGCGTGTGACTCGTGAGAGAGCTCGGCCGAGACGACGCAGCATCGTTGTCGCGTCGTCATTGGCGCGCAGCGGATCCAACGGCCGGCCACTTGGCGAATCACGCTCGAGCGAGAAAATCCCGCGCGCGAGAAGTCCCGATGAGTGAACTTGGTTGCGTTCGGCTAGTCGCAAGATCGCGAGAAAATTAACTAATCACTGTTCATTTTTCTTCAATCGCAAGAAGAACGATTGATTGTGATCGATCAATTTTCTTGTGACTTGCAACTAATGTAGAACCGGCATTCAGGAAGCTACGGTGAGCGAGCGCGCGGTGTCATTAAAGCGCGGTTTTTTTGGATTGATCGTCAGCCTGAGAGAATATTTCAATCGAAGGCGATAATTACTGCGCAACCGTTAGTCCCGATCTACAATAGATGTAATAAGCTTTAAGCCTTAAGAAATCGACCATCAGAATTATAGAGGAATAATCAATTATGATTAGTTAATTTCTTATGGCTTAAAGTTTACTACACCTATTGTAGATCGGGATTATACTTCTTGCTTTTTCTTTCGCGAACGTGCGCGCTGAATTCGAATTTTCGAAAACAAGAAACGCATTCTGTCATTCCGATACGATTACATCTTAAGCGGTTTGTATTATCAAAGATATTATCAAAGATTCTTCGTGACTGCAGTAAATCGCGCTGTCTGCACTTAAAGATTGAAAAAGATACATATTTGACATTTGATGGAAGAAAAAAGGGGATAAACAAATTACAAGATAGTTTAGGAAATGCAGCTGTAAATACCGACTTACATTCAAATAGTAGCAGCAACAATGTTAATGGTAAAAAGCTAATAACAAAAATATTTTTAACAAAAACATGTTCCTTAGAAAACGATTTAATGAATGTTTTTAACGAAATATGCTTTTGATAATGTGGAAAACATATATCATGAATAAAGTTAGAAAAATGATTTATTATGGTAAAAACTGCTAATAGCAAAAATAATATTCTCAAATGTTTTCAACAAAATTGAAAAACTAAATCGTTACTGACACTGTTATTATCAAATATGTGCTGTATGTATTTCATAAATTTTTGTAATACAATTAGTCGAATTAAGACAAAATCTTTGTTATTAACAGTTTTGCTAACATATATCTAGTTTAATTTTCTGTTAATAACATTTGCTTTTAACATTCTTTAATCTAGACCACCAATGGTTGTCTGCAAAAATAGGTCCATATCCTGGGCTGCATTTCAAAAATTCTCATCACACATGAAATGACAGCTGCATATGCATAACATAAAATCGTATCCAGTAAACATGCATGTCTAAAAGATGTCGAAAAGATATCTAAAAGATATCTTATGTTGCATAAGACGTCTTTTAGATATCTTTTCGACATCTTTTAGACATGCATGTTTACTGGGTATGGACTAATGAGCATCGAGTATTGAGCATCAAACATCAATTTGACGGCTTAATACTCAATGGCTGCTTTCCAATTATGTGCTTAACACATCTTGACACACACGTACCCAAAACCAGTTTATTGGTCACATATTATCTAAAATATCTTATAAGATAATATGCAACCAATAAACTGGTTTTGTGTAACAGTGTACACAACTGGAAAGCACCAAATGTTTATTGGTAGAGAGTTCTCCTTATTGGACCATCGACTGCGTTCCGACAGCGACATATGACGTATTGTAGAACCGACCTTAAAACTAATATTAGGCTGCGTTCAGATTCCTTACCCGGGTGCACTCTAATACAAGAAGTGCTATAGTATATGTGACATATACTATAGTGTTTCTAGTAACAGAGTGCACCCAGGTAGGGAATCTGAACGCACCCTTACATTTATCGTACAATAAACTTGTTGGACATTCCAATTGGCTGTGGAATAGTGAATTTCTGGGGTACTTGGAAAAAAGTTAAGGACTTTAGGAGAGTTCTATCCATCAGTCAATCGACACGTTCGACAATACCCATTGTACGACGCATATAATATGATTAACTTGTTTTGTAATTTGTTAAAAACAATTGTTTTCAGCAATTTTAAATTGATAATCTACATTTGTCAGTAACATTGTAAAAACACGCGTTATTAGTGATGTTACTACTGGTCTGAACTGACTTTTAAAAATAAACCACAAGTGTTCATCGTTTTTCTAATTACTTTGCGCCCTAATCTTAGTTTTTATTTTTATGCGTTGAGCTAACACGACATGTATAATCGATATTTTTAAGGTGTTTTTTAAAAATATTTTTATCATAAATTAGATTCTTACAACTTTTGGTATCAGTAATTTTGTGGATTTTATATACGCATGTTGGCCAGACATATGATCGATCTCTCATTCCATTTTCGAACACACCAATCCAATGCACTTCGCGGTGTTCGATCAACGATTCTCTTGCTCATTGGTGATTATCTTGCGGAGTTTTCGCCGAGAGGTAATTCTGTGCTAGTCGATCTCTGTGTAAAGGAATATCTTATTGGAGAGACATGTCGTTCCTACAGAACTTCTTCAAACGTCACATACCTGTAGTGAAGGCCGAGGAGGAAGAAGAGCAAGAATTGGTGGATCCACAGAAAGTGCTTCGTGTAAGTAATATAATTATATTACGTAATATCTGAAAACGTGACATATCAAAAAGTTTATTTTAAGGAAAGTTAACTTAAAAACAACAAGTTTAGAAAGACAGAGAATCACAAATATCTTGATCTTGTCCTCCAATATATGTGTGTACTTTCCTCGGTTGGATATATTTTGAAATAATGTCTGGATAATAACTGAATTAAGAATTGAAAATTTGTCGGCAAAAGAACGCAATTAATCCTAAATTATCGTAGTAATTAGAAGTGAACATTTCAGTACAAAATATGGTGCAATGAAGTGGTATTTCTTAAAAATGGTATATTTTTTGAATATATGTTCAAATATAATATAGCATCATAAAGTATACATACATACATCATAAGTATACATTAAAGATTTGTACATTCAGCATATTCTTTCAATCTGGTTTCTCTTGATGAAACTTAAAGTCAAATTGAAGAATAAGTTCAAATTACTGCAAAATGACATTTTTAACACTTTTTTTCTTATTGCAGGAAGAATGCGGTAAATTAGCGAAATGCATGAGCTTTCAAGAGAAATTGAATACATGCAACGACCGTGTGAATTCACGAAAGAACACAGAGGAAACTTGCCTAGAGGAGATTATTGATTACGTGGAGTGTGTAGATCACTGTGTCGCAAAGACTCTATTCAGCAAACTCAAGTAATTGTGCTCCTGACAAGGAGCCAACTGTTGTTCACAATGTTGTTAGTTTAATTTCTCCTGATCATTGTATATATACACAATCCAATATTAGAAATAAAAGATAAACCTAAAAATAGAGGGGCTTACATCAGCACATAATATCTTCATTTGTATTTCAATCCTAATGTTAACAAATCTTAACATGAACAATGATGTATACAATAGAATACATAAAATATCAATGACATAGAATTATACACAGACTTTCGATTTCAGCAAATTGCATTTTCTTCTCATATAAAAAACACTGGAATGATCCATCTCCCCAACGGTTTTCGTAGAAACTTTTAATTTTAATTGCGAAAATTTTCTTTTGTAAAGTTCTCAGCACCCTGCAACACGTCGAAGCACACGTCGCACACGCGTACTGGCTTGTTCAAATTAAATTTTATGATTGGTACATCCTGACCAGAGCACTTGCTGCACAAAATTCGCCCACAGTGTCGACTGAAAGCAAGAAAAAAAAATTAACAATAGATAAATTGATAGAAAACTGCTTTGCAATTGTAACATTCGTGAATTTGATCGGTACATGTTAAGGACTGCTCTTGGATTCGTATTCTTGAAATTTTTGCATATATGTAAGTTTCATTGCGCAGCTATTTTATGTCATGATTATATTTATGCAAAGGAACTGACGTATACGCAAACATTTAAAAAATATGGACTCTGGGCCCTTCTTTCGCTGTGGCTATCTTAGTTTATGACATCAGAAGTGAGAAAATACATGTTAAAAATTCTTGCAAAATACGTTGAAATAAAATTATATGTTTACGAAATAATATTTGCAAACGATCAAGCAGAGCTGTAAAATAATTCGAACATTTCCTTTTTATTGTAACAATCAATAAATAGCCCTAAAATTAAAGTGACAAAATCGTGAGAGAAAGTAAATTAAAGAGGAAGATTGTATATCACATTAATTTTACAGTTATTTGATTGTTTTATGGATATATCTTTTTATTTCAGCATATTTTGCAAGAATTTTTAGCATGTATTCTCGCTTCTGATCAGTGAAGCTTCTTATCAATGAAGAGCAGGAAAGAATTAAGCCTTGATCTTGACCTAATTTAAGAGCTTGTACCAGTCAGATTTACGAATTTTATAATTGCAAAGTAATTGCATTGCTTTCTCTGTTAAAAAATGTATAAATTTTAAGAGGATTAATATATAAAAATTCAGAATTATATATATAATAATAATCCTAATAGAATAAATTCAGAATTATATATATAATAATAATCCTAATAGAATTATAATAGAATTTTAATAATTCTAAGAGAAATTAATTGGTTCATGTGCTGTAACTAAGAAGAAAAAGAAAGAATATAGTTTACAGTACCAATGATGTTTGCGCATTGTAAGAGAGAACTTTGTTCCACATTCCAAGCAACAATCCTTGTCGGACCACGGCGCTTCCTGTGTTAGAGAATCTAAGAGTCTGTACAGTAGCTGCTTTGTTGCTACTTGGTAATTAAAAATAGTAATCCCGTCTTTATTCATCGAACCTAGGCACGCGCCCGCCCGCACTAATGTTCTGCAAAGATTGCCATTGCCTTTCATATACGCGATCAGCAATGGCGTGTTTCCGTCCAAGTCTGGAATGAAAGACACAAAAGTAATACACACATACAGTATATGACGGTCTTAAGTAAAAGCTCCAAGCACATAACGTGTGTTCTCAGAAAAAATGCACGCATAATTTCTTTAATACTTTGTGGTCAAATCTACCTCGATATCGCGTCTCGTTTTACATTCAATTGATTATATCAACGATTTAAATTAATAAGTTTTAAACCAAAATTCTATTAGCTTTTTATTCATTAATGGTATACTCAATATAAACACTCTTTTCTCATTTAACGTTGCTAATTGGTTCCCGACAAAGCTATAACATTAAGAGAAAAAACGCTGAGCAAGCAATCATATTGTTTGGACAAAATTGAGTATTCAGCATCAATTTTTGAGAATTTAAGATAAAAGCACCAATGATTAGACGAGTATCTCTGGATATTCTTATTGTTTTGATGTTTAAATACGAATATATTCAAACTTTCAACACGAAATATGTATCAATACAGAAAATATATTCTATGTTGAAAGTTTAAATATTTATATATAAAGATTAAAACAATAATAACGTGTCCAGACATTGGTGCTTTTACCTTAATTTAAAAAAATAAAAACTTCATGCACACAAAATGAGTGTTAAAAACCGAAAAATATACGTTCGGCAAAACATTAATCCAGCAGACATCAAATAAAAGAAGTATTTATATTATTATCAATGTGTTGTTGCATTAGTTAAATACTGAAATTTAGAAATGAACGCAAACTACGTGATATCGTCACGTAAATGAATATTTCCACGAAGACCGGTCGAAAAGAAAAATTGAAAACAATTTGGAGTTCGAAGAATCGAGTAATGATCCTTATTATCTGAGTAACATTGTATTTCATCGTCGCACCTGCGTTATTAACCGGATACTTTGCCATGCATTCTAAAAATAGGTCGCAGATTGTCGCAGCGTTGTCCCTGCCACATCTGGCCAACTCATGCAGTGGATTGCGTCCTTTCAGATTCACAGCTTCCGCGTCTAGCTCGCTCTCGGTCAATAACGTCCGAACTACTGACACATGGCCCTCTCTTACCGCCACATGCAAGGCGTTGTCGCCGTCCGCGTTCACCGCGTCGAAGTTGATATTGTTCTATGCGAAACAATTGACAATTTTATCCGATCGTCCGTTTCGAGGTATTTCTGTGGCGGACTGAACTGATATAGCTGTTTCTATCTCTCACTTGCAATAATGCGCAGACAACAGCCGAATGGCCCGCTTTGGCTGCCACGTGCAGCGCGGTATTCCTGTTCGCATCCGTATCGTTGACACGAGCACCCGCCAGAATTAAACTTCGCACTAGTAACTCATTTCCGGACACTGCGGCGAGGTGCAGAGGTGGCGTCTGCGTGACATCGTGTATTCTCGAATTTACGTCTACCTAGAAAAGAGAAAGAAAGATAATGATCACATTCAATATTGTAACTATTTATTTAGCTCTTGGATTTAATTAGTGCATACATTCAGATTTCATTCAGATTTAATTAAAAAAAAAGAAAGAGGATAAATAAGTGTATTTAGTACAGTAATTATGAACCTTTGGATCCAGTTGGTGCATATCTTCAGACTTTATCAAGCTTAAAAAAAAAAAATAGAAGAAAAAGAAGAAGAAAAAAGAAAACAGAGTGCATTCAATATTACAACTGCTCATTGAGCGCTTAGTGAATTCTTGAATATAATTGATGTATATTTGAAGATTTTATCAAGATTTAAAAGAAAAATAAATGTAATAAATACATTCAATATTATAACCGTTCACTGTAAACCATGGGATCCAGTTAGTGCATATTTTTAGATTTTAATATAAAAACAATATAAAAGAAGAGAAAAAAAGAAAAAAAAATTGAATAATGAGTGTATTCAATATTGTTTAACTGTTTATTGAGTATTTAATGAATTGTTGCATATTTTCAGATTTAAAAGAAAAAAGGTGCATTCAATACTATAACCACTTATCAAGCACTCAATGAGTTTTTGGATTTAGTTGGCGCGGATATTTTTATATTTCACCAAGCTCTAAAAGAAAAAAAAGGTAGGTAAAGAGTGCATTTAGTACTATAACTGTTCACTGAATGTTGACTCACTGACTACCTAGTAAAGTTTAAAATCTAATTGCATATTTGCAGATTTTATCAAGATCTAAAAGTACAAATTAATCAAAAAATTGATTGGTTGCTTAGCGAGCGTGAATTGCAGTGCTGAATGCACTCGATTATAGGTATTACCATCATAATTTCAGATTTTAATCCTATATAAATGAAATGAAGTACTTGTATCGACAGAAGAAACAGGATGCTCTCCATGTCGCCCTTTTGTATGGCGGTGTGCAAGAAGTTCCTGCCTTTATTATCGTACTGCTCGGCAGCCTTGGGCAATCTCTCCAAAATTGCCTGCGCGGCTTTGTTATTACGGACTGTCAAGGCGGTCGCGAACGGCGTCAAGCCCTTCTTGTCCCGCTTATTTAGATCTATATTCGGGTGGCACAACAGCAAAGATATGATCTGCGAATGCTGATTCTGTATTGCCACGTGCACCGGAGTCTTCCCCTCCGCGTCGCGGGCGTTCACGTCGGCGCCGTGTTCGATGAGCGTTTGCACCACTTGTTCCAGTCCCCATTGACAGCACAAATGCAACGGCGTACACTCGTCTCTCGCTTCGTCCCCTCCCGCGCCGTCCGGACCAAGTCTTCTCGGAGCATTCAGATCACATCCGCTGTAATATAAGATGTAAACAATAATTAATAAATAATATATAATAATAATATATAATATAATAATAATAATAATAATAATATAATAATATATAATATATATATAATAATATATAATAATTAATATATAATAATTAATATATAATTAATTAATAAATAATTAATTTAATAAATGGGCAAGAACCATACGTTGGTCCTTGTGAGGAAATAAAAGTTTAGTAAGAAAAACAAATATTTCTTCTATTGAAATTTTGAGCACAAATTGGTATTTTTTAAATAAAAGACTACTTTTTCATTAATAATTTATTTAATTTTCAATTAAAAAGTTAATTATATAATATCATATATATTGCTTTATATTAATAAAGAAAAACATCAAACGTTGGAAATAAATTCACAAAAAGCGTGATTCCAATCCGGAAGCCAAACGTAACATACAAATTGTTGAAAAACGAGATAGTCGTTACGATTTTTTGAAGAAATTTCTTTTCTCTCTAAACTTATATTTGTTCGTCAGTTTTTTCGACTCGAGAAATGCATATTTGTACCTCCTGATCAGAAACTGTGCGATATACTCTTTGTTATCGTCGATCGCCTTGTGCAACAGGGTTTGCTGGCAACCGTCGGGCCCAGGTCCCCAACAATCGTTGTCCGCTCCGTACTTGACCAAAATCGATGCGGTATCCTCTTGGTCCGAATCCAAAGCGTCCCACAAGGGACATCCTATCGAAGTGTCCACGCCTCGTCTGCAGAGGGCTTCCACCACTTCGCCCAATCGACAATGCACGCACAACTGCAAGGGCGTCTCTCCGTCGGCCGTTCTGCATGTATTGAAGTATGAATATTAATACACAGCGCTCTTCTTCATTAGACGAGTAAATTCAGCGAGCTTTAAGTTCGTTAATAATCGTTATGTGAAACTTGTCTTAGATACTCGGATATGAATTTAGAATCAGACATCTAAATTTCTCAATTGAATCACATACCAGGTGTAGAAGTATGAAACCGGAATTCCCCTATAAATGGTGCCAGCGTTCAGTTTAGTGACCGTAAGACCGCTACTGCCGCGCTATTATATTCTCCTAACAGCTGACGAATATTGTCAACAAACATAACCCCAACTTTCATTCTCTAGTATATTTTTGTATAACCTTAAACATGTCACGTTTCGAGCCTACTAACTATGATTTGCGGACAGCATTGATTTTCTGTTATCATTTAAAGAAAACTGCTGCAGAATCACATCGAATGCTTGTCGAAGCTTACGGTGAATATGCTCTTGGTAAATCTCAGTGTTTCGAGTGGTTTAAAAAATTCAAAAGTGGTGATTTTGACGTGAGGAACGAAGAACTATGAACTATGAACTATGAACTATGAACTGCTGAAACCTGGTCAAACCGTCAATACTAATCGCTACCAACAACAAATGATCGATTTAAATCGAACATTGACTAAAAAACGACCAGAATATGCAAAAAGGCAACACAATGTCATTTTGCTCCATGATAATGCCCCATCACATACAGCAAAACGGGTCAAGGAAACGATCGAGTCGTTCAGTTGGGAATTACTACCGCATGCGGCTTATTCTCCAGACTTGGCTCCGTCCGATTATCACCTGTTCGCATCGCTAGGACACGCTCTCGCTAACCAACGCTTCGATTCGTATGAAAATGTGGAAAAATGGCTAGATAACTGGTTCGCTTCAAAAGATGAAAAGTTTTTTTGGCACGGCATTCATAAACTGCCAGAGAGGTGGGAAAAATGTGTTCAAAACAGTGGAAATTATTTTGAATAAAGTATTATTTATCACTTTCGAACAACAGACGTCTTATTTGTATAAAAAAATTCCGGTTTCATACTTCTACACCTGGTATATGATATACAGTCAATAAAAGGAAATTTCATAATGCATCGAATATTCAATAAGAAATATTTCAAACATACTGGATGTCAGTGCATGATACACAAGAAAAAATACAAGAAAATTTTAAATTTTTATTTTTCTTGTTTATCATGCATTAATATCCAGTGTTCGATTTTTATCAGCTAATTTAAAATACTGATGACTTTTTATTGTATGCCTCAAAGCCTTATTAGTTTCTAATTTTATTTTTCAATAAGTAAACTTATCTTTTGAGAATTATTAAATTAAATATTCCTATATAATCTTGTAAGTTTTATTAAAAAACTTTTATTGAATACCAGATGCGTAATGAAATTCAACAATCTTTCTTCCACTAGTTACAAATACAATTTTGTTTGTAGTCGCGATTTAACGCGAAAATCTCATCTAAGATCCATATTACTAATTATTATTTGAAATTCATCTAAAGTGATACACTAATTTGATTTGAATTCTGAGTTAGATAAGGATTCTTCGGTTGAATCGCAATTACAGATATAAACGACACATGTATCATAATTCAACTGAAAAACTTAGATCTAACTCTTAATGAAAACTTGAGTATCTCGTAAAAACAAGTTTCAGGTGACAACTATTAGTATGGGCCCTAACTTTAAATTGAAATCTGAGTATCTCACCTGAGACTATTATTATTATTATCATCTCATTTGAGACAAATCTCAGACGGATTTTAAGGCGTTGTTAAAACTTACCTCACATTCATATCAGCGCCGTTCTCCAAAAGAAATATGGCTGTGGCCGAGTCCTCTTTCAATATCGCCTGATGCAACAACGTCAGGCCCTCTTCATTGCATTCGTTAACGTCAGCCCCGGCCTTGATCAGCGCCAGCACGATGTCCTTGCCCTTTTTGAACGGCGCCTTTATCGCCAGATTCAGCGGCGTCTCGTTCGCGTTGTTCTTAATAATCAACTGCGAGCTAGAGTCCGGGGCGTCCAGTAGCTCCACAACTATGTCGGTATACAGATTCGAGATGGCGAGATGAATCGGCGTGTCACCGGTGGAGAAGGTTACGTCGTCAGTCGGCAAACCGTTCCTCAACAGAGCCCGAGTGAGTTCCTTCAAGCCGACCTTGCATGCCTCGTGTAATATCGTGAGACCTTCGTTGTTGGTTTTCGTTAGACTGCTTTTACAAAACTCCGTCAAAAATAACGCCGCCTCTTCCTTACACTCCCGGGTCAAAATGTGCAGCAGCGTATCGCCGTTGCTGTCGTACGTCGGATTCGGTGTGGCGCCCTTAGCCAACAACTCCGACGCGAAATAATCATTGAATGGATCTGCTCTCATCGCGATGCACAACGGCGTGTCGTCCTCGTTTGTGGTCATATCTAAATCTACGTTCTTCGCCTCGAGCAACAAATTGAACAGCATCTCGTTCTTCTCCGAGATACAGCTGTGAAGTGCAGTCCTGTGCGAATATCAATTACAAATTAAAGATTTTATTCGTGCAATAAAGGCAGAATTTCACAACAAATTTGTGTTTCGTTATTTACGTTTCATTACATTACATTCAAGATGTCTTTAATTACTCCCCACTAATTGCCTATTGCGTTATCTCTTATTAAAAGTCAAGTCATTTTTTACGTTTAATGAAGAGGTAATTATTAAACAGAGCATTCACACCAGAAAAAAATTTTTTTAATTGTTTGATTTTATTTTTGGGCTTTAATTTTTTAAATAGCGTTATGTATTAGGTGTACAACTTTGCTTCCGCCGTTTTCCTATAGATGGCTTTAGCGGTAAGTGGTGGTCGAAATAAATAGATCATAGACGTCATACAATAAACTTGGGCATCTGTCAACATAACCCCATAGAAACATTAGTCGATTTGTGTCTGCATCATAAAATTATTCTCGATTAAAAATGTCAGTTTACGAGCCAAATTCTCGTCATTTGCGGGAGATTTTAATTTTCTGCTTCAATATGAAGAAATCTGCGGCTGAGGCTCATCGAATGCTCTCAAATACTTATGGTGAGGCCACTATTAGTGAAAGAACGTGTCGTGAGTGGTTTCAACGCTTCAAGAACGGTGATTTTGACGTCGAAGACCGGCATAGCGGTGGAAGAGAGAAGGTTTTCGAAGATGCAGAATTGGAGGCATTACTTGATCAAGACTCGTGTCAAAATCAAGAAGAATTGGCACGATCATTGGGAGTGACTCAACAAGCCATTTCAAAACGCCTCAAAGCCATGGGAATGATTCAGAAGCAAGGAAATTGGGTGCCGTACGAATTGCAAAAAAAAAAAAAAAACGGCGGAAGCAAAGTTGTACACCTAATAAATTAGTAAATGTCAATAAAGAAACGCATTATATATTCTATAGAACATATAATTTTCAAGGATCTAAATCAGAGTTGATCGTTTACGTATAAATTATATTCTACATCTGCATATAGACAATGTAAACTATGAAGTGTTATCTATAAGTAGGCAATGAGTAATTTATGGATATCATTTAAAGAACATATGACTTGCTAAAAATTAATATATATTAAGGAAAGGGTTTATATTTTATTTTTATATGATATTTTTATTTAATCTGTAGAATTTGGTGTTAATTTGTGAACATTATTTTCTAGGCAAGTTAGAGAACATAGAATTCTCTGGTTTATATTTTTACCCCTAGAATTAAATCTATAAATCTGTCACAGAATGAAATGATTTGCAAATTTTTAGCAATTCATCTTTTTTAAACATTATGTTTACAATTAATACCCAAACATATGTGGTAAATCTCAATTTAATTTTGTCTTTTTTGTATATTTCAATATAGCTTACAATATTCTACATAGTTTACATTGTTTACACGAAAATAGATCACATAGACATAATCTTGAAATCTACAACACAACTCTGATTTAAATTAATAAAGCCAGGACTTACCATCCTCTATGATCTTGTAAATTCGGATTGATCCCAGCTTGGAGTAATCTCGACCCAACCACCATCATATTTTCCGTGTTATGCCTTGCTACCAAATGTAAAGCAGTGCAGCCTTGCAGCTGCTTAAGATCAGCTGTGTTTCTCACACCTTCGACAATTTTTACAGCCTCGCATAATTTGTGCACGGTGCCGCTGTTCTCAAGCTGCTCGATTATGAATTCGGACGAATAAGAATCTCCTTTCAGAATAGCTGAATGAAGCAGAGATAGACCTCTCGCATCTTTTGCGCCTAAGTCCGCTCCGTGTTCAACCAAGGTGCGGGCTAGAGATGGCTGGCGAGTCTTCAAGGCAACTTCTAAAGCCGTTTCACCCTTGTGATCCACGGCGTTGACTGCTTTTGGAAGCTGCAAAAACAAGTAAAGAATATTAAACCCGAGAAATGAAACATTCATATTTCCTTAATCAAAATAAAATAATACAATTTAATGTAGTCTATATGTAGATAATATAAACTATGTATGCGTAAACTACGTCATCTATGTGGACAATGAGTAACTTGAATGTTGTTTAAAGAACGTACAGTTTGCTAAAAGATTACTTGAGAAAAATTTGTATTTTTATTTGACTTTTAAAATGCTGATGTACATTTATGAATATTGTTTCCTGAACAAGTTAGAGTCCATAAGATTTTCTAGTTATATTTTCATCTACACAGAGAGTTAAATCTACCAATCTGTCATATAGTGGAATAAAAATTTATTATCTTTTTTAAACATTATATTTTTAATTATATATAATAAACCCAAAATGAATACGGTATAACTATATTATAATTTGTTTTTTTTTTATTTTAATATAGTTTGCAAATATTCTGCATAATTATATGGTACATTGCTTACATGAAAAATGACTGTGTATACATTACGTAGAAAATATGTTAAACAATCCATGTAGATATAATCTTGAAATGTATGGTAGACCTGATTTATGGCAAATAAATATATTTTCCATAGAGAAAAATATAGAAACTATAATAAATAGAGAATTGATACGTTTATATTTAATTAAAACTTAAATAGTATTAAATTTTTAATTAAAAACGAATAAATTTCAAATTCAAGGTTTTTAATAAAAAAATAAATAATGTTAAATTTTTAATTTTTTATTTTCTACTTCATCTCTTAACTACTGCAAGTAAAATTAATGTGGCAAAAAATATCGTTTCAGCCAGCTCGAGACATGCGCAACTTTCGTATTGCCCGCTCGTTGCGAGAGAACGATCTGAGAACCACTGCTATCAACAAATGATAAACCTCAATAAGCGCGTGCGGCTGTATACATACGTGCACGCGGTCAAGCTGAAATGGTACGAACAACGTCGGCTCAGTGTGGAAAAGTGCTTATGGAGGAAGTATGAAGATTATTTTCTGATATACGCGAAGGACGCGAACATTAAACCATCATCCACGCGATGATGACGTGGCCCGCGATACACCCAACTAATCGCACTTGGCTGCCGACCAGTCGCTCCATGTGTATCCACTGTGTGAAAAAAGCTTGACCACACATTCCAACGCGAAACACAAGTTGTCACGATGCGTGATACGCACAGCACGAGCTAACGGTGTAACACTGTGGTGGGTATCGGTGTGCATTGCTCTATTTGGTAACAGGATACATGTACGGATTGGCATGTCCGACGTGTACGCTAATTAGAAAAATAACGAGACCGAAAAATTCGGATTAGAAATTCTCTGCACGGGCCTTAATGGCGAAATCTGGCAGTTTTTAATGGTGATACAAAGAGGTACTTCGAGAATAAGATCTATCAAAAGTAAAAAGGAAATTGTGATTATTTTGAGATGTAAAAAGCATCTTGTGCAAAACCTCTTTGGTTGAAAGTTTCGTGACAAATTGCACGAACGAGATTTAACGGAATCTTGTGGAATTATGTTTCTAAATTTTGTAAACAACAAGGTTATTTTACAAAAAACCTTGTGATACACTTGTTGATGCTTTAAATGTGGTTTGTAAAGAAAGATATATTTAATTTTCCATTAAATTTAAATTTTGAACATTGTTTTAGATCTTCTTGCCATTGCTGAAATAGGATTAACTAGTTAAAGCAGCTCATTGTTAATGTAAATAATAATTTTGCTACTTTTTTGATGGGCCATAGTATTATGAATAGTATTATGAAAATGCGCAACTTTAAACCAAATCTATGGATTGTATTATGTATCAGCATCCTATCATGTATGTTCTTTTATACTATTGACATAATTATATTTTAATATTCACCATTAGTATTAAAAATCAATGTGTTCAGCAGAGAAAATAGCTTTGCAACTCTTGTAAAATTCCTATAAAATTGAATCTGAATGGAATATATTCTTTTAGATAAGATTAGATCAAGAGCATATATACACCAATCAAATTCACAAATTTTACAATTGCAAAGCAGCTTCCTCTACTGAACATAGTCTATAATATTTGACATAAACTATAAATTTTCAGTACTGACAATGAATACTAGAGACACAGTCTTAGAAAATCTATTAATATTTGACATTAATATTTTGAAACTTATAGATGTCTCACAAGCACAGACAAAAGGTATCTCATGTTTCAAATGTCTCGAGACAATTATGAGGCCAGGAGACGCAGATCTACTTTGTACTCGTTTTGATGGAAGTGCAAAATTTCAGACATTCTGTCCAACCTCAACATTCTGTATGAAAAAAACTATTAAATACAGGTCTAAAAGTAGGTAGACAATATACACAGGAAACATTACTCTTCAGTAACACTGTGACTAGAAATTTTTATCAAATAAGCTTTTGTTTAAAAATTGTTTGCAGCATCTGTAGTGACCACTGTTTTAAGAGGCTGCACACCCCAGAAATATATCTTTCACGCTTACAATGAGGATGAAAGAAAATGGGATAAGAAGGAAGAGGTTGTAACAACTGCTTACGATGAAGGTTGCTTTATCGGTGAACACAGAGGAGCACCAACTGATCCACCTGAATACTGTTTCTGCAGTTTTCACTTGTGCAATTCATCTCCCAAACAAATTGGGATATTTGGTAAAATATATGAGACAATATTAGTATTATTAATAATGAGGTTACTGTAACATTTTTCAATATGTAACATGCACTGCATTATTGAAAAAAAAGTTTCATGCATAGATTTTCCATATTGAACAATATGCACAGATACGAACATATCTTGAATTTTTACAACAAATTGCAAATATATAATGTAATATAAAGAAAACCATATTGTATATGTGGCCTAATCAACATATATGGCCATAAGTATAAGATGCATAGAAAACAACATCACAATTTGAATCTCATACTATTTCTATTTGTAATTTATAAATAACATGTGATTGTATAACTAATATCGCGCAAAGATGAAGAAACTTTGTTATAACTAGTCAATTCTTCATAAAATAATTGTCTTGTTAAAATCAATATTTCTTTAAATTAAAACTATAGTTTTCACTAAATATATCTCTAGAGACAATCCAGATAATACATTTTATAATTCTGCATTCTGCAAAACTTGTAAAAGTCCATGTAAAAACATAAAAATATCTACATTGCTTCATACAAATGTGATAAAAAACATAAATTATCTACATTGCTTCATACAAATGTGATATCTGGAGATAGTGAAGACAAGCAAAATCATAAAAAATCCATATTGTTATATCTCTTAGTAATTGGAATGTAAGAAATTAACCAGTGATATGACGTTGAAGTAAATTGCATTTCATAACTTCCAACAAAAGATACATCTAAATTACTAATATTTGAAGATTAGAATAAATTTATTTTTTTATAACTAATTGAGAAAACAAAATCTATTACTTATCTCAAATGTTTATGGGCAAAATGTACTTTATGCATGCAAGTACTTAATATTAAAACACGAGCTGTGAATATGTAAATTGTAATATCATATTTAAAATATACTTAATGGTAACAAATAATAATTTTAAGTCTCTGCAAATGCATACGTTGATATTATACAGTATTTTCATATTATACAAATTCTAAGTGTATGTATATATGTCTACAATATAATTATTTTAATACTTATTACGTGATATTTAATTTTTCGCTACTAAAACTCATTATTAAAAAACTTACCTCGGCATTATTTTCCACTAAATACAGGAACACAACATCTTCGCGCATCAAACGGACTGCCGCATGTAGAGGATATTTACTTTTAGTTTGCAATAACTTATACAACAGAGAACCTGGCATTTCCTTGAAATCTTCTCCTGTTAGATCCTCCTATACCATATATAAACGTATTAAGTATAATGCTGCTGCATTGTTGCATTAAGTGCAGCACAATTATCTTAATCTTACCCAGTGTGCCGAAATTAAAGAGCTGCAGTGTTCTTTTAATTTCACAGTGCCCAGTTCCTCAGCAGCTGCATACAGTATTACGCAATCCTTCAATCCCACTGTTCCAATCAGGTATCTCTCGCATTGATCCACCAATTCTAACAATTGAAAGTTGGCTGCTGCCTTCATTAGGTTGAGGGTTAAATTTTCTTGTGATACTTTGCCTGTGTAAATCCATTTCAGCAATACAGACGCAACAGTGCTATCTAAATTGCTCCAGTCTAAAAATTATAATTTAATGATATCAATAAAAAAATGATTATAACTTGATAAGATGTCAATGAATTATACATATGAACAAAACACAAATCTACATTACCTAAGACAGTTTTTTCAACGAGAACTGAATCGCTGAAGAAATCAGTCCTGGCAGATAATACAAATTTATGCGCTGGTATCTCTTGATCAATGAGCTTTATGCTTATATCACTGCAAAGGATATTTTTAAGACTGGTTTACACCAAAAAAGTAGTAGTAATATTGTTAACAATATAAAACTAAACAATTTTTTTATAGCAATATTACATTTTTTAGAAAACAATTTATTAAATGTTTTAACAATATGGAGGACACAAATGTCACTGAAAAATGAGAAAACTATTTATCATGATTAAACTGCTAATAGCAATGTTATTAACAAAATGACATTCTCAAATGTTTTCAACAAAGTTGAAAAACTTTTAATAATACTGTTATAGCTAAATATGTACTAAACAAGAATTTCACAATTTTTATAATATAATCAGACAAGACTGTATTAACAGTTTTGCTGATATACACACACACACACACACACACACACATATATATATATATATATATATATAGTTCAATTTTCTGCTAATAACATTTGCTTTCAATCCTTTGATCTAACCAAACATCCTTTGATCTAAATAACCAAATGATGGATACCAGAAATAATTTTTTTGACAATGTTGATAACAAAGCTACTAGCATGTTACCAAAACAAATATCATTAACACTTTCAAAATAACACTAATAACAAAATGTGATTGTTTTGTAACTTGTTGGGAACATTTGTTTTTAGCAATTTTAAATGAGACAATCTATATTTGCCAATAAACATACATTAATAACAATGTTATTGCTGATATAAACTTGATCTTTAAGATTACATGTATATATCTGTGTTTGTAAGCATTGATAATTTATCTATGGTTACATGAAAACAATTGCTTTATATTGATATATTGCTTGCATTAATATACAAGTTTCAGGATATATCATTGAACACGAGTACCTGTAACGATGTTGACAATATAACGACGCTATTGTTGCCAGTAGCCTGCCGACAAATCCGCATTCCTGCTTGTCGGCCGTGGCGATAGCATACTCCTTTTGGAGTTCTACGTTCGCGTTATACAGATTGACATATTGCTCTCGCAGCAGTGATAAATGTTGTTGCCACTTCTGCGCTTCCGTAGAATCCTCTGAAAAAAAAATATTGACGTAGTCATCGTGTCTTCCGCGAAGTGAAGGGTCAGATCACTCACGTCACTTACCCATCGTTAAAAGGCAATTAATACGTCGGGATCTTTGCGGTTTGACGCAATATCACTGCATGATGTACGCCGCACGATCACGGCGTATTTATCCGCGCCTAGATCTGCTGAGGTGTACGAAGAAAAAAAAAAAAGAAGAAAAACGAGGTCGCGTGCAACGAAGTCGAGGGCGAGGCGGTGATTGCCGGTGGGGGAAGAAATTTCGGAGGGTCGTCGAACGAGCCGTAACGCGTGCCGGTATGTGATCGGGACTGGGAAAACACAAAATGCCACTACCACACATGTGTCACACATACACCGCCCCCAGGCTATTACACAGCAGCCTATTGCGAATCTGTCATACGGAACACACACACATACACACACACACATGCACGCATATCTGACGAGAATGATGTAACACCAAATATAGACACAAGGGGTCACTACCAGGGCCACCAAACTATATGGCATTTTAGGCTGCGTTCAGATTCCTTACCCGGGTGCACTCTAATACAAGAAGTACTATAGTATATGTGACATATACTATAGTGTTTCTAGTAACAGAGTGCACCCGGGTAGGGAATCTGAACGCACCCTTACGTGACCAACATTAGTGGCGCCCTCTAAAATGAGATCCCCTTAAATGAGAACTAAAAAGCAAGATGACGTCATAAAACGCGTGTAAATGAAACTATTCATAATGTAGACAAAATAACATTATAAGGAAAGAGAAAATGTAGACTTTGAAATCGTCTCTCTTAAAGCACTTTATTTATATTAATAATCTTTATTCTTTTTTTTAAGTATTTATGTTTTATAGACATGTTTCTTGCATGGGAAAAAATATAATTGCTATAACATCCATTTTGTTCTTTTCCTGTAATAATATTGTTTACAATTAAAATATTTCTCATTGTAGGACAATGCATGAGAGGCATAAATATCGTTCCGTCTTTTAACATGTTAACTAATTTTTCATATATCTTATTTTCATAATAGAAATTTGAAAATCTGAATTTAATATCAAAAATTGCATTTTGTATTGTTTGTATTGTAAACTCATCTCATATTATTTTAAGACATTCTACACAATTCATAGAATATTTATTGATAGTAGCATTAATAATTTTTGGCATATCTATGAATAAGTTATTTGTAGTTATATACAGTATAGCACTTTCAATGCACTCAACATTTCGTTTGATTTCCTCCTGTGTAATTTCAGCAGCACAAAACATTTTAATTAACGCTAAAGAACTTTCACCATTTGCTTGGCAATTGGATGATATGGAATGTCGGGAAATCAGATTTGCCATGATTAAAGTTTTAAACGAAGCACCAAATTGATATGTAGACAGATTAATATTTCTGTCTGTTGTCTCTTATTTGCCCGAAAAAATTTTCAACAGGATCCTGATTCAGATATTTAAGATTCATTGATGAAAATCCTGTATGTTGAAGTACATTGTTGTGTAGACAGTTGCTCCTTTATTTTTTTGTCCTCTTCAGCTTGCATTTGTTGTATTTTTAAAATCATTGTATCTCTTTCTTATTTAGTTAGGATTTTTCGCTTTTGTTGGGATACTTCATTTTGCAGCTGATCATATTGTTCTTTGGAACAATTGTTTTCCATTGTATCTAAATTTTCTACTTCAGACATATGTGATGTTATATCCTGTGTTTCTGTGCTACTATTGACAATCTCTTCTACAACATATATTGATGGAATTATAGTGCTACAATACATAAATGTGAAGCACAAGTATAATCGTTGTTTTTAAAATATTTATGACAGACTCGCAAATATTAGACTTTAGATTCTTTTACTGTCATTTTCAAACTTTCTAACCACTGCATACGACGATTTACATTTTTTAGGAAATCTATAATTTGAAACTTTCCAGATATGCATCCTTAAACGCAACAAGCTTTCCCCATTTTTACAATCTATATACAACTGAATAAAATATATTCTTATTAAATACATTGTTTTAATATATTTATAATAATTCGTAAATATTATATTATTACACCTTCTTGAAGAAATTTCTCTCTTAAATTTATTAATATTTAAAAAAAACTTTTAGATAATTTGTCCCTATTGTCTATACAATGACGATAATATATTACTTTTTTGACAAGTCCTCTTTGTTCTTTATTCAATAAGAACCACACCTAACCAGTCTCTAGTTCAAGGGGATCCCATTTTAGAGGGCGCCACTAATGTTGGTCACATAAAATACATTGGAGTTTGGTAGCCCTAGTCACCACAGCTATTGAAAATCACCGCAATCAGTTTTGCTCTATTCCTCGGGAGCGGTGCACTTGGACGGGTGTATATCAGTTGGACACGGGGCAATTGGACACAGTCCAATCACAAGTCGCTGTTCCAAGGGACCCTACAAATGTCTCTAATCACAGCACCGTGTGATTAGAGACATTTGTAGGGTCCCTTGGAACAGCGACTTGTGATTGGACTGTGTCCAATTGCCCCGTGTCCAACTGATATACACCCCTATTCCTCTCACTGGACGAATGACATTTTTTAAACGTTGTAAAAATGTAGAAGAACGAAAGATAGGTGGCGGGGGAACGGATCAAAGATGATACTATTGGATGATAAAGAATAGGGCAACGTTTTTTTAAGCGTTTTTTTATTTCGTGACTATGGTAGCGTTTGGTTGGTTAGTTTGGTCCACTTAACGCTCGCAACGCCTCGAGCAACAAAGATAGAATGACGCTCGCGGCGTTGCGAACGTTAAGTGGATCAAACTAACCAACCAAACGAAAAAACGTCTCATGTGTGAGTGTGTACAGTCAGCGCCAAAACGGTTTAGACAATTTTTCTAGATGCATATTTTGCTGGTATTCATAATCGGATCTTATATTTAAGACTGCTTAAATTAATCTTCAGATATTCAATAACCAATGAAATGATCCCTACATCATCTTAAGATAAACTTAAGGCCGGTATTCATAGTCCGATCTTATATTTAAGATCATCTTAAGTACTGTCTTAAGATGTCATGAACCAATTACAGAGCCGTATTCGCATCTTAAGGCCGGTATTCATAGTCGAATCTTATTTCAAGATCGTCTTAAGTAATGTCTTAAGATGCGAATACGGCTTTGTGATTGGTTCATGACATCTTAAGACAGTACTTAAGTTGACCTTAAATATAAGATCTGACTATGAATACCGGCCTAAGACATTACTAAAGACGATCTTGAAATAAGATTCGACTATGAATACCAGTCTAAAAGGCCAAATCACACTAATGATTGGCGATAGATAATTGACGATTAAAGATTGGAACTTGACCAATTGGAATAGCAAACCAAGGCTGAAGCTTGTTGATTCGTTAAAATCTAATCTTTAATTGTCAATTGTCAATCGTCAATCGCCAATCGCTAGTGTGATTTGGCCTTTAGGCCAAAATAGACTTCCGCCGCGCGGCAAGCATTACCGCATCCTGTGTGTAGGAGCCATAAGCGAAATAATTATTTTGCGTCATCTACAATAGGTGCTTTTCAGTGGCGTACACTGTGTTACACAAAACCAGTTTATTAGTTGCATATTATCTTACAAGATATTTTAGATAATATATGACCAATAAACTGGTTTTGTGTATGTGTGTCTATAGGTTTATGCGTCGCATGCCCCATCATGCTCCTATTCGCTCCAATGCACTCTAATTCGTTCGTGTCACCGGAACCAATATGGCTACTAATGACTTCCGCACACAGGACGCGGTAATGCTTGCCGTGCGACAGAAGTTCGCGCGACAGCCAATCAATATGCTGCTTTCCGTAATAACCTTTTAGTTCTTACGGAAAAACAACATATTGATTGATGCTCCCATGTAATGGCTCCTGCTCACAGGACACGACACTTGCCACGCGGCGGAAGTTTGTGCGACAGCCAATCAATATGTTGCTTTCCGTAATAACCTTGTAGCTCTTACGGAAAAACAACATATTGGTTGGCAAGCGTTGCCGCGTCCTGTGGGCAGGAGCCATAAAGGTACCTTTACGATTTCTAGTGAATATTTTTCCTAACATTATCGCGTTGGTATTTCTGTACGAAAATAGAAATTTTTTGTGTTCGTAAGTTTAGCGCGAATGACTGCAAGCGCAGACTCTGCCTCTAATGATGGTCGCGGGTGCGATGAGAGGTTTGTGAATTTTGTCTTCGTGAAATATTGGAATTTTTATATTAGGAAAACCATGATGTCTAAAGCTGTAGTGGGTCTTGCTGTCGGCATTGCCGGAATTTTTGTTGGTTATTGTTTTTACTTCGATCAGAAGCGTCGTAGCGATCCCGATTTCAAAAAGAAACTCCGTGAGCGTAAGTCGGTTAATCTCTTCTTTTCTGTTTTATGAATTCTTCTCGATACATCTTAGGTCTGTTCAGTTGCACTGCTGCAACAAGTTAGAGTAAGATAAATATATATTTGTTTCACTTTAACTAATTGTACTAGTTCAGCAGTGCAGCTGAAAAGAACAGACCACTTGATACTCGCAGAGTAATTTTAGGAGTTTTTTTTTTTATTCTTCTTTGCTATTGCAGGTAGGCGAGCTAAGAAACAAGCACAACAAAAGGCTTCCTCAAAGATTTTAGATTTAAGGGATCACGAAGTGGTGCAGAAATTCTTTTTGCAAGAGGTAAGTTTACTATTGATAAGAATCATGAAATGATGCAGGAATTCTTTTTGCAGGAAAATCTGATACTAATATGGATGTAATATCAATTTTTGTGATATAAAATATGCATAACATTTATATTGATTATTATTCAGGTACAACTTGGAGAACAAATGCTTACTTATGGTGACATAGAAGGTGGAATTGAACACTTGGCCAATGCAGTGGCAGTATGTGGCCAACCAACTCAGTTGTTACAAGTTCTCCAAAAAACTTTGCCACCAGAAGTTTTCCATGCTTTAGTTCAGCGACTACCATCAGTGGGCCAGGTATAACTTTGTTTTAAAAAAAGTGATATCTGTTTTTTTTAGCTGAACTAGATTACATTTGTTGCCTTCAGAATGAAACAAATATGTAGCTTATAATTGAAGGAAAAAGGAACAAAATAATTCTAATAGATTATTTCAACTAAAAAGAACAAGTCTTTGATTGAAAAAAAGTTATAAAAACAATTGTTTTATAATAAGATATAACTTTTATTCTTTTGTTTTATTTTTTATTTGACTTATTTTTTGCAGAAACTAGTAATGCAAACTCAGATGGCAGAGGAGGATGTCGAATAATTAATATAAAAATTCGTTGAGAATTCTTGAATAAAATTCGACTCTAGTGAAAAGTCTACATTCATTTTTGCTTAACATAGACACAAGCATAATTAATATCTGTAAAACCCTCTAGTTATAATCGTCGTGCTCGATTAAATTTTCTCTTTTTCTCACATGTATGAACTATATAAAGTATAAACTTTGTTCAATGTTTCATTTTTAATAAAACATGTTCTGTAACATGTTTTATAAAACATGAACAGAGAGCTGACGCTCTAAGTAGCAGGATGACACCAAATAACATATTAATAACATTTCTAATGTCATTAATATGTCAGTTGACGTCATCACGTTTGCTGGAATAGTGCTGAGTATTATAATATGCCAATTAAAACTTTTAATTCCTCACTAGAGTGGCATAGGAAAAATTATTATGAAAAACACAAAGAAAATGTCCAGTAAAGAGTCTACAAATGTTTGCACTTGGAAAGTATATACATAATTACTCAAATTATCGAATATACTGCACAGAGTATTTGACGCAACGCATCTGCTCACATATAGGTAGAATTGCTCAGATATAACAAAAAATTCTCATACCATTTTGCGAGTGGTAATTTTGGAGATACTAATGATAGAAAATTGATAAATTAGTATGTATGACATAATGGGACATTTAATGAGTTCTACAAACGGAAGGACGCGTTGCGTTAGACGTTCTATACAATAAAATGTTTGTAATTTTAATGGATGTCAAGTTTTCTCTCAAAACGTGATTGTTACTTCAGGTATGTAAAATACTTAAAACTCTACCAACTTTTGTAAATTTCAGTATGTATAAATGCACTGATTTGATTGTACCGATTTTAACTGATTATATGTTTCATTTTCGTATATTTGTACCATTTTTCCGCTAAGTTTTTGTTGTTTTTTTTGTGCGATACATATAATATGATCACGTATGTATCTATAACTTATATATGTACGAATCTGTGATCATAAAAGTTACTGTAAAAGTTAAAAAGTTTCGTTAAAACAAATTATTAATATATATTATTTTTAAACAAATTATTAATAATTATTAATAAATTTCGTAGAGTATTAAATATTAGATTTGTAGTATTATATATTATTACTGTTTTCGTCCAATTTCAAGGAACATATTTTGTATGTTCAGGAATTGATTCTAATGGACCTTCTACAACAAGCCATTAGTCATAAGCTGTAAGCAAATTGAGCAATCACAGTCGATTGTTTTTGAAAATAATCGACTGTGATTGGTCAATTTGCTTATAACTAATGGCTTATATTGTAGAAGGCCTATAATAGATTAATATTCTATTCTAATAAAATAGTAATAATGCCAGTATGCTTCAATTAGCTGTGTTCAATAGAACATACTGTCACTGTCCCATTTGCAATACTGATAACGAGCGCGCATGCTGCCTTATCTTGGTATAGTAAATGTGGAAAGATAATGCACAATTGAAATCTACAGATCCAATTGTAATCTTGTACAACTATTGTAATCGCGACAAAAATAATATATGAGAGTTATTCTGGAAAAATTTATAAATAGTTGAACGAAAATTACTGTGTATGAATCCTATTGCATGTTGTACTGCAAGTACTTACAAAAATATATATGTATTTTGTAGACAAAATCTAAAGTCAACGTATAAACGCGTACGTAAGCATAGCTATATATTGCCACTTTCAATAGCATTCAAATAATATATAATGTATAGTTCATATTTACTCTTTATATATATATATATATATGTGTATATATATATATGTATATATCTATATATATATATATATACACACACACACATATATATATATATATATCAGAAGTTATATTCTTATAAAAGTATATTACTCTGAAAATAGACAGACATATAATTTTTATCGCAATAATGCATTTAAAGCTGCATAAAATGAGCGTAAACGAAATATATAAGAGAAATAAAAATGTACAAGAGATATTTCATTGTAATTCTTAATATTTTGTTTAGAAATTATACTATTGAGAGATGTAAGTTACATTTATTACTTTTAAATAAGACAGCCGTTAATAGCGAATAAAGACCTCTTTAATTAATATACAACATGTGTATGTACATATATACATATGTACTTACATGTATACATATATATATATATATATATATATATATATAAATTACAATTTCCATATATAAAATTATAATCATGCTTATACATAATTTACTTTACAAGATGTGTGTGTGTAATATTCTAAGGTAGAGGAAGAGAAAAATCTAAAATCAATATATGATATAAATTATATCCTGACTTACTATTTACAATTTTATATGTATATATCATCATACATGATAACATCTCAAGACATGAAACGTGATCAGAGCTCTAAAAACGCCAGCATTTAAGATAATCAGTTTTATTAAAACAAAATATTTAAAAAAAGTTTAACATTATCAAAGACATACATATACCATGAACTACATAATAAACTACATAATTTCTCAAATTCTGCAAGTACAAAATAATTATAATCTAATGCAAATGGAGATATTTCAACCAATGGTTATTAGCCCAGTATGTGGCAGTATGTTCCAATATGGACTGAATTATTTTAAGTAACGAAATTTCTATGTAACCATGCTTCATTAACAATAAAAAAATATACAACAATAAAGGATAAAACATGTCATAAAATATGCATGATTACACCATGGATATCATTAAATCAGCAAAATAGAACTGTACAAGTGTAAGTTTTTAAGCAATGGCGCATTTATAAACTTAAAGAAGTTTGGAAACTACTTGGCACGATAAGCTGCATGGTAATATCTTCCAATCTTGCATTTGTTTTTTTTTTTTGGATTCATGTAGATAAATAAATAATGTATCTATTCAGACAAAATATAATGTATCTATTCAGGCAGAATTCAGAAGGAAACGAAAATATTATATTATTTACATTATTATTTGTAAGTTTAGTTTACAAACAATAATATAATTTGTACTCTCTAACTCAGATCAAATATCCTGTTGATCGAGTGTACATAAATTACATATCTGAAGTGTAGAAAACCTGAGTTAGTTTTACATTAGCTTATTCTGTATAATACATGCAATTAAAACCAAACCTTATAAACCATATTTGACGTGACTATTCTGAATTAGAAATTGTGTTCCTAGCTTCTAACATGACGTCGATAGCATTTTTCTCTATTAGACTCTTAGCCAAATCTTTACCAATTTGTTCTGCACCATGAAGACTTAGAGCACTCATTCTACCGGGGACAACGCCGCAGTAAAGGCGGGGCTCTTGGTATGGACATTTTCTATTGCAGGGAAACAAATGAAAGATGTAGGAATTCGTAAAACATTCAAAAATATACATCGACAATAAGGCATTAATATCAACGTGTGTCTTGATTACTTGGAAATTCGAAGATTTTCTTTTACTCACCTCGGTGGTTCACCGTCGTCCTTGGGTAAATACAGTTTACTTTTACAAGTATTTTCAATCAGGGTTTGACCGTCTAAGGACCACACAGCACCAGTGATCTTTAACTCTTTCCCTTCCAGAGAAGAAGACACTGCAACGGGCGCGGAACATCCGCCGCCGAGAGTCTTCAGGAAAGAACGTTCACACACACATCTTAAGGTAGTCTCCATGTCATATAATGGCTCCAACAAAGAACGTATTTCCCAATCTGATTCTCTACACTCCACTCCCAACGCACCCTGACCAACGGCATACAAGATTTCTTCGGGTTCCAGAATCTAGGAAAGCAAAGATATATGTATATCAATACAGTCAAATTACATGAAAAATTAAAGAAAGATAATTTTGAAAGAGAAACGAAGGAAAGAGATAATCTTAAGAAATAAAGAGAAATCATTTCAAAGAGAAAAAATAATTTCAAAGAAAAATGAAAGAAGTTTCAAGAAAAGAAAACGCTCTTCATGAAAGACTTCAAGAAAGCTAATTTTAAAGAAGAAGGAGTATCACACCTGGGTTATCCTATCCTCCCAACCCATTCTCTTTAAACCTGCCGCAGCTAATATTATGGCGGCGTAAGGGCTCTTCTCGACATCCAGCTTTTTTAACCTGGTGTTCAAATTGCCGCGGATGTTCTCCACCTTCAAGTGGGGCATATTTCGAGCAAGTTGCGCGGTTCTACGCAAAGAACTGGTACCGACGACACTACCTTCCGGCAACGTAGAAAGCGTTTTGTCCTTGAATTTCTTTGACATGACCACCGCATCGCGTGGATCTTCGCGTCTGTGGCAGATTATTAATTAACGTAAGCATTTCTCTTTGCGCAATTTAATGAGATTCTCTATGCCTGATAGGTGAGCAACTATCTCGTAAACTTGATCTTTTACAAGTGGGAGAGATTTACGTATACATAGGCAAAATGCTTCTTTCATGAGAATGGTAATGCGTGTTTGCGATACATTTGAACTTAAAATCTGCATCTTCACTTGTGACCTACGAGATATGAATAAAACATTAAAAAAGTTAATGTTTGTCTCTAAACAATTACTATGACGCAGACAAATATAATAAGAAAATGTTCTTGCTACAGTTTTTGTGTGTTCATTACCATTCAAATCCTACAGGAAAAAAACACTATGGTTAGCTCGTACATAAGTCTGGTTATGTCAATCAAATTCAATAATAAAATACGCAACAACTAATTATGTAGTTACTGCAACCACAAAGTAATTGCTGGGTTATTGCTGTTGCAGTGGTGACGATGTCTGCTTGCTCCAAATAAAATGTATGCATGATAAACGTCGTCCCAACCGATTTCTGGGCTACAATCAGATCGCGCGCAATTACATTGATGTAGTTGATGTAACAAAGTAACTGAATCAATTACATAAATTACCATTACAAAAAGATAACTAAAGTGATGCAACTATGCTGTTCATAACTAAACCCAGACAGCACAATGTCAAAAACTGGGACATAAGATATCTTTAAGACGACTTAAAAACGTCTTAAAGATGTCTTATGTCCCAGTTTTGGACATGTGTGCTGTCTGGGAAATATTTCTGGTAATGTGCACTATATCTTTTTTCCGTGTAGGCTACCGCTTTCCTATGTACTCGTTGGTATTGTGAAATATTTGCTTGTCGCGTAGCTTGTAGATCTCAATTTGATTTTCGCTATTCCCAAAAATATAATTCCAAATTTCTTGCAAGCTATATAATCCTACTTTCTTCTTTAATTTTTTTTCTTTTAATGCTGTCAATTTTTACTGATTTCAAGGACTTTCACTATAACTTGTACAAAACCCTTGTCAGTATATCTCATTAATTTTTATCGATTACAGTGGAAGATTTCACTATAATATCTGTAATACACAAATTCGTTATACACTGTACCAAATCCAACTTCCTGCGTTCGTGGTGATGAAATCTGCCTATGTTTGCAAACTGCAACAATGGAAACAATCGCTACTATGGACTTCTTTCAGCGAGACTTTACTAATTGCTGTGCTGTACTTATAATCGAGCCGTCAATTACAAGTATAACATTACAGTGAGCAAAATGCCGGATCTCGGAAAATTGTATCTCGGAGAATACGAAAACAGCTTACTTTAATAACACGCCTAAAGCCATTCCGGGCGGTAATATCGTCGGCAAGTCTTTTAGAGAGTGCACGACAAAATCAAGACTGCCTTGCTCCAGAGCTCGCTCCAATTCTTCGGTAAAGAGAGACTTCTCGCCAATCTTCGGTAAAGACTTGTCCAGAATCCTATCGCCCTTGGTAATCATTGTAACTGTAATTTGATCGCAGCTTATAAAACGAGAGTTTTCCCTCTGCGAAATTAGGTATAATATTTGACATACATAATTTTTGATATTTTATCACTGAAAAATAAATGATAATGCATTTTTATCGTGCAAGATGTTTATTATATTTTATTTCCGCATGATGATACGCATAACAAATGTACTAAAAGAGAGTCTGATTTTTCTTTCAGAAATATCTTCCTTCACAACTATAATGGGACAAGGAATATAATATGAAACAAATAAATCGAAACTTTGTAAATGAAGAATTATATCAAGTAACTAATGCTGTACTGTTATTCATATATACGTTTCTGCTTACCTATCTCGAATTCTTTCTTGGGATAATATTCTTTCAGGCATTGTATCACGTATCTAGTTTGTATTAAGGCCAACTGAAACAACCACAAACATCTTTGAATGAATGTTATATAATAATATGTTTAATGCTTTTTTCTTATATACAATAACTTCACAGATTATTCAAAATCAATATAAAGAAAGCACAAAGTGCAATACACAAATATCCTTTAATACAAATTTAACTTCTCCACAATTATAATTTATTTACTGAGAAACAACTTATTTATTTATTTACTTATTTAACTACTATAAATACACGCATTATGTTCTGATATAAGGAAGTTTAATAAAATAAATAAAATTAATCGATCGCGCGTTGCGCATACAGAGTTGCATAGAAAATAAATTTTGAAGTTCCCTGATTTTCGTTAAAATTTAAGATGCTATATATAGATAAGATATAATTTAAGATGTTCGTTTTACAAACGACATTAAAGAATTTTCCATGACCAATATTTAATCTTAAATTTTAACGTTTAGAAGCAGGGATTACAATGGTACGACCCAAGTAGAACAACGTTATCTTAAAGTATTCCATTTTACTATATAAAATTAAATCAGGATAACTTTATTTTCGGTAAAAAAGTTAAGTTTCTGTTTACTGAAAAGATTATCTAATATCCGCCCGAAAGATAACTTTTAATATTCAAAAAGATATCATTTAGATATAAAAGTATCAAGTTGGATACAAATTAAATATATATCAAATGATAACTATAAGATCCATAAAACTAGCTATGCATGAACTAGCTATTAACCAACTGTAAATTGTTATTTAATTGATATCATATTAATGGAGACGAATTATTGACATTGACTTGTTATCTTATAAATACGTTCCAAAAGTTAACTTCAAAAACGTTAATCAACCTGTTCTACTTGGGGATTTTGTAACTCTTAACGACAGTATCGTTATCGTTATGTTGCGCAACTTTTCTATAATATATCTACGCAAGGATAACGTAACGATAACGACACTGTCATTAAGAGTTCCAGAAAAAATATAAATTTCAATTATTTTATTTTATTAAGAAGCGACGTGATAGTCAATAAACTTCTAACTCACGCGATTGAGCCTGTTAATACTTCTCGGTATAGTTTTGAAGTCGCGGGTACGACTGTGAGCAAAGTCCAAAATTCAATTTTATATTTTTTCCTAACTTTTTCAGGTTTTTTCGGTTCTTTAATATTGTTTCCTTGATTTTTCCAGATTTCTCCCGGTCAGTTTAAGTTTCCCAGATCTATGCTGGCATACTTTATCACTGTCGGTTGCCATTAACGAGAATCGCTGAATAACTTCGCGTGAAGCCCACATCAGGCTAGACATTAAAGATCAAGGACTTCGACTTTTAATTTGAAAATTTAAATACTAAAGATTAGAATACCCCATAATAATAAAAGCCCCCAAGCCTAACTTTAGACTCGCTCGATCTCAGTTCATCAAAAATTCTAATTTTTAGTATCCTCTATATCCTCAATCTCCAACACTCAATCCAACACAGGCTTAAGCTTAGTCTGAGAAAAGCACACGATGACAATGTGAAAGGTCTCTCGTGCCTCTCGTGTTTATGTCAAATCATTTACATTCAACGAACACGAACGAACCTCAATATCTATGTTTGATATTTAATGCGTAAAATTTGGTCGATAAGAATCCGAAACACGAATGATATACATATAAAAAATCGAAAAAGCGTGGTGTAAACAAACACAAGTCCAAATCGTCCAGTTTGCACTTCGAAAACATCGGCTTGAGCGTATCGTGTATATCTAATCTCGTTTAAAATGTAAACAGATTATTTTATGCCGCAATCACGTAGAGTTTTCAACTTTTTATAGATGATTTGTAAAAAATAAAGTCTGATGTGTGAACAAACAACCGGATGCAAAACAAACATCTCGATTTAGAGTAAGATTTTCGTCAGTGTGTTTCAAAATAAAGCAAAATAAAAAAAAAATTTAGCATTTGCACAAAAAAAAGGAATTCGTATAATAATTTAAATCAGAAAAAAGAAATGTTTTAAAATTGCAAGACACTGCAGAACAAGAAAATAAAAACTAATGAGTCCAAATACTTGTGGTTAAAAGAAACTGGAATCTTGTAAGATTCACAACAAGTCTTTTGAAGTAATAAAGGTCTTTTTGAAGAATTGAATATGCTCATTGTCTTTCCTGTATTCATCTTAATTTCTGTGGATCTATAGCTAAATTAATTTTATTAGAAATGACAAAATTCCTCTTGAATCTCTTTTTTTCACATGTGAAAAAATATAGTGGATTATTTAGAGGAAGAGACTTCTAATCTCTATTTTTATTATAAATCATTTTTTAATATTTTTATTATATAACATGGAGAATATATATATATCCCCATAATAATTTCCAAGGAAAAGTATTTAGGCTCACTGTTTTTGTTTTTACTAAACAGCTTATAATATTATGTGTATCTATTTCTAACAATATAAATTTAACCTTTGAGTCAATACGAGTTTAAGTTTTTGTCTGAAGAGAGTTCAAACTTAGATTAAAGTTTAATTGACATTGATAGAAACCATCTCATTGGTGAGATTGGTCATTTTCTATTTCTGGCAATATCTGTTTTGAATTATGTAAGCTTTTCATTAATTTTTTCATAAATCTCTATCCAGGGAAAAATATTTGATTTGCATTCATGATCGTGTTTCTTCACATTATACTCTTCTTTTCTCTGTGAGTCATCTACAAAAAGACAAAGTACTCCACATAATTGTCGTACGATTATTCAACGGTATACATATATACGAGCAGATTTTATCTTTGAAACAGATGTTCTTGAAATTATGAATGCGATAAAAATCACCAGAGCGAAACTTGCACATTAGAATATCGATGAAAATTCAGAAATTTCCACTCATGTCATTCGCGATTCTCAGCGCGCAAAAGTTCTCGATTAAAGTGAGAGTGATTAGTAAATGCTTACCTCGCTCTTACGAGATCCCACTCGTATTACATTACGTGTCTCCTCGCTGCTCATTGCTTCAGACACCCAGTATATTTGACGGAACTCCAACGTTCACGGATGCGAGGTCCGGCAGTCGGATTTTGGAATGTATCAAACACGGAATATGATCGGAAAGATACTTTGATTAAATCTTAATTGGGTCATAGAGGCAGGTACTTTCTCTTATGATTCCAAACTGTGCTTAACCTCATCGACTTAACGCGTGATCGTTTCCCCGAGGAGGCATGTGATAAATAGGAACTTGATCGAATTGTTATGTGTTTGCATAAGATTAAGCTGTTTCACAGTCACTGACACTGCAGCAGAATGTGAAATTAGTGAGCAAAAGTTTTGGAGAAATGACGATAGTACTCTAACCTCTCGCCATGACTATCACAATGTGACTGATGAGATTGCTATTTCTTCTTCTTCCTGTGTTCTATAGTTTGAATAAGAGATTATTATTTCCAATAAAGTGACATGATAACTCATGTGAAATTTTCCCTCGAGGTGGTGCTAGTCGTTCAGTTTGGTTCTACATTGCCGACAGTACAAATGAACGGTAGGTGGCGCTAGTTTCAGTAGCATTTTGGGGTGCGTTCAGATGGAGAAAGAAATAGCGTAACGGAATAGTTATGGAAAAGAGATATAGTGGGGGTCAGCCAATTAGAGTAATTCTGTTTTTATTTTATGTTCTGTTGTTTGATAGGTAGGTTTCACATGGCACAGAACTGTTACGGGACGGAACAAATACGGAAAACATTCTAACCTATCCACATCGAGAATTGTAAAATTTTCGATGTTGATAGGTTAGAATGTTTTCCGTATTTGTTCCGTTCCGTAACAGTTCTGTGCCATGTGAAACCTACCTATCAAACAACAGGGGGTCGATTGTGTATCTCAAAACAGAGTGAAAATGACAAAAGTGAGCAAATTTACTAGAATATTTGTAACTTCATTGGTCAATGCCTAGTGAATTTGTTCACTTTTGTAATTTTCACTTCGTTTCGAGATACACAATCGACCCCCTGAACATAAAATAAAAATGGAATTACTCTAATTGGCTGACCCCACTATATCTTTTTTCCGTAACTGTTCCGTTAGGGTGCTATTTCACGTGTCGTACGACAAACTTTTCGGATACGTTTATTGGTTGGCGAATAGAGTATTTCTAGGTTCTCTGTTCGTCAACCAATGAATGTATCCAAAAAGCTTGTCGTACGACACGTGAAATATCAGCCTTACGCTATTTCTTTTTCCATCTAAACGCACCCGAAGTCCATAATAGGTACCCTGGTGATTTTTTAAGCAGAAATCTGGTGAATAAATTTTTGGAGCCGCGACAACATTCGTATTAACCTAAATTGAATCCTACGTATATGTGAACTAGAAAATAAACAAAAGGTATACTGCGAATACTTTGTGAATCTAGAACTCAAGGATAAAAATACTCAAAGTAAAAAAAAAAGAAGTCATGTTGTGAACTTTCTTTTTAATTTGAATTTGAGTATATAAATTACGATTTCTGTGTTTTAGAAAACTCTCTGTCATATCAGGAAACTTTCTGTCTGTGTTAATAGTGTGAGTGCACGTGCAAGATTGCACTGATCTATAACAAAACATTCAGCAAAATGAGTGATGAAATCGTGAATTTCTCGGATCTAAAGCTGAATTCTTGGCTTCTCACACAATGCAATGCTATGGGTAATTTCTCACTAATATAATTTATGAAGAAGTACTCTATACAAGAGTACTCATGGTGTTTATTTAAAGTACTTTAAAGTGGTGTTTATTTAAAGTAATTACAGTATGTGCACGTTACATATTAAAAGTATTTAACATCTTTATTTTTCAGGTTTAAAGAAACCAACTGCGATTCAGCAGAATTGCATTCCCCGAATATTAGCAGGTGAAGATTGCATAGGTTGTGCTAAGACAGGTAGCGGCAAGACTTTGGCATTTGCCTTGCCCATTTTGCAAAAGTTATGTGAAGATCCTTATGGTATATTTGCTCTCATATTAACACCAACCAGAGAACTAGCTTTTCAGGTATAATGAATAGATATTTTAGTTTTTCTTTTTATACAATCACATTTTGTATAAATTATTCTATCTATGCTTTATGATTAACATAGAGTTTGCTATATTTAACATTGAGGTAACTTATCATAAAAATATAAATTTTAATTATGATTTGATTTCAATTATTATTTGATATTGAGGTACATATCATTATCTTGCGACAATTTAAAGAAGTTGTTTTTTTAGCTGAGCTAGTGTTGTACAGAACTTTGTTCCTTTTTCTTTCAACATTAAGCTATATACTTTTTTTCTAAAAGCGAAAAATGCAATCTAGTTGAATTAAAAGGAACAGATCTAATGAAAATTATAAAAATCATATTGTTTTAGATTGCTGATCAATTTGCTGCCATTGGCAAGGCTATCAATCTCAAGAAGTGTGTGGTGGTTGGTGGCATGGACATGATGGTGCAAGGATTAGAGTTGTCAAAGCGGCCACACATAGTTGTGGCTACACCAGGTCGCCTGGCGGATCATTTAGATAGCTGTGATACATTTTCTTTGAAGAAAATAAAATTTCTGGTGTTGGACGAGGCTGACAGACTCGTGGCTGGTCACTTTGATAAACAGTTGAAACAAATTTTCAGGGCGCTACCAAAACAGAAACAAGTGTTGTTGTTTAGCGCTACGATAACAAAAGATCTCGATAACGTCAAGAAAGTAGCTTCCAATAAGGTATTTTGACCAGTACTGTTTATCGTGTCACATATTGTGTCAAATTTTACTTGCCAAGGACAGAAATTGTAACTTTCATTTAAGGTGTTTATATGGGAAGAGAAAGATGACGCTGGTATCGCTACGGTGAGAGAACTGGATCAGCGTTATGTGATATGTCCTAAGGATGTGCTCGATTCATATCTGGTGGAAGTAATCAGGACGTTTCGCGCCACGAACAACGATGGCTCCATTATGGTATTCACTGATACTTGCAAGTACGACGATTGTTCCTTACGTATAGGAAAACGCGTAAAAATAGTTCACGAGTTTCCAACTACAGACAATATATATATAGTAGTTTGCGTCACAATTAATTGCAATTGATCACTGAGTGTGTTTCAGGAATTGTCAGTTGTTATCAATGGCGTTGAACGATGTTGGATTTACGAACGTGGCTCTTCACGCGATGATCAAGCAGAAGGAACGTTTGGCCGCGTTAAATAAGTTCAAGTCGAATCACGTGCAGATCCTAATTGCCACCGACGTCGCAGCGAGAGGTCTGGATATCCATGAAGTGGAATTAGTTATCAATCACGTAATACCAAATGTGCCGAAAGAATACATTCATAGAGTCGGTAGAACGGCTCGAGCCGGGAGAAAGGGTATGGCGGTGAGTCTGATAACGCCGCACGACATCAAACTGTTGCACGCGATTGAAGACACCATAGGTACCAATTTAACAGAATACAAAGTGGATGGTGAGTATACATAACATGTTGTACATTTCTCGATAGTAGCAACTGAAAACAACAAATTAATCATCGCTTAATCGACCGTAGACAAAGAAATCGTTACGATCTTGACGCAATTCTCAGTGGCAAAACGGGAAGCGGAGATTAAGCTAGACGAAAATGACTTTTTTGAAAAAAAGATAATTAATAAGCGAAAAAAGTTAATCTTAGAAGAGGAATTAGATGCAGAAAAATTCTTACTTCCGGATGAAATAGATATAGATCAAGAGATAGATCCAGAGAAACGAAGGGAGAGAAGAGAGAAGGAGAGACGTAAGAGACAAAAGGAAATGAAAAAGTTAAAAAAAGAAATGTACAGGCTTGAAAAATTTAGGTTACTACCGTCATTTTTACCCTAAAAATTTGCACTGATACTTTATTATTAACATTCACATTTTATATTAATTTGTCAATTACAATAATTATATAATTATATTATATAATAATATAATTATAATAATTATATAATAAGTATATAATAAAAAGTTATATACAATAAATGTTCATAGTTTACATGTGATATATATCTATTTCTATAAAGTTCCCAATGTGTAGTACAAGAGACATAAACCAATGCTAGTGTTCTATTTTCTAGTATATATTCAATTCACCATAAAAGAGAAAGATAAAATTTCAATTGTATGTATAAACCTTGCATTGATAATATACAATATTACTATATATTATATATATATAAAAATTTCTATAAATATCACAATGTATCAAATGTTTATATGTACTTTTTTGGAAAATTTTACAAAAATATAACTTCTTTTTTACTGTTCTTTATAAATTCTTTTTTAATTCAAATTCTTTCCTAATCTCATTAATTTTATATTCAATATATTCGTTACCAACATCAGACGTATCGTCATGACGTACCGATTTTTTACTTTAAGTTTATTTTTACTCAAAATTTTTAGTTTTACATGTTCGCTGTCAACATCACATGTGTATGAAAATGATATTTTTTATATTCCATATATAAATGAACCAAGTTTGTTTCATATAATTACATGAAAACAAATATATTTATGGAAAGAATTGCTCAAATAAACCGGGGTAGCAAACGTATTAAGATGTATTCTTGGCTTTTCGCTGTAAAACTCTTAATTCATGACATTAAAAGCGAGAAAATATACACTAAAAATTTTCGCAGTACACATTGATATAAAAAATATATCCATAAAATGACGCAATCAATCAAGCAAACTTAATCCGAACGTTTTCCTTTCGAATAATCAATAAAAGAGAATTATTTAATATAAATATTTTTTAGTGTGATATACAATTTTCCTTTTTAATTTTTTTTCTCTCATGATTTTGTTACGTAATGTAATTTTGTAATTTTACAGCTATTTATTGATTGTTAGAGTAAAAACGTAATGTTTTGGTCATTTTACGGATCGATTGCAATTGTCATTTTATAAACATGTATAGTTTTACTTCAATATATTTTGCAAAAATTTTTAACGTTTATTTTCTCACTCTTCTGATGTTATAAATGAAGATGACCGTGGCGAGGAGCCAATAGCCTTAATTACCCTATTATACGTAAATATATTTTCAAATGTACGAAGGCATTCTGTATTGTTTGTCTATATGTATGTAAATGTTTGTAAATCGTATATTGGAACATGCCAAAAGACAGTTTTTCGTATAAAAATATAATATGTCTACTCATAAAAAAAGATCTAGTTTTAAACATTTACAAGCGCGCCTTAATCTTCTCTTCGCTTTGTATCAAATTCAACTTTTGCAAGAAGGCATATAGTTCGGCGACGTATTCCTTGGGATATAAGTAGAAATGAGCGACGTGCGGTGACTTCTCAAATATCTTTACGTAAGTCTGCAAGGTAAAAACGCATGTATATGTACAAGCAATATAAAGTAAAAGTTTTTCTCTCACGGTTCTTCCCATATAAGGCAATAAATCTCACCTTTATTCCTAAAGTCTCCCAATTATCACGTAAATTCAGAATGCTGGTCTCCGTGCCGACAGGATCAGCTTTGCTTATAAAGAATAACGCTGGCACACGTATAGGAGACGTATGGAACACTTGACTAGACCGAATATAGTACTGTGTTGATTGGTTGTGGAACGTTTTCATATGATATCTGAAAACGACAAATTATGTTGCATTAATTCTTTAGCTGCAGTTGAGTTTGGTACAGAACTGCTTGTTGTACTGCAAGTTTACCACTGAATGCACATAAATGAACTAAAAGGTAAACTACTGGTTAGCAACAACAAATTATCCATTAGGTCTTCATCTAAAATTTAGGAGAGTCGCTCTATAGTGGCGTCCGTACTAAAAAATCTTTTAACGGGCAGTCACTATAGTGGCACGTAGTAGCCAAAGCGTTAATTCAAACGAGTTTTTATTTTCAGTTGTACGCGTGCCTATGTCTTTTCCTTCACACTTACTCTATATACTTGTACAACACCGACTGCAGCACTTTATTCCTTGGAAATACGGCGCGAGACATGCCGATCGACACTTGACCAATATCGGCTATACTGTCCCACACTTGCCCAATGATCTTGTCTGCAATGTTATTGTACCTATCCTTGTCTCTTTGCAGCAAATCCAAAACTTCGCCCCACATATAACCGCCTATAGAAAAACCATGCAACAGGATCTGTTCGTAACTTTCGTTCTGTTCTAGGAAAGACAGCAAATCTATTGCAACGAGCTGAAAGTAAATGTCGAAGATTAGATTTTATAATAGATTTAGATAAAATTTTGTAATAGATTTATTCTTCTCTCTTTCTTAACGCAACTAGAGATACTTGTGTACTTTTTTGTTTTAAAGTAATATAAGTATACAATCAAGCATTAAGGGGAAAAGGGATTAATGCACTTAAAAAGAATAGTCTAGTGAGGAGAGTTTCTTATGTATAGTGCAATCGTATCACTCACTTGGGAACCTTTTGTGGGCCACAAAAGTTGCCAGGGTGTGAGAGATACTACTACTACGTCGAATCCTTGTTCCATATATAAGTTAACGAACTTCAAAACATGCTGTCGCTTTGACATTAGCCAAGAGAGGATGATCAACAATGGACGATTTTTTGTTGCGTTTACATTCTGTACAACGCTCTTGGACGATATTATGTGATTGTCGTGCGTAAGAAATTCAATATTTTTCGTGAAATGATATGACGATAGCATGCGTGCCAATCTTCCAACAGCCTAGAAATATTAAGGACTCAGTGAGCAAAAAATTGTTGATGATAGAACGTTGTTACAACGATATTCAATAGCTTGTGACGTTTATTAATATGTACTCTCTAAATCTCTTGGAATAAAATCTCACTCAGAACGAGTGAGAACTGACAATATTTTTACTCGAAACCATAACGTGAAAATACTGCTGCTTGAAACGACAAGAGTGAACGGTTTCACTCAAGATTGAATTCTGATTCCATATGAGCGAATGTTTTGAATAATTCACGATTCACTCTTCGCTTTATATAATGCTATTGTTTTGTATTCATTATTTTAAACAGAGCAATGTATAGCTACGACAGATACATTACCACATATTGATTGTGCCTCAACAGCCGTGATTGTGTGAGCAAATTAATTTGGCTTTTTACAAAAGCACTGCGCAAAGTCCTGGTGATGATCATCATGATGAGAAATTCACTGTTTCTCTTTGTGGAGAGAGAGAGAATGAGCTACAATATGACAAAAGCAAGATTTTATCTTTGAATTTCGACATATATACAGAGTCTCATACACTGTATATGCGGATGTGTATCAACAGAAAGGATTGGGAGTCATAAAATATTACGAGATGACGAACCCCGCGGGGTTTTTATCTCTGTGACGCACACCCACGCACGTATGCGCGCGCGCGCACACATTCACACACATATACATACTCATGCATGGCGCAAAAATGTAAATAGGATCGTATAATCTCCATGTATTACATCTTGGTATATCAATGCTAATACTGGCGGCAACTTTCAGGCCTTATAACTTGAAAAGTAATTAACGAAAAAGTAATTTATTATATTGTTTTGCTTTCGAAGTCAGCTACAAGAATATGTAATGAAAAAAGGGGGGGTTATCACTTGAGAGATATTTTATATCTACAAGAAATTAAATATCTGGCCTAGTTGCCGCGACATGAAGATAAGTTTGAGTTTTCTCAGACGCGATCTGTAATTCTTTTGGAAAATATTTTGGAACTATTTCCAAGAGATATCTATTTAACTTGAAACTGGCATTGCTAAATTATATTTCTTACATTATTGAGTACCGTAGACTGGTGTTTGAGGACATCGGGCGTCCCCGGCTATTTATTGAAGAGATTGGAGAAAGAGAGACCTTCTAGAAATTGAAGACTACTTTCACATAACGCTATTCAAGATCATATTAATACTACATACATAATGCGCCACTTAAAACCATACAACTATTGTATAAAACATCTTTTAAAAAATAGCGCTTATAAGCGTGAGCGCTCACAGCGCATGTAAGCCTTCAAATGGAACGCACCCATGAGATATCTGATTTAGGGTCGGTTGTTCCAACTTCTTGGTAAATTAATTGATAATTAAATCATATGTCTGTCTTTATTTAAATTGAAGGGAAAACAAAGACAGATATGTGATTTAACTACCAGGTAGCTCACAAAAAGATTGGAACAATCAGCCCTTAAAATATATCAATGCACGTATATAAATAGGTTAGGTCAAACTGAAAAAAATTTCTCTATCATTTTCTAAAGAACCACGTAAAATTTTGAATATTAATGAAAAGAATTGGCGAACCAGTGCGTATGATGCCGTAGAACGAACTCTGTTTTATCGAAAATAGCTAAGACGCGATTGCCTCTTCGCGGCAGTGACTGTTGTCTGACATCTGAAGGCGGAGTAATGACACGATCAATACAGAGACAATTATTTTCCATTGATGATAACTATTGACGTATTGCTAGCGTATTGTACACGTGTCACCTAAAAGGCAGTCGCGTCTCAGCTATTTTCGATGAGACAGAGCTCGACCCACAGCATCGTACGTACTGGTTCGCCAATCTTTTCACTAATATCTCAAAATGTTACGTGGTTGTGTGAAAAATGACAAAGAAATTTTTGTCCAGTTTGACCCAACTCAGCACAAATGCCCAAAATAGATCCCAGAGACGTCTAAGAAATGTGCGATATTTGTGAGAAGTCTCTGGGATATATTTTGTACTTTTGTGCTGTATAAGTATGTTACAATTACATTATTAGTAATTTTATTACTAAATACATTATATACATTTTATTATAAATTACATTATTAGTAATTTTATATAATAAAAATAAAAATACAATTATATATAATAAAAAGAATTAGTAGAAAATCATAACATTGCTGTTATGTTACTAGGATGATAAAAATTATCATACGTGATATCTCTAGGATGACTCTAGGATATATTTTGGACATTTGTGTCTACTTATACGTGCATCAATACATTTTGATAACACTGATATAAATTGCTAACAAATAAATAAATATATGTATATTAATAAATAAATAAAAAATATATATATAATAAATTAATAGCTTTCAATTCGTGAACATACTCACACCAATTTATTGTTCGACAGGCGGCTTGGACGAGCACTGAGCGTATCTCCGGTTGTCTATACGTCTGTGACTATCTCTCTTAGACTCTTTCAGAATCAAAGTCTCGACAGAAGTGACTTAACAATTTTATATAATTATTTAATTTCGTATTTCACACTCATCGCAATTCAAATGTCACTCGATCGACCGATTTGCATGTTGCATTTTATCCAGCTGCAGTCCACTATCGTTTTCGATTTAACTGTCCGTTCGACCACCAAACGAACGAGACGACAATTGGTATCGCCACTCGCGCGTCGAAGTGTACTACAATAAGCTAAATTCGGAAATTACCGTCCCCGATATCTGCCTGCCGAGGCGCGATCGAAATCGCGCGCACACGCACGCGCCATGCAAGCACTACGTGTAACCGAAATTACTTATACGCGACTGTCGCCGCTCGACGAACAGAGAGAGAGTTCTGTCCTCACTGTCGTTATTGCGGATCGCGGTGAAGGAACTGTGTTTCCCGCAACAGATGTTTGTCATTGATCAAAGTTCAGTCAGCTAGTCGCGAATCAATCATCCGAGGTAAATTTTGTACCGTTTGAAGTACCGCTATTACACCGTCAATGTAACGTCGCGTAACACGCGCAACCTGCATCCGTCGAGCACGGACGCTGACTACTGCATGCTCGCATTTTCTACGGGGATGATAAAGGCGCTTCTACAATAACGACTACGTCTGCGCGGTTAAACGACGCGCAAGAGGATTGCCATGCAGTGTGCGTGCAGCAGTGTATTGATGTTGGGTCAGTTTCCTCTCTCGGCTATGTCCCTTCTATTTCCTACGCTCGAGATGCAACGAACGAGCCTGTCCGAGCAATAGCAATAGCTTCCATTCTTTTGTTTTTTGTAATTGAAACGATTAATTCAACGTGAAATTTTACACTTGAGATAAGAAGCCACTCAAATTATAATTAACAAATGATAAGAACCTTGTAATGAATAATAGACAAAAAGATGTCTTTTATAAATCTAAAAGATATCTTTTCGTAAAAATATAAGATATCTCAAAATATGGCAAGATATCTCTTAGAAATCTAAGACATCTTTTTGTCTATTTGGGCAATTATTCGTTACAAGGTTCTTATCATTTGTTAATTACAATTTGAGTGGCTTTTTTTCGTAAAAATATAAATATAATTAATATATAAATATAATAATATAATCTTACGCAACAGTTTAAGATATCTTTCAGATATCTTGAAATATCTTGAGATATCTTATAAAATCTAAGATATCTTAAAGATGTCTTAAAGATATCTTACAGAGTTCTAAAAACATCCCAGACGGCACAAATATCCAAAATCGAGTCATAAGACGTCTTTAAGGCAACTTTGCGATATATTTAAGACAATACTTTATAAACTTGTCTTAAAGACAATTTAAAGACGTCTTAAAGACGTCTTATGTCCCACTTTTAGACATTGTGCTGTCTGGGATCTTATATAACATTTAAAGATGTCTAGCAGAAATTTAAAAGGCATGTTCTATAGCACTTAAAGATATCTAAAAGATGTCTTTTATGCATTTTCAAGAAATGTCTTAAAGATCTCAGGTAGCAAGGTGACGTCTAAAGACGTCATTAAAATGTCAATAAGACATCATGATGTCTTAATGACGTCTAAATGATGTCTTTTGACGTCACCTTGCTACCTGGGATATCTTTTAGATGTTTTGAAAATATTTTAATATATCAATATTGAAGAAATGAATAATAAATAACAAATAATTATTGCATGATAATATCAATTTTATTAATAATTGTGTGCACAACTAAAACATATATAAACATATATATATATATATATATATATATGTGTGTGTGTGTGTAGTGTGCACACACACACATACACACATGTTTAGTTGTGCACACAATCCACTCTAAAAAAAGGCATGTAAGAGATTTAATTGTTGTCGCTTTTCCGCGATGCTGATTAATTCTGTCGCTTAGCTCACTTCATGTGGGGTGCGACTTGCTTCGTGTCGTTTGCGCCTGTCAAATTATCAGGCAAATAATTGTCATCGCGTTGATTAGCTCATGAAGAAAAGAATACAGAAGAGATATAAATTATAAGAATAAAGGAATAGAGAATAGAAGCGTAGAAGAGAAAGAGGAAAAAGAAAGGGTAAATATGCAGTATAACGCCCTTATCATGGATTTTTTTCAAACTTTGTAAATTTGTATATTTTTATGCGTAGAATTGACTTCTGAAAACGAAAATTGTCACTCACTTTTCGTTTACTTGTTTTTTTAATTTTATGTTTTATGATGTCGATAAGTAGGAAAGGCAAAGAATAGTTCATACATGTTTTTCTCTGCTTTAATCAAAAGCATAAACTGCTATAAAGCAGAAAATTATTCATACATGCTTTTCTCTGTTTTAATAAAAAGCATAAACTCTGTTATAAAACAGATAGTTCATGTATGACGAGAACGTCGTAATCGTGTGTACAGTTAGATCTAAATTTTAATCCGTATAAAATGTAATTATTAAATTTTATAAGATAGTGTGTATGATTAAAGCAGAGAAAAGCATACATGAACTATTTTCTGCTTTATAACAGAGTTTATGCTTTGGTTAAAGCAGAGAAAAGCATGTATGAACATAAAATTAAAAAAATAAGAAAACGAAAAGTGAGTGACAATTTTCGTTTTCAGAAATCAATTCTACGCATAAAAATATACAAATTTACAAAGTTTGAAAAAATCTATGATAGGAGCGTTATACTGCATATTTACCAAAGAAAGGGCAGACATAAAGAGAAACATATTATTTAGGCAAAAATAAGGGTAAGAATAAGGTAATTTTATAAGGTAATTTAAAAGGTAATTTAAAAGATAATTGTAAAGGTAATTTAAAAGGTAATTTTAAAGATAATTGTAAAAGTAATTTAAAAGGTAATTGTAAAGGTAATTTAAAAGGTAATTGTAATGATAAGATGGTAAATAGCGCGCGCCTGTAATGTTCTAGTTATTAATAAAGTTGATATTATCATGCAATAATTATTTGTTATTATTTATTTCTTCGATTCGGCACACGGATATGTCATGCATATGTGCCAATGTATCACGATTCGCTATGTCTCGTAGCTATGAGTGGAAGGACGCGGCGAGACGCGATTTGCGAGTGTCACGATCGCACGTCGGCCGAAAGCATTTTTCTTTCCGCTGCCGCTTTCTGTACGCTGATTTGTTGAGACAAAATAAAGTAAAATAAAATAGTTTAAAATAATAATTTAATCTGTTTCTTTTTTAACAAAAAAAAAAAGAAAAACGAAAAGAAACTCGTTCCCGATATTTTTTCAGACTTTTTGGAAATCTTTTCAGACTATAAAAGTTTTAAGTTTTTTCAAAACTGTAACAATTAAAAAAAAACTGTCTTTTTAAGAAAATTTACTTTAAAGATTGTAACAATCTTTTTAAAAACCGTAAGACCTTTAAAAATTAAAAGAAAAAAATTTGTTAAAAATTTGTTACTAACATACATAATTTTTGAAAATTGTAGTCTTTTTCTTTTTCTTATTTATCTATATTAACGGCTTATTTATCATAAATTTCCAAACGAGAAATGAAAGTGAACGATATATAACGCACAGTTGCGGTGATATATATAAAGCAGATGTAGGAACATCTTTCTTTTCTGTATATCCCTCATCAAACGAATTCATTGCCGTTTATTGGCGTACAATATAGACTGAGTACATCGATCTCGAATAAATGTCCGACGTGCTGTTAACTGTACATCGGTAAGAATCGTGTTAAGTAGCTTCAATAAAGTCCTAACACGTCTCAATTGATAAGGTTGCGTGCGAGGCGCTTTTACATAAAGATAATGGCCAATTGTTAGATGAAGCGGCCGACAATATTAACACTAATAAAGACTGACATTGTGCACAGAGAAAGTAGATTTTATCTATTTACATTATGCATTTTTACGGATATACGTGGAAATGTATACTTTAAATATTAAATTAGAAACATATTGATGCAAGAAAGTAAAAAACTAACAACGAAATAATGAGTAACAGAATTATCGCTGCAATTTTAACTCCGTGCAACTCCTTCCGTGGCGCTTACAATGCGTAGTATAATTATTTTTTAATTATAAACTTGTGCACATTACACGAGTCTCTCTCAGGAGTCAAACTGTGGTCAACTCTATTATTCGTAAATTTATTAATTTCAGTATCAGAGCACACATGATTGGTACTTATCTCCGAAATTAAGAAATTCACACAAAGTCAATCACAGTTTGGCTTCTGTGAAAGACACACACACACACACACACACACACACACACACACACACACACACACACACACACACACACACACACATATATATATATATGTATATATCGTACGTTATATATCGTACGTTCTCAGTGATACAATATTTTAAAAGCGGTATAGTTTTTTCATCATTTTGTAGTATATTAAAGTTATAACGTACGAGATATATATATATATATATATATATATATATATATATGTATATATCGTACGTTATAACTGTAATATATTACAAAATGATAAAAAAACTATACCGTTTTTAAAATATCGTATCGCTAAGAACTCTCGATGTAACGTAACGCTATTGGCGTAAAACGGCGAAGCCTACAAAGGGCTTCAATTTCCTGTCTGCTGCGGCAGTTTAAAGGATTCCACATTGATTCCACACGCATTGATCGGTTTCGTGTAATGAAACACACGTGTAAGGAAACACGTGTAAGGAAACACGTGTAAGGAAACACACACGCTCAGTGCACGAGATATATGTGCACTTATGCGCCAATTGTCAATCACATCGTCGCAACATGATGATGGGAAGCAAGACGCCTTGTTAGAGGTTGATTAAGGCTAATTGTAACAATGCTTCTACTTATTATTTTGTTTGTTATATAATAACAATAATACCAAACATAATATATTAGTTATATAATAACAAAGATAAAGTGAAAAGTGAAATAAGATAGAGATAAGATAAAAATATGATATAGAAATAAAATCGAGATAAAATGAAATAATTTAGAGATAAAATAATGCTTCGAAAATTCTCGTCTCTTACGAAGAGCTTTCCGTCTTTGAGGCATATTCTATCCCCTTATGACGTAGAAATGTCGTTACTAGTCGCAATCAGGAGACAAAGAGGTAACATACGTAACTCGCCACTCGTAATAGCCGTGTGAAGGATTTTATTACAGGCTTCTTTTTATATGCTATTTTTAAATATTAAACGATACCTATGTATACGTGTGAATTACGCTGGACACGACATCGACACAGACTTAGTTGGAACATCGTACGTTAGTGACAAAATACCGAGTAGCGTAAGTAGCGTGTGTAAAGATAGTAATCGGTATATAATGACTAATTCTAAATTCCTTACGTAAGAAGTGCTAGAAACACATTTGGTCTAAACGAAGGCTCCTGGACTCGGACTTGTTATCTTACATAGCTAACGCTACGTGCTCGCGTCTCTCTGCAACATCATTATATCCCGACTTCTGTGAATCGCAAAGCGAGTCCCTGAAATACGAGAGTACCGCCGTAACGACATAATTTCACCGCAGAATCCTTTTTTCTCAGCAACTCGGTATTTACAACTCTCGGGAGACGCTTTCACGCATATACGCACACATTGATTTAAGACTATTGCCGTAGATGTTTCACGAACACACGGTTTTCTAACGCAAGACGCAGGCGGAAGATGCAGGTAGATAGATAGGTAGGTAGGTAGGTAGGTAGATAGATAGGCAGACAGGTAGACAGGCAACGATGTTAAATCAACGATACGGTATGCGGAAGAGGATTTTATAGCGGCTTTCTTACGATGTTCTCACGTTCGTTTCTTTTGCTCACAACGTACATAGCGATAGTGCAATTAGTCTCTCTCGTGTTACAGTCAATCCAACATATATCGTCCGCAAAACTGAACTTGGTACCCGACTTTACGAGCCACGACATGGACACATCAGCAACATATCAATCGAATGTAAATCTCATATAAAACATACATAACACGTGTATACATAAGTTTCCACTCGTCTTACGTAACGCAAAAAATCCAATCGTTCAGCTTGAACGTTACGGAGGCTGACAGACGGAGGAGGGATACAGTGAAACGAAAGAAGAACCGTCACCGTGTACGAAAATCCGAGTGCTCGCATGGATACGCAAGATCGAAATGCAAAAAACATCATGTACATACATTGTGCGTATAAATATTAACCCCTTGCCTCGTGGTTTAACTTACTTCAATCTCTTTTCATACAAGAGTAGTTAAGCAGAAAAATGAAAGTGTATGTCAAATGGCAACATAATGTCTGCAGAAGCTGTAGACACTTCGAACTCAGGAAAAAAGAGAGAAAAACAAAAAAACGTTTATAACATTTTGATATTTTATCGTGTCTAATTCGTTGTTATTAATATTAAGACAAATAGTTATTTGTATATGCAATAATATTAAGAAAATAAGTTATTCATATATGCAACATACGCCTAAAATAGTTATTCATATATGCAACATACGCCTTCATAACTTGCGTTCGGCTTTTATAGGCCTTTCGTAACCGAATTGAATATCATAGAGTTTCATTTGTAATTTATGAGAAGAAAGAATTTAATTTTTTTTTACTGTGTATATATCGTAGTCAAGCACTAGCTTATTCGCGAAAGAAACGAAAATCTGGTAGTGTTCTCTGTTGATCGGCTGGAAGTCAACGATAAGAAACCCTTTAAAACTAAGATAAAAGTATCAATTCGCGGGCACGTACCAAATCTTAAATATTCTTATTGTTTCAGTCTCTTAAATATAAATACTTGTATTTTTAACATAGAATATATATATATATATATTTTTTATATTAAAAGTTTAAATATTTGTATTTAAAAAAAAATATAATAAGAATGTCCAGGATTAAATACGCGTGTCCGGGCATTGGTATTTTTATGTAAATTCTTAAAAATGAAAAGGAAATAAGAGAATCTACATATGAAGCAACGAATCTACGTATGAATACCAACAGTTTCTTGTAGATATTCAATGTTGCAATGCGACAAATATGTTTATTATGTTTGTGTTGTAATCTGAATCACACACGGATCTGACTAGCTTTTTGTCAAGTTCGGCTCGTAATTTGCATCCACGAGTCCGATTCGTCTTGACCTTTCAATCCTAAACTCCACATTAACATCATTAATGTTGATTACTAATATCCGTCTTTTTGGTAAGCAGCCCCCAATTATATGCTCTCAGAAGTAATAAGAAATTATTGAGGAGAGAAGGAATAGTAAATAAGACAACGTTCAATGTCAGGAAATGTAAAATATGTTACTGAAAATACGGATAAATAAGGTAATTTTAACGGAGTATAGAGGCGACAGTCTCTAAAACATACTCATCAAAAAGTCGAATATTAATAGGGTTAAGGCAAGAGATTAATATCCCGAACGATATGAATACATTAGATTATATAATTATGATTAGCATGACTCGCGCGTGAACATAAATATGCGTTGCCGCTCATTCATATAAATGTTGTGTGTATACGTATTGTGTATTTTATATTTCCTACTATTCCTCCACGATTTCTCTCTAGATAACGCGTTACGATAGACTGCCGAATTTTATTACAGCATGCCCAGTGTGGCCCCTCGCGTAAGAGATATTTCTTCACTACCGATAATATTCTACATGTGGTGTCACGTGCGATTAAATTCGATTCTATGGTTGTTTTTCTTCTTCTCCTCTTATTCACTCTCTCTCTCTCTCTCTCTCTCTCTCTCTCTCTCTCTCTCTCTCTTTCTTTCTTTCTCTTTCTCTCCGTCGCGAAGTGACTGATACATACAAAAAATATATCCAGTCACCCCTTCTATCCAGATGAATAACTACAAAATTACATCTCTTTCTCTCTTTCTCTCTCTTTCTCTCCTTTTTTTCTCGCCGTATGCGCATATAATCTCGTGCGATATCGTCTAAGTCACACTTATCTCCCGTAGACTTTAGTCGAATATGTCTAATCAATCTTATCGATTACTGGTACTTTTCCATTCCTATCGCTTTGACTACGATTTGACGGCTAGAGCGGATTGCACGTTTGCAAAAGTCTACAGGTAACGCTCTTTCGCTGGTCTCAAAGGACGAAATGGACGTTCTCTCGTTATTCCTTTCAAACGGTTACTGTTTGCGCACTTACAAGATAAAACGCACGTAGACCGTACTCCTCCTATTTGTTTTGCGTCTAAACGAAAACAACGATATCCTTCATATCGTAGGACGTTGCGGATGTTATGGATATATTTACATCTTGCGCGTCGCGCGCGTGTCGCTTAAAGATAGTATAATAAAAGACTGATATAACGTTGAAATATGTCACTTGTCGCCCCGTCGATTGGAACAATGGTGGAAAGCACTAAGAGTGAACGATTTCTGTGCGTACAGATATAATGTCGCCTTCACAATATGTCACGTGCAGATTGTTTTTTTTTAATTACAGTAAAATTCGTTGTACATCGGTTATCTTTCGAAATCTAGCTTCGAATTACGTATCATCAGGACATCCGTAGACACCCCTACGATATCAAAGAGAAATGTTACGATAAAATTATAATTATATACAATTGTATAATTAAATATTTGTAATATAAATATTTATGCCCAGAGAGAAAGATATATATATATATACATATATAAATCAAGATATGAGCAGAAAACGTACACATGTTATAATTTTAATCGTGATGTAATGTCAATGTTATAATTTCATATTTCACTGATTCAACTAATGCGTGCCATCATGTATTGCATAGATATATTACGCAGATTACGTGTGTATATGTGTGTTGTACGAACGTTAATGAATATTACAAGTATTACAAGTATACATATATTTCTATGTGTATACATGTATCTGTGCGTGCTTCAAATAAATATATTTATATATAGAATATAACAGAATTCATGATTTTTTTATTTTATCGCCAAGTTCTCCGAGCAATTTACGGTTAATTTTTTCTCAGCGAAAATGACGAGATATTAATAGTTTCAGAGACACATTTTCAAGACAATAGTTTCAAGACATTATTTTCTTTGATTAATCTTAAAGGGAGTCGTTTACTTTAGAAGATTAAAAAAAATCGATTTTTTGTGTAAACTTTTCTTAAATCTTTATCTTACTTTAGAGAATGTCACGTTAAAGCGATTTGCCGAAATTCGAACTATTTATCAGTGTTTTACAGATAAAGAACTCGCGCGGTAAGGAGCTGCGCGCAGATAAAAAATATAGCACTTTATCAATGCTCATTTAAATCGAGACTAGTTTCTTCTGGGGTTAAATTCTTCTCGATCAATACATCCAAAATGTTTTTTTGTTGTCTTTCTTTTCTAAAAATCATTACAGAGAAACACTCGGCGTTTGTTTGTCAACAATGTCCTGCAGTTTCTCGAACAAAGGAGTAGCATATATTGAGAGAATAGGTCGAAGAGGTTTTAGAGACATTCGTATGCAAGTAAAAGGAAGAAAACGAAAGTTTCATGGTAATCAATATATTACAGAAACTGATACGAGCTTTGTTATGTCTGCAGAGAAATTGTGAAAAACAAGCAGTAATGAAGTTCTTATCAATCGACAATACGATTACTGCATTTAACACTTTTTTGTTGTTTTCTCAGCAATAAGTCATTTGTGAAAATGATGTATCGTGCAATGAAATAAGCATCAGAGGCTTCGGATTTAAAATAGCTATGACGTGTAAATATTGTATTAATTATATAAATTCATGTTCTCTCTTATTAACAAATCGTAGCATTGTGATTGTTATGAGATTTTTGGGTTTGGGATTAAAGGTATTAATTTATTTTGCGAACTAAAACCTGATCTACAATGTGTTCTTTGCGTTCTGTTTCTTATCTTTTGTCTTTTTCTGACTTAAAGCTTAAGGTTTGAGTCGGAAAGAGATAAAGAGAAAGAAGCAGAAAGCAAAGAACATATTATAGATAAATGAACATCGGTCACGGATTTCATAAAAACATGTTTTATAAATGCCTCAAGAATATACATCACGCGTCGAAATTAATGTATGAATTAGTGATCAATGAATTAGTCGAACTCCAGTTTTTTTGCGGCTCGAAAAAGTTGAAAAAAAATCTTATATTTTGCGTTTTAATGAGCCACCATTTTGTTCAACATTAAGTTATATTATTTATTGATAAGGACGATTACCATGATAGATTAATATGAGCCGTTACTCCTTTGTTGTTAGATTAACAAAACCGACGAAATCGAGAATTTGGATTAATTGTAAATTGTACATCGTCCTTTGGAGTAAGCCGTCGGTCTCAGGCGCGCGCGCGTCAACGAGCTCAGGGCCGCGCGGTCAAGATTTCCGTCGTTCGCGGTCAAGATTTCCGTCGTTCGCGGCAAGATCTCCGTCGAGTGAGTATCGAGTCGATACTCTTCAAGATTTCCGCCGCGCAGCGAAGGACTACAAAGAGAATTTTTAATTTGTCTTCTACTCGACAATTAATTTCTTGTCATATAAATATCAAAACGCAGCTTAAGTAAAATTTTTATAAAGCTAAAGTATAAATTAATAAATATACAAAACGCCAATATTTTACATATTTCTATTCTTTAGAAAAAAATTCGTAAAAATGGGCTTAAAATCGGCTGTCTCTTTTAAAGTAAACGATTCCCTTAAGTGTATTTTAACAGAATTTTACTTTAGGTTTTTAACTGTAAAAGTATATTCTGTTAAAGATTAAAAAATCGTTATACATAATAGTTTCCCGTGCATATTTAATAACATAACATTTTCGCTGAGGAAGCATTGCCTTCGAATTCACGGAGAACCTCTCGTCAAAATTAAGGTCGTCACATCTTGAGACATTTTGTATGTACATATATGTCGACCAAAATTATACTGTGCATGGCACGTGTGCGCTTTCTGCACATTATATCCGGATTTATGAAATATAATTGCATAATGCAATTGTATGCCTTATTATTTATTGAACTATGACATCCTAATGTACTATGTAGATATATTCCGCTGATTACGCGTAATATATGCGTGTATGCATGAATATCTATGAATTGAGCATTATGAATATATATGTATATATATGTACATATACATTTCCATATGTATACACTTACATATGTACATCAGTTTCGTTTGAATAATGATCAAATAACATAACGAAATTAGGTACGCTTGCAGCTTAATATAAATTCTAGAAGATAACCGCAATATATATTTACTAACTTATTCACTACTATAAATGTATATGGTGCAAAGTATCTCTTCTTTAAGAACATACTTATAAAGCTTACAAAAATTGGTTGCACAAAATGTCAATATAATAATATATATATATTGTATAATAGTCAATAATCTATAGAAAATAGAGAACATAACAAAACTCGCACCTAAATACTGATTATTAATCAGATAATGGAAGCACTTTGTTTCATCAGATTTCTTTATATTAAATTAACTGTTCCAATTTTCTCGTACTAATCTCTCTCGTCATGCTATGGATTACTCGGTGGCTTTATAAATTAGGAAATAAGTGACAAATTTATTTATAAAATTGTGTATATACGATGTATATAAGAGAGTCAATATCTCGCTTATCAAGGCCATTTTCTATGTCTTATCTAAGATAACTCTAATTGTTCAAATTGCTCATTAAAATAGAACATTTTTCTTTAAACTGTACAATAATAGATGCGTTCGTTAAAGAAAAAAAAAAAGAAAAAAAAAGAAGAAAAAAAGAAAAAAACGTTCTTTAATTTCAATCAACAATTCCGGCACTCTTCCAGTCTTAAATAATGTAAATAATAAAATTACTTTTGTAAGCTCGTATAAATGTTTACGAGCTTCATGCATATATACTTTCTATAAAATGTAAACGAATTATTTCGAACACGATATAAAATGTCAATATTAAATTAAAAAAAAAAAGGAAAAAAGTTCCCAATAAAATTTCTAATCATGATACAGTAATATATAGTGCTTTGCTCTCAGCAAAGTTAAATAATATTTAAACAACACTGAATAAACACTCTTCAGCGTAAGTAGAGCAAGTCACTTCGACGAATAAGCCAATCGCCTGCAATGGCGTAGATTAAGAATGTACAAATTAAAATCAGGTAAGTATCGATTGGAAATAGCATCGAATTCATAATCCTACTTATAGTTATACGTCATGAACGGCTTTACTCGTAGATCGTTACCGTACATTTGACTTCAATACAATTTGCACACGCTTTTTCCAATGAAGTTAGGAGTGCATGAAATCGTGTAGCTATCGCAAGCCACTCACGAGTTTGCATCGTAAACGGTTATGATAGAAGCAACAGGATATCTCATGTCACAATTACAATGGAGGACTCGGGAAGAATGCAAGTATTTTTTAACAGAGAAATTAATTTTGAGTAAGAAATTAATTTTGAGATAAAACAACTGGACTAATAAGAAAGCGCGATCAATTTTACATTTTTATTCATAAAAAATTAATGAAATGGTAAAAATGCCGAATAGGGGCCCACTTTCCAACGGTCTTGATATTGACATATATTACAGAATTGACCCTCCTGAGTTATAATAAAAAGCTTTTAGCCGTCGCTCGTTAAAGTTATTAACAAAAGAAGTTGCATAAAATGAATGTAATTTTTGGACACCGTATATATAAAAATATCGAATTTGAATGCTAGGAAGGTGCTGCTATGCACATACACACTGCTTGCCAGCAAGCGCGCCCGCCCGTTCGACAGAGCGGGCCCACGGTGGATGCGTATGTTTCTATTATATACATACGCACCCATCGCGAGCCCGCACTGTCGGGCGGGCGAGCGCGCTTGCTGGCGAGCAGTGTGTGTGTGTGTATGTGTGTATATGTACGTGTGTATGTGGACCACCCTCCAATGATTTTGATGTTGACATATATTATAGAACTAACCTTCCTGAGTAATAATTACAAGGTTTTAGCCGTCGCTTTTGTTCATTAAAAAGTTATTAACAAAAGAAGTCCCATGAATAGAATGTAATTTTCAGGTATCATGTACGTATTGAAGAAGGTAACATTTCGTTATTGTACCTAGGTACAAGGTAACCATATAATTTTCATGTTGTTTTCCATTGATAAGTTATGTATGAAAATATAAAGAATGGGTTATATATATACGTATACAGTTTACCATATTGCAATAGATGGGTTAGGTTTGAGTTAGTTTTTTGGGAAGGGGATGCGGGGGCGGAACCCCTCTCCCGCGTATTTACATGTACTATTTTACATACATACATCGATTTAAACTTATTGTACATACACAGTGTTGAATAATTACATATTATTTATTAAACTTTTTTGTTAATAACTTTTTAATAAACAATGAGCGACGGTTACAACCACTTGATTGTTACTCAAGAGTCCTTGATAATATATGTCAACATTAACATTGGAGAGTGGTCCCCTATTCGGTATTTTTACTAAATTGAAATTACTAACAAAACTAAGGTTTATATAAAATTTTGTTTCGTCTTTCTTAAGTGGCTTAATGTCTAAGACATCCATGCTAGCTCCTTATGTGCCATTAATATTTCACTATTAGTTTTTTAAGTGGCGTACGTGAAAACAAGAAAACTAATTAATCGATTCTAAAAATTCTTTCGGTATTCTTTTTATAATTTAACTGCTATCGTCCTATGCACTATCATAAGTTTTGGACCATTCGTTTTTTTTTATTCAGTATTTTTTAATAGAAAATTACGCATTTTTAGGACAGTTTCATTTGAATATGTACCGATCACTGCATTTTTGTTATATTGCAATGATAATATATAAAATGATAACGATTGATATAAATTTTAAGAATACGTTTGGTTTTTTAAAAGTTTCAAATAAGCCTATGACGACATATCGTGTACACATTTAGTATTTCGGATTTTTTACCAGCAAAGTCAATGCAACCTATTAAATTGAAAAAAACTAAACAATTTTTTATATTAAAATATATGTTAATTCGAAAAAGTTTTCTTGTTCTATATATTATAATTTTTTTTAAATAAAATCTTTAAAAAGTCAATTTTTCAAGCTACTTTGACTAGAATGTATTCTTAAATAATATTACAAATTAGCACAAAGAAATAACGCGCGTTTAACAAAATTTCAAAGATTTTTTTAGAAATATTAGATATAAATATATTATTACAGTTTGACACAATCATTGAGACATTGTTCAATTATTAAAACATTTACCTTAAAAGCCGCGCAAAAATGTTAGTAATAAATAATAATTTTTTACGGTAGGATAATAATATCGATGATGTATCATATGCGTTGAAACATTTTCTCAATTTTGAAGATTAATAAGATCAAAAACTTGCAATTATTACTATTTCAAGCACTCCTAATTTTAACGTACAAAATGCGAGCAAATCGTTTGCAAACGAGTGTACTATATATAACGATTCCTCCTCTTAATATAACGTGCTTCTGTCAAAGGAAGTATATAGGTTCCTTCCAGAAACCAAAAACTTTAAAACAAATCAGTATCTGTTCTCATTTCTTTCACGAATGGCAGTAACGTGTCACGCGAATGTAATAAACTTATTCGTCTCATCACGATTACCACAATGGCAGTATGAGTTTGGAGTAGTTTCAGTACGCGAATTATGTTTGTGTCTCATCCTTCTCTTTCTGTCACTTGTTTTTTTACATCCTTATACTATAGACGTATAATATCTAGACTGCGCATTTGACTGAAAAGACGTCTGAAAAATTGAATAGGAACATGCTTTGTATCACCATTCTGTCTTTGTCTGGCATCGTGAAATGGGGACTTTAGATCCTCTTCACCGAATGTATGTTTACCGCGAAACAGAGCGTCCTTACATTTGCCATATGCGCCATACATATTTTTCTCAACGTTTTGCAACTCCCTCCAATTCCTTTTCATCCTCTCTGCTATTCTATTTCAGTCGACGAAAGCTTTTTCACCTCACCACGCTTTAGAAAAAGACAGATTGGTGATCATACAACAGTGGTTTCCTCTTTCTATTTTCTGACGTGTCTTGATGACCGGAACTGCAGGGGTCGCACGGTCCAGGTATTACGCGTCTATATCTTACACGCGCGTATATGCTACATACATGGAATAGAACTGTGTTTTGCGTTAAAACATCCTACTATGTTCACCACGTGAAATACGTGAGTTAACTTAATTTACATCAGTCACTTAATTTATATACACATACACGCTGTATATATTGATATTCCGTTAAATTCGCAGCGCGCGGAGGTAACATTTTATTTCTGGTTCTGCGCTGATCGCAAGCTAGGCTTCCCACGCTACATTGCACATTTCAAAACAAAAGATACATCGTGCCTGTGGCATGATAATTTAAAATTACGATCACGAGAGAACCAGCAAGAAAACACTCAAGCACACACTTGCGAACTCTGGTAATCCCGATTCGTCTCGATACGTAATATGCAGTACGGTACTTACACAAAAAAAGGCGTCAAGTTATATACAGGTTTCTAACACTAAACGACTTTGAGTCGGGTCTCAGAAAGCTTCCACGAAGCTCGCCGGGAACAGTCCCGTGCGGCCGGTGCGTTGCTGCGTACCCTTGTACCAGCCGTCGTCGCGTTTCTTGTGCACGTATATTATGTCGCCCACACGGAGCTCTAGCTCGAACTCGCTGTTAGGTGGATACGGTACGATGCAACGGAATCTGTACACCCGGTCGCTGCAATTGTTAAGGAGCGATGTGAAATGCAGTATCTTTGCAACAGCTACCATAATTATAGAGTAATTACAATTACATATAATATGGTTAATTGTAGTTACAGTAATTTTTTCCAATTGAACATTAAAGACAGGGAACTCGGAGGTCAGACAGACAAGCTATTCCTTACCGGTCGCGTGATGGCTGTTGCTTTGTCTGCTTTCCCATCCCGGCGTCTAATGAATTGCTCTTGCGATGATGATTCCCGACTGCCGGGCACACCATAGCGCCAGATTCACCAGATCTATCAATGAGAAGAATAAAAAGTCTGTTAGCGTTAACTAACCGCTTTATCCTTGATAAGGGTGACGTATGCCGGCTGCGCTCGACAAGTTTGCAAACAGAGCTCATTGTTCTGTTATTGTTTACATAAGAAAGCGAAAACTATAGTCAATGGATTATGGTGAGAAGAGTTTATTCGGTAAGTGGAATTTATTTACAAACACGGAACTCGCCCGGGAACTGACGACCAAGCAGATATTCTGCGCGTGTTGTTATTCCTTTTAGGCCTGGTTGCACTAACATTATTTTGGCTTTAACCCCTTGACCTACACGCTATCTCCCGATTGCTCGGGCCATAGTCTCGGCCAGGCTCGTCTTATTTACGTTTGGTCCGAACGAAGTACCACGAGTCAGACTCGTGCTTATTGTTTATGGACCAAATTCCTTATCACAAGTTTCACTCGTGGTTGTAGGCCAAAGGGTTAAGCGAAACTTAAACATATATCTATCTTTATCGCTCTTTCTATATAAATAAAAATAGACATATATTTAAGTGTTACTTAAAACCAAAATAACGTTGGTGCAACCGGGCCTTAACCTGTAGTGGCTTATGTGAAAAACGGCACCACATGTGGACCTAACCTAGGTCTTTCAAGTTCTTTTATCATATCTATAAAGTGGTTCGAAAAATCTGTAAAAATTCACGGATATACTTTCAAGTTTCTAGAATAAATATCTGTACTCATTTTTTAGAAGGGGGCAAAAAATCTGAGACCCTCAACATGCTGAGAAATTTCTATGAATAGAAACCGTCCGGACTCGAAATACCCATGTAGGGCCACTAAGGGTTAATTTTTAACGAGTCGATATAGAAAATTGTTACATCATATAAGATTAGTTATTGTAATTTATAATATGTAATAATTTCTTATATAAACGCATAATATGTGTGAAGCGCTAATATGTACGTTTTGTTTAGTTTTAGTTTAGTATCGTGCAAGCATAGATAACAAAACATATATGAATTTTTAAAACATGCAGAATATCTGTAATTAATGTTTCTCCAACGAAATTTCGTATTTTATTTGTATATAGTTCGTAAAAGATCAAACTTGCCCTGTAAATGTCTCACTCGATATGAGGAAGACAGAAAACAATAATGTAATTTAGTATCTATGACGAATATAACTATCTATTGTTAATTACACAGCAGCATAAAATCAGTTGTGCAAAAGTGATCTAAATGTGTCTCTAAGCAAACACTTACCTGGAAGTAAAATGCAATCTACCGTACATTCAGTTGTAAACGCTGACATAAAACAATAAATACGACAAGATTGCGTTATTGTCAAATGCAAATACTGACTCACATATAAGGCGTGTTCATGTTGCAAAATTCAAGCATTGATTCACTCGAGATTGCACGAGAAATGCAAAGTAAGATACAGACTTTGTGAAGAATGGTTAAAAAACATTATCCTGCATATAAAGAGCAGGTCAAAATTTCCATTGTAAAATATCGCAATAATAATGACAGAATAGACTGCGCGAATAACATCACTTTTTCAGTATTGTGGAGGAGCCCTTATACCTCACAAAGTCGCCTCATCAGATTTAAAATTACAAACGACTAACCTCTGTGCTACTGACAGTTGTAAGGAGGGTCTCTCCTTGCATTTCAGTCTCTGTGAGGATGTGGCGTGCCCCTGCACAGAGCCTGGACATAAGCGGTGTTGGCTGTTTGAAGCATTTAATTCCTGCGTGGGTGCCACTTGCAGCAACTGACTTGGACAGGACCCTGATCTGTGATTGTCGAAACCACCCACCCGCCCCGTCCCCAACAGGATATTAGAGATAACATTTCAAGGCGTGCAGTTTGTGTCATGCTACACAAAACATGATTTGTAAACATTCACATTGTGTGAGCAATAATAGCTCGCTGGCTATTATATGCTTCTATTTTCATGAGTGTGCGTGTAACTATGACGATGCCGGGACATGCAGCGATTTTAGCGACTCAAAGAGCAGTGCTTACATATTCGAGTAACACTTGAACGAACATTGAGCATTCATACGCGTACACATACAAGACAATATACACAACAACGTATACACATGCGGCAATTAGCATTATGGGTACACATTGACTTGGATCGATTATTGGGCTGTGCGAATTCAGCCAGGATCGAATTAACCACGTTCTCGACCTCCGGGTTATAATACTCTCGAGTTATAATACAAACTGCATCGATAATGCTCACATGTATCAACGTGAATTCGCAATTATCAAGATTAAACGGTACACTCACCGAACGTGCATTGGATTGACGGAATTGCCGTCGTCGAATACGGGATTGTCCATCGAGTAAGTGGCGGGCGGAGGCGATTTGGACCTCTTGATGATGGTCAGACGTCGCATCAAGGAGACGCACTTGTCCCTCCTCTCTTTCTGCTGTAATTCATGAATGTGTATATATGAGAGAGAGTGTATTATGCACATTGAAAAATCACACAAGCGCGTAAATATTCTTTGTATAAATATTCATGTCACATGTTAATTTTTTAAATACCTTGTCCATATTCCTGGACGCGGTCGCAGGTGCATTAGATGACGCGATGCCGCTCGCCACGCGCAAAGTGTTGTTCGGGCTCCTGTTCATATCGCTCGCGGAAGACGAAGGAACGGAAATAGCGGCGCTAGCGCAGCCATTGTTAGCACCATTGATACCCGCTGCCGGTTGCAACGTCGGCGGCATTGTAACTTGTTTGCCAGGAGAAGCTGCGGGAAAGTATAAATAATTTTATGAAATTATCACGTAAAATAATTGCAACATCTCAAAAGCATTACATTAACCCTTTGAATCCCGGTGTACAATACAACATATAATTCCAAAAATAAAAATATTTTAATTAGTCTATGTTGTTCAATAAAGTTTTGGTGTCTCTATTTATAGTAACTGCTTGCTCAACACTTATTATTATGGAATTTATTTGGTGATAATTTACTTATATTAAAAAAAATTTTTCTCATCGATTTTTAAATTAAAAAAATTTTAAAACCTAATTTATTTGCATGATCCTGCGCACGGTTCTGAACGGTCTTATAATCTAAATTAATTAATCTTATTTTATTTTAGGTTTTATTTCCTAACTCAATTTTTATAATTTATTAATTTAATTCTAATTAGTTTTCTAATTTCTCATAATAAGATTTTTTATTTTTTTTCTGCTATAACCATCTTTTAAATCAATCTCTGTGAACACTGTTTACATCTGATATATACGTAAATATATCCTATTAAAATACCACTAGAATTTCAAAATAAAAAACAGAACTCAAAGGGTTCATATTTTTCAGAATATACATACGGATATTCGACGTCATCACCGCACTATGACTGCGCCCAAGCGGATTGACAGCCGCATTCTGGTCGTTGTGCCGGGGCGGACTGGTTTCCTGAGTCGGTCCTTGTTCCTGTTGACCGCCGCTGCTGTGCCAAGACGTAGACACGGTCGTCGACGGGCTGATGGCACGCGGAGGCAGTTCAGGCGGTGGTAAAGTGCGAGGATTGTACGGTTGCGGAGCAGGACCTTTGCTCTTCGTGTACGTCATGGCCAAGCGTGATTCAGCATTCGATACGTTAGATGACAACGGCGAGCCTTGGTGTTGGCTCGGCGAGTTTGGAGATCCGCGGCATATTCCACGTTGACATCTACATAAAGTTGAAGAACGTTAATAACACGTACGATCTTTGATATATACATAGACTGGAATAATAACCTTAACACGTATCACACGACTTATTAGGACCTCCTAATACGCATTATTGATTTATTATTTATTAATTCAAATTTATTTATTCAAAAAAGCAGATATGATGTGTCAAAGCAATACAGTTGTCACAAAGATAGCTTTACGTTGATGTTTAGAAACAAATACAATCATAAAATTGATAGTTAAGAAGTGACATCTCTTATTTGCAGAAATCGTCATTTCCGAATGTTTAGTCCAGCGAACTCGTTTTTTTTCAACTTGTTAAAAACATTCTACTTTTGTTTGAAGTCTTAAAGAACTATAGAATATAGATAAATTCGATCGTTCAGAGTAAAGAGAGTTTTCGAAACAGTTTTTTGTTTCTCCTGAGAATTTCCGAATTCGCACATACGAGATATCTCTTCGGCCATTGAACTATTAATAGCTTAATTACACTGCTTGTTAAGGCTATTATGCCGATCTGTGTACGCAGACCTCGGCCATACTTTTGTAATTGCGTATATCAAGCCGACATTTACCATAAGTGGAAGTTAATACATACTTAGCAGGTGCAACGTAATTCCCCGGGAAAACTCCGCACTTTTGCGTACGATTGGATGTCCCTTTGAACCATCCGTCCTGACAACGTTCCGTCACCATGTAGATTCCGCCTTTTCGCAGCTCGAGTTCGTCTGCTTTCTGGGGCTTATACGGGTACAGTGCTATGTACGCTGCTGGCAGATGCGTCGCACTGGCGCCGGAAGTCTGATTAGCAGCGGGTACGCTTTGTGACGGCTGAGCGAGGACGAGATCGCTGCTACCGCTTCGTCTGTGACGAAGGTTGTGATCCGTGCAGGTGCTGCTGGTCTAGGATACAAAGAAATTTCCTTAAGTTCAAGATGAATCTCGCACAAAATAAAAACACTATTGGAAAACTATTGGAAAACAGAAGAATTAAAACTATTGGAATGCAGAAAACTTTTTTTTTAGACATTCACAACGAGAGCTTTTAAGTTATCCGCAAAGAAATTGTCATGTCAGAGAAACAGTATGTCAGCAGAAAATGTGATTTCCTTACTTGTAAAGGGGAAAACGATTCATTGCCTCCGCTATTATTGGCGTTATTAGGGGCACTGTCTACCGGAGGACTAAGTATTTCAGCGCTATGTCTATGATGGGGATGAGCATGATGACCTGTATTGACGGCAGTGAAACTATGACGCTTAATGTTATGTCGATTGCCGACTGCAGGCGGTGATGTCGCAGGACTGCCCGGGCTGCTCGGAGCAGTGCTGGAGCTGCTAGACGTGGTCGAGCTGTTAGGTGTGTTCGGTGTGGTGGTTGTGGAACTGCCGCCTGACGAGACATTTGAGACGGTGTCGGACACCGGTAACGCGGTGGTCTGTGATAGAATATCACAATTATTATATCGTACGTCAATGTATGCATAAGAGTTGAAGAATGTATCAAGTTGGTGCAAAAAGTTTGTCAAACAAAATAGAAGATTAGTAATTTTGATGAGTAAAATATGAATATCAACTCGTTATTTTTTCTGACATCTCTAACAGAGACTTCCTGTTTCACTTTTAATATTCAAACAAAAATTTAACAGATAAATCCTGTGAAAATTTAATGGAAAGATAACTAATTTTTTGCATCTCAACTTAGTATTTATCATATTTTAATCTTCCGTGTACAATGTTGGATCTACGAGATTTGAACGAATATTTGATCGCCCACCAACTTTTGTAGAGAATTCAGGAAGAATTTCAAAATAGCGCAAATTTGCTTGCGGTTTTGATTTTATTGCGCTATCTTAGATTTTTTCTATATCTCTATATTTCTGGAAAAAATATGCTCAAAAATATTGATTTTCAACGTTATGATAATTCAAAGTTGCCCAGATTTAACAAACCTAGATTGTATGTCCCAAAAAATATATATGCAGAGAATTAATATGTAATGCTTCAATTAAATAGGAACATCTAACTTACCTGCGCTAATTGTGGTCGCGGTTGACTCGTCGTTTGTACGTTACGCGAATGATCGGTTGGTATCAATGGTGTGGTCTCTTCATTCGTCGGCGTGGGCGGAGCTACTCTCGATGGTCCTGGCTGAACACTGATAAAAAACAATGCTCTCGATATGTATATACATATTTGCAGTGCAAAATATAACTGTTGTATTAAGCACTCCACTTACTTGGTAGAGAGTTTCATTAAGGCTCGAGCGACGCTGTTCAACTCCACGAAGGCCAATGGAAATATTCCAATCCTGTCGAAAAGCTTACCCTCTGCCCAATTTTCATCTACTCGTCTGATAACACTGATAACTTCTCCCTGAAAAGATAAGTATTCGTGTAATTTATGCGAATATAGTTCGAATATAGTTTTTTATTAAGAATGCAACTCAAGTGGAGAACATGGAAAAATACCTTATTAAAAGTTAAACATCCATCCTCATCATCATTTGTCATTCTAAAATCATACAGTGCTTTACATTGGGGTACATGAGGTGTTAGAGGTGTCATCACCTGCAAGTCACAATAAGGCATTACGCTTTATTTATTACATTTCATTTATTATTATTTGTTATATTTATTATTATTACTTATAATTCTAAATAAATAATTCTTATATGATTTCCACATTATACCTGAACGTAAGACAGAGGAAAGACACCATGATTGCTGCCACATTCTCCAAAATACCAGTTGTTATCGATCTTCTTCCGGAGGATCACTATGTCGCCTTTCTTGAAACTCAAATCACTGTAAGCACAAATGGTATGATAAATGAAACTGCAATGAAATAATAATACAATAAAATAACAGCACACAGAATATAAGCAAAGAAACCACACCTTAGATGCAATCATGAATTATATCTTTAGTGTGAACTAGTGAAAAATAAACATATAATAAATGCTTTCAAGATAGAAAATTTTTACTTTTCATGAATCCCCATTGGAGGAAAAGATTCACAATTCAACTTCCTAGACATGTATCCTATAAACATTAATGCATGAAACTCACCAAGATTGTGCTGTAGGTTTCAAGATTACACCTATACCAGATTGTTTATGTATTGTGTATGTGGTGTGTATGTATATATGTGTTCTTTTAAAATGTAGACAATACAAACTATGTAGAAATTATTAAAATATACAAAAAAAATCATTAAACTATGAAACAATTATTATATTTGCTTTAGGCATTATAATATTGTTTATAACTGTAATGCTTAAAAATGATAATAAGATATTTATTTCATTCATATGACAGATTGATAAATTTCACTCTAAGAATAAAAATATAATCAGGAAGTACTGCAGACTCTGTCAACGTTCATAAATTTACATTAGAGTTCCAAAGATCTAATAAAAATATAAATTTCCTCAAGTTAGGCCAATTAATTTTTGAACAAGCCATCATACCTTCTTTAAACAACATCCACAAATCGCTTATTGTCCACATCATATTTTACACACATTATTTCATAGTTTACATGATTTACGTGTAAACGTCTAAATCTAGAACTTACCCTGGCACCTTGGAGAGATAGTCATAGATTGCTCTGCCGTACGCCTGATTGTGCAGATGCGCTTGTTTCGCGACCGCGTTAGAGTGTCGTACCGGTTCGGAAGCGACAGCGGCAGGAGCAAGACTGGCGGTGACTATAGGTGCTGGTGCGACCTGGTGGCCGCCGAATAGCCTTTGCGGTGCGGCGGTGGAGGATCTTGACGAGGACAGAGACGACGACGACGAGGACGACTTGGCGCTCTTCGGCGCGGCATTGCGCATCCCTTCGAGGATACGCATCAGCAACACATTCGGTGGCAGGTCGTCCACCTTTGCGTCCACCAGCACTCGGCATTCCGGGCAGCGCAGCTCGCGATGCGTGCTCACGATCTCCTCCAAGCACTTCTTACAGAACGTGTGCTGGCAGGGTAATACCTTGCTGGACGTATCGAGTCGCTCAAGGCACACCGAGCACTCCAACAAGTCATTCAGCATGCACTCGTCCATCCTGAGCTGTTCTCCCGCAACCGACAGAGCCGGAAAGCTGCGTACGAAAAACACCACCCGTTCTCTCTCTTTCTCTCCCTCGACGGTCGGTACCTCTCTTTATTCCGGATTCCTCGTCGCCCCTGCGCTCGCGTTCACACTCGCTTCATCGAAACCTTCTCCCTCTCCCATCTAACCCTACCCAACTGTCTCTCGCTCTCTCTTCCTTCGCCGCGCCTCGCTTCCGTCTTTCTCTGTCTTGCTCCCTCTTTTTCTCTCACTCCCTCCCACTCTCTCGCCCACTCGTCTCTCTCTTTCTCGTGGACACGCGCGATTCGTCGTCGCACTCTCGTTCTCAACAGAGACGGACAGTTTATCGGGCTGCAGTTCCGGTACTGTGCTATCACGAGCGCAAGAATTTCCTTCGCTTTTACCTTCTACTTCAAACTTGCTTGTTTCTCTTTCTCTCTTCTTGCTTCCCTGCCGTTTTCAACATTCGATCGGAGGACGTGAGAAGCGTGCACCGAGTACGTGCACGCTTGACCTACGATTTGATTGATGTCTCGATGGCACAGTCTCGCGCGCATCGTGCCACTGCATCGATCAATCGTGCGAGTCGATTCCGGTGACGGGAAACGCACGACGAGTCCATGCTTATTGCCCGACGTTGTGATCGCTGATTGACCCCCGATCGTGGGTAATTCCACAGAACGATGGTACGTCCTCGCTGTCGTCGTTCTTACACGACACCACTTTCGACTCCGTCTTGCCCGACAAACACTGTATTCCACACTTTCAAAAAAGTTATCTACGAACACGCACTGAACGACCCGCGTGTCGTACACCGATCAACTTGACAGCACTCGGTGTGCACGCACCACTACTCCGTGAGTTCGATGTATCGATGACAGCGGAATGCCGCGCACCCTCGCGTTGACGCGCGTTCGAAATAAACAGCATTTTTGCGGATTCGGGACGAAAATTCGAACCGTTAGGGCGCTGTCTCATTTGTCATGAGAAAAGTACTGTCGCATGTGCCAATTGGCTACTGAGTAGGGAATTTCTGATGTTCCCAACATTCTTCATTACCCTAAATATTCCCTATCCGGTAACCAATCGATGCGTCCTACGAAATCGTATGACAAATGAAATGACGCCCCAGAAATGTGTCTGAAGTTCTGAACGTACATATATCGGCAATAACTTTTAATGGCTCCTGCACACGGGACGCGGTAATGCTTGCCACGCGGCGGAAGTTCGCGCGACAGCCAATCGATATGCTGCTTTTTGTAATAACCTTCTAGCTCTTACGGAAAAACAACATATTGATTGACTGTCACGTGGACTTCCGCCGCGCGGTAAGCATTACCGCGTCCTGTGTGTAGGAGTCATAATGGGTGCTTTCCAATTGCGTAAACTGTGTTACACAAAACCAGTTTATTGGTTGCATATTATCTTACAAGATATTTTAAATAATATATGACCAATAAACTTGTTTTGTGTACGTGTGTGTCAAGATGGTTAAGCAATTGGAAAGCACCCAATGGCTGCGTTCAGCAGAGAAAGCTGCTTTGCAACTGTGTAAAATTCGTGAATCTGATTGGAGTATACTCTTAATTTTGGTTGAATCCAAGAGCATGTACCAATCAGATTCACGAATTTTACAACAGTGCAAAGCAACTACTACAAATATTCTAGTAAATTTACTCACTTTTGTCAATTTTATTTAGTTTTGAGATACACAATCGACCCCCTGGTGCGCACTAATGCTTTCAATCGAATTCTCCATAAAACTTATCAACTTTTTTCTAATGGCGAATTTCTATTAAGAAATCGATGGTTTAATTGCAATAATGAGAGCGCGAATTTTTAAGTTACAGATAGCACTGACATCTATTCGAGTATGGAAGCCATATCGAATCTTCCTTCACATGTGTGATTTCTTTGTGGCAAAACGTACTGGTCAACAGCCATTGCGAAGTTATCGTGTGGGTTTTGCCGCGCAAACACTTTCAGTCGGAATCATCGTGATAATTATGTAAATATTTACGGTAGTCGCGCAAATCATTTATAGTTCTCAATATCTTACAATTATGTAATAACAGAAGTGTCACTCGCGGTATCTATAAGGTTATATTTGTCGTTTGTTCATTATTCGCATATGCATTGGCGCGCATTTCACGTCCTTTTTTATGAACATAAATATATTTATCTAAACTATTTTCTTCATGTTTCTCTTTCATTCTCCTCTCATTTTCTTGAATCATGAGTATACGCATGTCTATTCGCTTTTAAATATAAAATACAACAGTGCAATCGAGAAAAATATGTGAATTTTTGTCTGTAGTGGTTGTGTACGTTATAACCTTGAGATATACATTTATTCCAGAATATTACTGTGTTGAACATGATGAACTCTGATCACAGTGAAGTTGAGGATGAAGACTTAAAGTTATCGATAGATTCCACAAATCAGTCCACAACTAAGAGGCCACATATAGAGTCAGAAGATGAAAATGAACAAAATATACCTGCTAAGAAACGACGATGTTCTGCCAGTAAAGAACTGGAGACATCAGAGAAAAATAATATTGAAATTACCTCAGACAAAAATGGTATAAATGAGAACGATATAAAAAAAGAAAAAGATGCAGTATCTTTTGAGATCAAACCAGATCTAGCTGAAAATTCTTCGTTGAATACAAATGTAAAGATAAAAAATAAGGAAGACCAAGAAGACAAAATAACAAAGGTCAAAAGTGAAGAACAGAGAGAGACTACTTCAGAAGATGACTCCTTTAAACTTACCATGGGTGAAAGTCCTATAAAGGTTAAAGAAGAAATTACAAGCAAGGTAACAACATAAACTCATAAATTAAAAGTTGAAATGATGATTTTGCTCAAAGAATTGTATATATTTGTAGAATTTTCTTATATTTTCTAATTGTATGTATTTGTAGAATTTTCTTCTTGTATATATGGTGCCTTAGATATTTTTCCATAAATTTACTTATTTCCTTTGATAAAGATCTATTTTGTTGATATCTTGATGTTAAAATGAATTAAATGAAATTGAAATTGAATTAAATATATGTAATGCTAAAGGTAGCTTTAACCATTAATGTGTGGATGGATCTTTGAAAAGTCAGTTAAATCTTTGATTGTAAATTTTAAAACAACTAATAGATGGCAAAGTTTGGTACCTTTTCCTTTCTAAAAAGTGAGATTTTATATATATATATATATATATATATATATATATATATATATATATATATATATACACGCACGCACACACATACACAGGGTGGCCCACGTAAAGTGTTACAAGTTATATATAATAACTCTAAACATATTTGTCCTATCAAAAAGTTCTTCGTGAGAAAGTTTCATATATTTGAGGAGCCTTTCTAACTACGTAAACAAAAATCCACTTCCGTGAAGAGAGGCGGGGGATAACTTCAAAGTTTCAAATGGGACCCCCTATACAATGTTACATATTTGGATTCTACGGGAAAAAACAAGTAAACATTGTCTGAAACATTTTTTTGGAAAATACTCCTATCAAAAGTTAGAAACATTTAAACTTTAATGTAGAGTGCATTGAAATTAATGATAAATTAAATAAGACTCACTTTTTCTGTTTTGTTTTATTTTATTAAATGTTCGAACTGTTGATCATTAACATCTAAACACTTATCAATTCTTTTTACAAAACTTTGCCTAACTCTTAGCTTGCACTAAGGTGACTCCAGAAATGTTGTTTAAAGTTAGGCAAAGTTTTGTAAAAAGAATTAATAAGTGTTTAGATGTTAATGGTCAACAGTTTGCACATTTAATAAAATAAAACAAAACAGAAAAACTATGAGTCTTATTTAATTTATCATTAATTTCAATGCACCCTACATTAAAGTTTAAATGTTTATAACTTTTAATAGGAGCATTTTCCAAAG